TTAATTCCTCTCAATTCAAATATATATTGTAAATGAGAGGTGTCTTGGGAACATCACAGCCATCAAACAGTGCATCCAACGTGCCGCGTTGCCGCAAGCGTCAAACCAGTACCGGTAGACAGCCACACGGAAGCACAAAGTGAAAAACTGAGAGCTAGGAGCGTAAGCAAACAGTCAAATGAAAGCCCATTTGAGAGGAAGCATGATTCACTAATATTCAGCAGGTGCATGAGAGGACAATGGAGGGCATGGACCGCACTACACTCACTGTACATTAACGACACTATATTGCAGCAGTGCTGTTTATGTGCTGTATCGATACAGTACTACTACATGTGTGCGTGTACTACTACTACATGTACGGCTTGTGTGATGATCGAGGGGTTAAGGTACCGGTAACGTTACTATCGGTTGTGTGATGGTGGGGAGCGTGAATATGGCGCACAAGGTAGGGCACTCTTTCAGTATTGCCCCCAGTCGAATTTAAAAGCAATTTTAATTGTGTTGTGTCATTGAAACCAAATATACTTGACTTGGGCATCACATCATCCGGATACCATCCGGATCATTTTGGCGCACATTTGTGACTATCGCCCCCGATTTGAACGCGAAGGTCAAATGTTTGAAGCTAAGGACCAATAGGAGTAAGACTCGAAACACAAACAACCCCTGTTAACTTCATTCTTGATTCCATCCTGCAGTGTGCACACTACATACAGCCAACCCCATGGATGCCCGCTACAACCTCGATGACCTGGAGGACTTCACATTCGACAGAGTCATGCAGGTTACAACGAACGACGCCGACTGCCTGCGCTGGTGCATGAGTGTAGGGCTACTCAAACGCTCTATGCTCTGCCCAAACTGTGCGAAAGACATGAAGCTGTCCGCCGCCACCCAATGCTGGCGCTGCTGACGCACAACTTGTGGGTCAATTGAACGAAGTGTGAAGTCTGGTTCATTTTTCTCTAAGTTGAATCTCCCCGTCCGCACCATTGTTCGTATTATGCGGCATTGGGCCTCGCGACGCCCGGTTGCCGACGTGATTGAAGACCTACATTTGGCTTCAGCAACCGCGACGGACTAGTACAACTTCTGTCCGTAGGGTAGGTCTACTCTACGGAAATGCTTTCGATTGACAGTGACAGTGAAATGAAGGTAATCAAAATTCATATGACTTATATAATTTCATATCATTTATTCAAATTCATATTATCTATTTATATGTAACTGCATATTACTTGTTCGAATTCATATTATCTATTTATATAATTATTGGCATGCATATTTATTCGAATTCACGTTATATTTCATGTATACATATATTTCATATTAGAAGTGTGGACGCTGTTATAATCATTGACAAGCTAATTTTTAGATTGGCGGCGTTGGATCCGTCGTTGAAATTGACGAAACGTCGCTCAAGAAAAAATCCAAGTACAACCGTGGTACGCGCCACCCAGAGTGTTGGTTATTTGGTGGCGTTGACCGAGCAACCAAGAAGTGGTTTGGCGTGCTAACGTATGAAGACCGCACGAAGCCGGTGTTGTCTGCGTTCATTGGAAAACACATACGACCTGGAACCTTGATCATGTCTGACAAGTTCGGGTCGTATGTGTCCACCAATGAGCGCCACACCTTGGCAAACAATCCAGCTTTGGCGGGCATGGGTTACACGCATCAGTGGGTGAACCACTCTGAAAACTTCGTGAACGCAGCGAACGGAGCCCACACACAAGGTATTGAAGGTGTGTGGGAGGTGCGTGTGAAGCAGTTCACGAAGATTATGCGTGGTGTCCATCGGGAACACCTTCCTAGCTAACTCGACGAGTTCCTTTGGCGGTCGTGGTTTTTCCCCCGTGGCGCGCCCGTGGCAATATGTTTTTCAAAGGACTTGTAATTGCAATTGTTCGATCGTACTAATTTCGAGGACAAATAATAGAAAATATTATTATTTTGTTTTAAATTCGACCGGGGGCAATACTGAAAGAGTGCCTAAGGTAGACTGAAGTTATCGTTGGAACTGCGTGATGCCGTCACCGCGGTCACCAAAGTAAGATGTTATGTTGTTCTCGAGAACACGGTGACGGCTCAACACAACCGCTGAGGACAGAAGACCAGGGATCACAGTCCAGGAGGCATCAGAACCTACTATAGGAATGAATCAATGATGAAGTTGCTTGTACTATACCGCTGTTGACTGGTCGCGTGCAGAGCGGCCATGGCCCTCGCCACTTGCACCTCGCCACTGCCACGTCGCTGGTGGTACCAATGAAATAGCCAACATGGTCTCCTAAATTCTATAAAGACTCACCTCTATACATAACACTACCTCTAATATCAGATAATTATGTCACGAAATGTCTAAATTATCGATATCTAGAAATTTGTATGACGCTCTTAAAATCCACAACTTGAACTTCAGCATACAGTGGATAACCTCTTTAAATTTGTATAATTTATACATGTGGGGGCTTCTCTTAACATACGAAGTACGGTATATGTAACATGAGCTCTGCATCGTATCCGGATATCCGATTACGATAAATACCATATATCCGGATGATATGCACTGACAAACCCTTTCAAACTGTCATGCGCGGGATACGTGGCAAGAATCTGACGAACACGGACCGCAATGCCATCCTCCGTCGGCTGCTAGCACTTGTCACGCCGCAATCATCGACTCAAAGATCGACGAACTTGCCCAAGAGACACCGTTGACGATTGAACTGAGCGAATTTTGCTCCCAACTCGAGCTGCTTGTGGTTTGAAGCAATCCCGATGCGGACGACTATTTCTGTAGTGTATTACTGTAAACACATCCCACATTACATCATATAGAACACGAAGTGCTGCAGCTATAGGTGTAGGTCATTGCTGAATGGTAATGTTCTACGTGGCATGCCTATAAGTCCAACATACTAGCACCTACGCAAGACTTGTGGTGTGCCCCCTTCTGTGTTGATGTGACATTCAATCCACAGTAAATATGTACATTTCTATTAGGAATAGTCTGGACAAATGGACGATATCGCCACGTCGTGCTGGCGGTCGACGTCGTAGAAGTACTTGCCCGGGTTCGGCGCCCGTCGGTATTTAGCTGTGGCGTTCGCACAGCGGGGAAACATGGGCTTGAAGTCGCCTGGGAAGTGGAAAAACACGGGCTGGACGTCGTTCCATGTGAACTTGGACGGCACTTGGTCGTGAAAGTACAGCGACGTGCACCCCGACGACCCGCTCCCGCCAAACTCGTCAAAATCCTCTGGGCACATCATGATTGTTATCCGTACTACTACATACTAGTACTACTATTAGTAGTAGTCGTAGTACCTACCGGAGCCAATCAGGTACGACATGACAAAGAAGATGTCGGCGGCTGTGTCCACAAGCACGTTCACCTCGGGGTACTTTAAGTATGCAATTTGAAACAGAATTTGGTCGCCTTCAAACAGAAACGACTGGCGCAGTGGCTGGCCAAACCTTGGGTTGCCCGCGAACGCACTTGGGTTGGCCAGTCGAAAAAAGTCCTTCTCTTGGGCGACGCGGATTTCCGTGATCCGTCGCAAGAACGCGCGGATGCTGCGCACGTCGCCTACGACGATGCCACGTAATACACTGGCCATGTGTATGGATACTTGAAGTTCATAATACCGAGAAACCCTCCCGACCCCAAGCTCCAATTGGGTCCTGGCGCAGCGTCAGTGGACGCCGTCTTGGCCGCGACCGCAGAGCACATGTTGTGTCCTGCAATGACCCGAGGCTTCTGGTCTACAGTCAGCTGGATCGTCCACTTCTTCTGTCGTAGTTGGTTGCCGTAGTTGCCGCCGTTGCCGAACGAGTCGCCGCACGATGGCTCGCCGTTGAAGATCACGCCGCGCTTGAGCTTTGTCTTCTGAAGGAACAGCTGAGTCAACTTTTGGGGGTCGTCTTGCACAACCACGTCCCACGCGTCCGTGAACAGCACGAGGTCGTCGTCGTGGAGCTCGGGGTTCTTTTCAAAGTAGTGCGATAGCCAGTGCAGCTTTTTTTGCTGGCCGTGGCGGTACTGCTTACCGTCGCGCTTGTCAGCGCACCCTTGGCCACACGTCGTGCCGTCGAAGAATGTCGAGCTGTAATTCCACCCGAGCACGTTCAAGACGGAGCTCGACTCGTACGCAAACACGGATGCCGCCAAGAGGCAAATGTCAGGCCGGGGGTTGTCGGCCAGCGTGAGAAACCGGAGTTTACGGGGGACAAACCCAGGGATCATCGTGGTGGATTTAGGCGTCGGCGGCTGTGGAGTGGTGGTGGTGGGCGCGGGAGTTGTAAATACGGTGGCCTTGGGGGTCGGTAGAGCCAGGGCTGTGGGTGTGCTGCGGTTGGTCGAGTTGTTGGACCGACCATTTGTGATGTTTTGGTGCAGCTGTGCGATTTCATCGGCGTGGTGAACCCTGTCGTTTGCAGTACTGGGGTGAATAGGTCCCCATGGTTGCTGGAGGACGCTGACGTTCAAGGAGAGCCCCATCGCACCAACCAACAAGCATAGGGCCAACGTCACTGTGGCCAACTTGTGCGGACGCGAGAACGATGCGCGCCGCCGCAAAGGGAGAGTGATCAGCGGCAATGCCACGTCGGTGTCTGACCTGTGATGGTGCATTGTGACGCGTTTGAATTGTTACTGTCGACCCAAATCGAAATGGGAATCAGGAATCATCGGTTGGAACAAACTAAGGTTCAGTAGAACCGGCACAGCTGGTTCAAAAGATGATTCGCATTTGTACACCATCCGTAGTACAACCTACCGTATGGGTGGACTACAACCCTAAAGTATGTTACTCCGGAGTATACAACAGTACACCTTTTTGCGGTTAATTTCAGCTTTCTTTCACTATATTTCGCCTAGCTTGGAGTATATATTTCACCAAACCAGCAGTATAATTCAACCAACTATCGTTTAAGTTCAGTTTTCGTCAATATATTTATTTCATCCAGCAGCGATTAATTTCGCCAAAAACCATTCATACAGGACACGTACAGATGGTACAAGTACTGTCTATCTACCTAGTAAATATTGAAGGATGATAGTACAGTAATATAAGGAAGTCGATGCAATTACTTGGATTTTGTAAGTGGCGATATGGCTGACGGCATTTAGATTGTTGAACGTTTTTCAGGGTTAGTCACAATATACTGTACTACTTCAATAATAGTACGGAGTACTACAGTACAGTAGTGAATAGTGAATTATCCAATAGGAGGCTTGCATTTGATGCCCTCGTAACTATCCAATCAACGAGTGATGCGCTATTCTGCATATTACTTTGAAGTATTTTGGATGACCAAGGAGTAGATCAGATGTGTATTTTTATTGGAGTGCAACGCTTGCGAATGAATTCCCAGTTTACTGTACCAATACAGCGTTCTGTACTACTCGGAGTAGTATTATACTACCGGTAGTATGGAGTACTTCGAAGTACGTACTGTACTACTAGTATCATTCTTCAGTATTAGTAACACTTACTAGGTGCGACCAGATCTGATAATCCAATATGGGATAAAGTACCGGTATGAGGATGAATCCTTCCAGTACAGTACTACTTTCGAAGTAGGTGATAATCAGATACACGATGTACGAAACAAATACTCCAAGGAGGGAGTCATATGGCCAAAAAGCCTGACGAAAAAGTCAAGTTGTGAGAGTGGTTAGGGTGACTTTTCAAAAGCACACTGATCGGTACACTACAGTACTGTACTGTACCTCTTGGCGGACAATTGTCGCACAACGCCACGTTTGAGGAATACTCAAAATACCCTAAAAAACACGATGAATGGCTGGGGTCCTGCAGCGAGCGCGTGGATAAGAGATAGCGCCACAAGACGCTGCAGCGGGAGCCTGGTGACCCGAAGTAAACATGCATAGTGTACTTCACGCCACTAGCCTCCCGCAGCAGCGCTTTTGTGACAGTCAGCCTACACTACACGCTCCCATAGTTGTGTGCCCTTCCAATTGATTCTGCCTGGGTCTTATTTGGGAGGTTTATACATGATATCTTGAACTTGTAAGTACATCGTACGGTGCGGAAAGGATATTCCTCGTTTGCGACTCCAACGGAAGGCATTGGGCGGCTAGGACACCCAGCACGCCCAAGTCCATTTTCAGTCGGTTCTTGACGGCAAATTTCATAATGAAGTTATTGGAAGACTGTGATTGGCTATAAATAAATCCATGTATCCAATCAAAACCAATTATACCTGGAAATCAAAAATTGCAGCGAAGTTTGCGCGGAGGCCTCGCTTCTTCGTGGCTGTTTGCTGTTCTTTGGAGGTACCTTAACTGACAACTAGCATAGTGATAACGAGAGGAGATGATATACTGGTGAATTGCCCGTCGTTGTCGCTCGGATCAATTGGGCTGGGGGGATGCTACAAGTCGATTATTGTGAGGGGAAAGGGGGATACTTAAGGGCTATGGAGGTGTAGGGGTTGCAGTCGCTGCTATCCTGGCGATCTTCATACACTATAAGCTAGTCATGATGTCGTGAATGGTGGCTCTAACCTCGTAGAATGGTGGTTGTGTGCTTTCACATGTAGATAAGCTACAAGCACAGTCGATGTGGAGGGGACAGGAGGCCGTGGGGGGTTATAAGCGATGTAGGGGTTGCAATCGATACAGCTGTAGCGATTTACATCACTATGAGCAAGTCGCACATACAGTGGCTGAATCCTGTGCTGTTAGGTGTGGATTCACCGCCGCTCTAACCCAATTGCTAGCATTTACACGAATAACTTGGCGTTGTCCTCCACACACAGCTGTACGTTTTACTTCTTAACTTTCACGCAAAGTCACATTGCACACACATAACGCATACTAGTACAAAGGAAAATCACAGGGCTACATCGCATTGCTAGCTCAACTGCTGACATGGTTCAGGACTCTAGAATGCAAATGGATTTGGTCATCGTTGATGCGAGCAACAACGACGGGCTAATCCTTTAGTATACTGTATCAGCTCCTCTCGTTATCACTGTGTTAGTTGTGAATAAGGTACCTGCAATGCAAGGCTAGTTAGTACATCAGTCAGGCAATACGACGCAGCATGCATGCTCCTGTTCAACACCCTATCATCTTCCAGAAATATTGCGTTTTGATTGGATAAATATTTATTTTTTATGGCCAACCACACATTTCAATGTCGTCATTCTTCAATTTGCCACCTCACACACACTGCTCACTGGGTCCACGGGTATGTAAGTGATCGATCCCCTTGCGCATTCAGTCATCCGTTGGTACCGCAAGCAAGGTTCATTCTATATCTAGGCAGTACATGTATATCGACTATAGAAGATGTCTTCCAGGAGCAGCACGAAACACGACCCACGATATACGCGGAACAAGCCAACAAAGTTGCCATAGGAGTCTGGTAGCATGGAGTGCATGCAATTTACACGATTACCATAACCGAAAAAGTCACCCTAACCACTCTCACTACTTGACTTTTTCAACAGGCTTTTTGTCCATATGACTCCCTCTAATAATACGTATTCGATATCATAAATTTATGAGGGTGTTATGATTTAATTCAGGGAGGCATACGGCAAATTTTCTTATCGCGCAAGTAAAGTGGATCAGAGGGAGTACAGTACGGAGTACTAAGCTTACGTAGTATAACATGCACATAATGAAAAATTACTGATATTGACAACTGTGCAGCATCGCTTTAGCGAGAATATCAACATTGACGATGTATTTTTTTAATACTCACGTAGTACGGTCGTACGGGAAGGTTAGACTGTGCGCTACAATAACGTTATAATAGTAACGTTATTATCTACTCCAGAGTACGTACTTCGAAGTAAACGTTTCCTACGACCAATTAACAACTGGTATTTGCAAGTATACATACCTAACAGTAAATCCCAGAGCATGGGTGCCGGTTGTTGGTTAATTGCGCTTGGATTAACATTTTTAAGACATTCCTCCACGAGGGCCGATACTAGAACCACATGTTGTGGAACCGCTTCGCCAATTGTAACCCGCCTGCATCTTCGGTTTTTACCTCGCCCAACGCTTCATACCTCGTGCTTGGACCGATCTTCTTCGAAGTTCGGTCCTCGTCTCCGGATTCCCCAGGGGAGGGACGGATAAATCCTTGCGGAAATAATCCGGGGAAGCCGGGGGGGACGAACCCACGACCTTTGAGTTAAACGTAAACCGATGCTCTACCACTGAGCTATTTTCCCTCCCCCTGTGCCGATTGTTGGCTTCGAGTAAACCAGCTGGTTAAATCTGTGGGTGGCCACCAACAGTCATCGATGGTTCATATTGACTTTGAAACAATTCAAGGAACACTGAACTACATGTACTGTAGTGCGTACCCCGAATACACAGTTTCCAAAACCCACCGCATTTTGCACATGCATTTTGTACTGAGGATCAATAAAGAGCCCTATTTAGAGCACTTTCGAAGATTCATTGACATATTGTGAGTTAGAATGACCTCACTATTTTGACGCGTCCTGGTGATATAAACTCACAGTCAATACACATCCGGTAAACAAGTGATTTCGGATAAAAATCTAAAAATAGCTTTAGATCCAAGCGGTGGTTTCACTTGGAGGAAGGGTTTTTGGGATATTTCTGCTTTCACGAGTCACGGCGCGCATGTCCGATCCATTCGCCGGCTTCGGTGTGTTCGCATCTTCGACTCCTGGTGCTCGCCAAGGCAATAGCAACTCCAGCAACTTTATGACGACACCTGTTGCCCCGTTGTACCAACAGCAAGGTCAACCGCAGCTAACCAAGCAGCCATCCTTGAATCAAAACATCATGAGTCAGTTCCAGACGTCCTCCAGCACGATTCAAACAAATTCGAACGGCCCTGCTCGCACACAGTACATGACCACGCAGCCACCTGCGGTATCCACCACGTTCAATCCATCTCCATTCGCCACGTCCAGTGTGCAGCAGCATAATCCATTTGCCGACTCCCCCGCGGTTACCCCCGCCTATCCATTTGCTTCCCAGGTGTCATCTTCGTCTGTGGTGACTAACCCATTTGGCGATCCGTTCGGGACTCATACACCGCCACCACCTCTATCTACAGCGATTTACCAACATCAGCAACAACACTTCAACGCCGCCCCGATGTCGCAATTCACCACGTGTCCGTCTGCAACAGTTCAAGATTTTGACCCGTTCAGCCCCAAAGGATCCACGCCCCACCTCCCCTTTGACTTTCCCGTCCAAACAACCTCAAGCCCCCGTCAACCGTCGTTTACGAGGGCCACCCAAGAAAACTCGCGACGTCCGCTGGATATCGCTGCGTACGCCACGGCCACTGCCACGCCGCAGCGCCGCACGTCGGTGAAGGACATGTTGGAGGCCGAAGCTGCAGTCAACAAGATGTCCTTGGGGGCCAAAAAGGTGTCGTCGAACGACAATGGGTTTGCCATCTCAAATACATCGGACATCTTTGCCGCCAACACATTTGCCAACTTGGACGACGACTTCAACCCCCGCAGTCCGGCAAATGGGTCGCGACGCAACAGCGTGGACTCGGACGGAGGCCCGCAATTGACGCGGTATGAAAGTCGACGGAATCAACGAGCAACATGATCTCATGTTGACTAATGTAGGGCACCGTCGCAAGAACTGGACGATGATATGGAAGAAGACGAGTATGAAGTCATGTTCGACTACGGGTCCAAGCTGGGCGTGCTCATGGAGCGCATGGACGTGTATGTGAAGGACAACATGCAAGACCAAAAGCGGGAGCTAGCGGTGGTTAAGTACGATGACGACGACCAAATTCCATGAGGTTCACATGACGAGTTGCATAGGTTGGTCGTGGAAGGTGGGGCGGCCGACCGGATTGGGGTCAAAGTGGGTAGCGTTATTCGAGGCATCAACCACAAGGACATGGAGCATGAGAGCTACAACACCGTGCTGGAATTGATCAAAACGGCGCCTCGACCCATGACCATTCGACTGAAAGAACGAAACGAATCGAAAGAGACCTCCCAAGGCGCGGTCTTGACACGCATTTCCAGTACAATTGTTCATCGTCGCAACATCGTTTGACATGAACTTGTGTTTTAGGTGGAACGTTCAGTGTGGGCAACCTTACTGCGGGCAATGCCAAGTGGGATAGCAAGTACTTTGCATTTGGTGGGGCGAAAATGGACGTGCTGCAGCTCTTTGTGTCTCGCGCGGCGTACCACGAGGTACGACGGCCATCAATCGTCAAGTGGGTTTGATTGAGACTAATAACGAGAGATTGGTTGTATGTAGTGCGTGATTGCGTTGTACGAGAAGCGTCAAGTGTCGACGCAAATTCAATCGTTTCGGCTGTACCGAGACCACAAGCTGTCGCCCATCAAGAGCAAAATTTACAAGGGATACGGGAACTTGCACTATTTTTCACTCACGGTGCCATCGCTGCGCTTTGTTGCGGCCAAGTTTGCCAGCGAAAACTACGACACGATCAAGAACATGTGGCAAATCGCATTCGAAGCCATCGAAAAGAAGAAGCGCCAGGCGTACTAAACTAGTATTAAGCGTATCCATGGAAGGATGCATACGATCAAATATATTGATACCACACAACGCAAGTGTATTTCATCATGAGCATTGCTTTTATAGTTGTTAACTTTTGGCCTTTCAAAACAATATATCCGGAAGGGTTTATCCGGGCGATGACTGTTCCGGATAACCTAAGTTTTCATGTCATATATCCGGATTTTCGATCACGAATTTGATTGGGTCTGGAGCGGTGGTGCCGCGGATACACAACTCAAAAACAGCGCCAAGAATGTGGCGCTTCTCGTTGCCGCTGCGGACGGCATACTCGTCGTCGCTGCTGTGCCAGCGGACATATCTTCCGCTGTCAACGCCATTGGGAGGATCCGTTGCGTCGTTCAGTACGTTCGATGAAGGGAAGCCGAAGAAGAAGGTCGTCAGTGGGTACGAGTCTGCGGTGCCGAAGTGGAAGAAGGATCGGGCTGACAAGTTCAAGCAAAAGATGGCAGGTGGCGGCGACAGACGCGGCAGATCCAATGACAAGTTCAAAGGCTCTCCGTTTGGCAAGGACAGCAACGACCGAGGAGGCAAGCAGCAGTTCAAGTCGTTTGACAACTCCCGCCGTTCGTCGTCTCCATTCCGTACCAACAAATTCAAAGACAACGACAAGAAGCCATGGTCCAAATTCAGCAACGACAAGTCCAGATTCAGCAACGAAAAGCCTAAATACAGCAACGACAAGCCTAAATACAGCAACGACAAGCCTAAGTACGGCAATGAAAAGCACGACCAACAGGACAGCAAGCGCGGGTCGAAAGAGTACTCCAAGGGCAAGGCCAGCGGGGACTTTACCAGAGGGCGGAAGCAGCAGTTCAAGTCTGAGCCAAAGGTGGTCGAAGCCCCCAAATCCATCCATGACATCCAAGCGGAAAGGGAAGCGGCGTGGTCGCACATGCGCAAGATCCGAGTGCTCACGCCGGGCATCCCTGGTTCCGCCTCGTCACCATCCGCCGCTCCTTCGACTCCGTCGCCGTTCAAACCGTTCAAAGCAACGGCTGCCGACACTTTGAAAGGCGACGGCATATCCACCGACAGACGAGCCCAACGCCAGCTCAACAAGAAGAATCGCGTGTTTGACAACCTCCAAGCCCCCGCACAGGTATATATATATATTTCCTAGTCTGAATATGGATATATATATGTAAATTTATTGGTATTTGGTAGGACATTGTCGAGCCGCTGCATACGTTTGAAGAACCAGACAGTCCCCGTGGTGTCAAGCCCCGAGGCCTGAACGTGGCTGTGATTGGTCGACCGAATGCTGGCAAGAGTTCGCTCATGAACTCGTTGCTTGGATTCAACGTAATATATATATATATATTAAATATATATATAATTCACAGATCCTTAATAGGTGTCGGCAGTGTCTGCCAAGTACAACACGACGCGCGACCGCGTGCTGGGAGTGCTCACCCAAGGCGACGCCCAAATCGCATTTTACGACACCCCTGGTCTTGTCAATTTGAAGTACACCTAAACAATCATCTATTTTGAAGAAGTAAATGAAATCATCTAATACATGAATGACTTTGTATAGGGATTCCCATACATATGTGCGGTCGCTGGCGATCACGGCGTCGGAGACGATGCCAAGCGTCGACATGTCCTTGCTCGTGGTGGACGCCGTCAAGCGGCTGGACGACCAGGCGCTGGAAGCCCTGAAAAGTACGAGTTGTTGCTCTAAACAACGGAATATGTCATTGGAATTGGACTAGACATTGCGATTTCGTCTGCCAAGGAAGCGGCGCCCATCATGCTCGTCATGAATAAGGTACGTACAGGATAGAAGATATGAACCATGTTGATTATGTGATGGGGTAGATGGATTTGGTGGGGCCGACGGAACGTCCGCATGTGGCCAAGCGCGTCCAAGTGCTCAGTGATATGATTGAAGAGGCGTTTATAACGTACGGCCCCAAGGAAGACGACGAGTTTGACGAGTTTGACGAGGATGAGGACGAAGTTGACGGTGACAATGAGGAGGACGATGACGACGATGACGACGATGACGACGACTATGAAGAGTTTGACAGTGACGACTTTGAAGATTTCGAAGACGACATGTCTGAGCTCGAGCTCGACCCGACCAAGTACCTACGCGACAACTGCATCAAGCTGTCGTCGTTCAAGGACAAGGACGTGGCCAAACTGCGCAAGGAACTGCTTGCGCTGGCCGTGGACCGGCCGTGGATGTTCCACTCGCGCATGAAGTCGGATCGAAGCGACTTGGACCTTGTCACAGAGATCATTCGGGAAAAACTCTACCGCCGATTCAACCAAGAACTGCCGTACCAGGTAACCAACCTTATCATACTGTCATGTCACTCGATGACTTAATCGGGTTAGATTGAGCAAGAAAACCGCGGGTGGACTCCGTTTAGCGACAAGAGTTTGCGCATCGACCAAGACCTTTGGGTACGAAACTCTCTCTTCTTTGCGCACCATGGATCGAATATATATATATATATATATATATAGTGAATTCGCTATAAAATTCGCGGGGTTGTCGAATCCATATTGAATCACGCTGGTGTTCTGATTGGTTGAATCTACTTGTCCTTTTGTAAGAGCCAATCACATCCGCTCAAAATTGTACTAGCCAATAGCGTCGATTTGTGATCGATTTTTCGACGGAATCTGGAAATTTGTACCGAATCCACACTATATACATTCTATTTAATTTGCATTTTTTAGGTCCCGTCCGACCGCCACGTCAAGACGTTGCTGGGCACGAAGGGCGACACGCTTCGCGAAATCGGCACGGCCGCCCGCAAAGACATTGAAAAGCTCTTGGGCCGCAAGATTCACTTGTACTTGAACATCCGGTCGCGTGACCCGAGATAGACGACGATTGCTATAAACTTTGATTTAACTAGTAGAAATCTCATTGTATCCTCGTCGTCGGTTGCTCGACGTGTTCACTCTGCCAAGGGTACACTAGATGCAAACCCGCTCGGCACATTTCGCGGCCGGCGCAACTGGTGGGTTCTCCACGCTTTAACATCCAGCATGTATGTGTACATGGTGTCTTGCCACGTCACGACCACCAACTCATTCATAAACGCACTGGCTTTGTCCAAATACAGCACACTCCCGTGCCTCCACCGGTCCAGAACAATCGTGTGCGAATACAAAAACACCGAGCGACGGCGGGTTGGTCCTTGTGATGACGTGGCGGCGCTGGGTTCACTCGACCTTGATGCACACGAAGTTGCAGAGCAACAAGAGGCCTGGCGATGGTCACGGTCCCCACTTCCCAAGTTAGGTGGAAGTCGAATAGACTGTATGTGCAATGTCGGGCTAACTGGGAGGCCGCCCAGTGTAGGTACAGTTGCTCTTGGCTGCGTAGAACCACGTGTGGCTGTGCGTGGTAATGGGCAAAATGTCGTGCAGAATGTACGACAACCAGCACATTTCCCCCGATATCAAGATTGGGTTCACCACCGAATTGACCCTGCAAACAGACATTACGTGAACGGCTTCTGGTGTGTTGGGTTGCATGCCCAATCGTATCGGTTTCAAAACGAAGGAGCGGGGGGAGATTGCATTTGTCCCCTCGCTTCATTCGACCTTGTAATTGCCAGCGAAACTGACGTGAGACGGTTCATCTAAAGTACTTTGAGCGTTTTATGGTCGAAGACTTCGGGCCAACTTACAACCCATTGACTAAAAAGAAAGTACCGCCATGCTTTGCATCTAACTTGTCATTCCAGTCATTACCGTCGGCGAAGGATACATTTAGTCTTGGGATCACAGATCTCTATTTTCCACTTGATAGGTCAAGCAATATGGAAAGGCTGATCGTTTATTTCCATTGGCGTTGTATGAAAATGCAAATTCCATGTATTAAACCCAAGGCATACTTCGTAGCGTAGCGTTTACTGTATCTCCTACTTAGCTTCGACACCGCGCGCAACAATTGTCTCTTCGTCTTGTTGTTTTGCAAACGAGTTGAAAATCTGCTCCAAAGTCGTCTGGGACACGCTGTACTCAGTCATGAACAGCGCCGCCTTGTGTTGCTCCATCTTGGCAAACACAGTCGACAATCGCAGCGGCGTGGTTCCGTTTTCGTGCAACTTGAATCGACTGTGCTCGTTCTGGCGCTCCAGCAACGTCACTTTGACAAACGTGGAGGTCAAGAACGCCTGGAGGTCGTGGAACCGTGACTCGCCCACCCACCACGCACAGAACGTGCCCACGGGGAGCTTGCCCTTGCTTTCCCACACAGCTTCCAGGGCGTAGCCAGTGGCGTGCTTGGGAGTTAACCAGTCAGCGCGCTCGGGGGCCCCCAGCGCCGTGCACAGCTTCACCGCCTACGAAACGGTTTCACAAAACGCAACAGAATAGTTGTACATATCGAAAGACATACGTCCGCATGGGTTATGTCCCACGTAACGGAAGGAGTGGCGCAATGCACCTTGACAGCCAAGTCAAAGAAGGACGCGACGGCATCCGGCGGCGCCAGCTCCACCTTGGCGTGAACCATGAAGCCATCTCCAAAGCGGCTCTTGAGGTGTTGCACGCTTCCAAGGCAGCGCAGCCGGCCCCCCACCATGATGCCCACGCGGGTGCACAGCGCCTCGCACTCCTCCATACTATGTGTGGTCAACACGATCGTCGATTCTTTCTGCGTCGTGGAAACGTCAGCAATCACGTCCCACATGAACCTACGAATCGAATCAGTACGAATGTTCAATGGGAAATGTAATTCCATACCGGCGGGAGACGGGGTCCATGCCCGTGGAAGGCTCGTCCAGGAAAATGATGGGCGGTGACCCGATCATGGCCATCGCGACCGACAGTTTGCGCTTGTTGCCGCCACTTAGCGTCCCCGCGAGTTTGTGTTCGAACGAGTTGAGGTTCATCTGCCGCATCTTTTCTACGACGACCATGTTGACATCTTTCCAAGGCACGCCTTTGATCTTGGCGAATAGCTCCAAGTGCTCGCGAACGGTGAGGAGGTCGAAGAGTGCATCGAATTGGGGGCAGTACCCCACCAGTCGGCGCACTTGGAGCTGCTGCGTGAGGATGTCGAACCCGCCCAACGTCGCCCGCCCGCTCGACGGCAAGATGTCCCCCGTGAGCATTTTCATGGTCGTGGTCTTTCCCGCGCCGTTAATCTACATCATCACCTTCTGTTAACCAACTATGAAGTACTCACAGGAGAGCCATACATACCCCCAAATACCCAAAGCACTCGCCCTTGGGCAGCCCAAACGACAGGTCGCGGACAGCGATTTTGTTGCCCTGATAGACTTTTTTGAGTTTCTTAATCACAATCATGTCCTTGTCTGCACGCCCGTCCAGCACGCGCTTGGCTTCGTCGGCCACGTCCTTGTCTTCTTCGTGGGCAACATGAGGCAATTTAGGATCGCGGACGAAAATGGCTTTGATCTTCGGGAAACTCAGGGCGAAATCGATACCCGCGGCGCAAATGAAGTATGCCACCGACAGCACCGCCAAGTACTTGATTTCTAGCCCCATGATGTCGTCACTGAAGGCACTCACGGCGCCGGACGTGGTAAAGAGCCCAAGGAGTGAGTGCAAACACAGCTTGAGGAGGCCGTTGCTGAGGCAGAAGAGGGGCGAGAGGCGCCAGATGTAGATGAGCGATTCGTTGGCAGTCTTGGTCGAGTCAAACAAATTCATGACAAACGACGCAATCATGAGCACGAGGCCGATCAAGATGTTGATGAGCAGCGTGTAATTCTGCGACGTGGCGTGGTTCTTGAAGACGTATGACAGGCAGTACGTGAATGGAATGATGGCCAACCCAAAGAGAACGAAAATCGTCACAATCGCGGCGGGGGTGTCGGTGGCGCACGCGGCGCAGTCGACGCCGGTGAGACTTTGAATTTTGAACGCGTTGATCATGATCAGCGCCGCCGCCAACGGAACCACGTACAGCAGCATGTCAAACACGTAGTTGGCCAGCCAAAACGCCGGTAAACTCACGCCGGACACCAACTGCTGATGCTTGGCGTTGTGCTCGTTGGTCTTTTCCTTGACGAGGAAGATCACGATCGACGCTGGAAAGAACGACATGGCCAGCGAAATGATGATGCACGCCACGAACGACAGCGCCGAGCTAAACAGAGCTTTGACCGTTGCCGTGAGCGGAAACGGGTACAAATTCACCTATCCAAAGGGCAGGAACTGAGGATAGTCCAACAGGCTAAGTAAGTACCGTGACAGGAAACTTTCCGTTGAGCATTTGGATGAGGGCTTCGTCCAGTGCTGCTTTGAACACCCCCGCCGCATGCGTGGCGGTGGTGTTGACGAGCATGTTGTAGCTCAAAATCTGATCGGCAGTCGAAGCATACATGACGAACGCAGCGTACTGGCCATCGATCAAGTCGTTATACCCGCGGCGGAAGACCTTTTCGGCCGTGAGAAGACACGTGTCTGCCGCTGGGCCGTACTGCTGTTTGATTCGCGGCATGGATGCACTGTACGAAATGCCAAACACCGTCAGCGACGGATCCGAGGACAAGTCGGTCAACGGGATCGCGGCCGGGGTGGCCCGCTGAATCTGCTGGCCCCACTTGGAGCACACCCCGCCGTCGTCTTTGGCGCAAACGAACGGCGCGGGGGTGTTGAGTCCGTTGGCGAAGTGCACGGACGGATCGAGGCGGATCTTGGGGTCGTTCGCCAGCAACGAGCTGTTGGCCAGGGAACTCAAGCCAATGTACAGGAACAAGATGGGCAGCACGGTGCTGAAGATCATGGACTTTTTGTCGCGCTTGGCCACTCGGAATCGTTTTTGAACGAGTGCGAAGAGGTGCTGGACGAACATGGAGATGGCAGTCCGGTTCAGCCCTTGCACTGAGTAGCTGGATGCCGCCGCCGCCTTGTCGCCAGACTTGGTCTTGTCCAGCGTGTGCTGGCCGTCGTCGTCGCTGATTTCTGCGACCTTGATGAACACTTCCTCGAGCGTGGTCACAGACACCCCAAACGACGAAATCTGCAGCTCCGACTGTCTGGTCGGTTCTTCGAGTTCCTGGAACATGGTCGGAAAGATCGGCGAGCTCTCGATGGCCAATTGGAAGCTGATTTCGGACCCGACGTTGCTCAATACGGCGGCTGAAGGAATGTGCTTTTGGATAAACGCCACCAAGCTGGTTTCGTGGCTACATAGTTGGTGGTTTTTTAGATATATATATATTTGCAAAACGGTATTGGGGTGCCTACTCCAACGTGGAATTGCTCGACTTGGCGATTGTGAGGGTATACCCGGCGCCAAACTTGCTTTTCAGGTACAGAGACGACCCACAACATCGCAACTTGCCCTCGGCCATGATGGCAATGCGATCGCCGAGGATGTCGGCTTCGTCCATGAAATGCGTGGTCAACACAATCACCCGATTCATGCGATTGTTCAAGATCAATTCCCTACGAGCAGACGAATGATTCCCTAAGAAATAATGGGAAAATATATGATTTTACCAAGTGCTCCGGCGACTGTACGGGTCCATCCCCGACGTCGGCTCGTCCAAAAAGACCAGTTTGCTGTCTCCAAGCAGGGCTATGGCCACGCTGAGCTTGCGCTTCATGCCCCCCGACAAGCTGGCTGTAAACACGTGGCGCTTCTCTGTGAGTCCCACTTCGGCGATCTTACCTGCCACAAATTGAAGTCAACGTGACATAGAAGTGCTAGTTGCATTGCGTACTGGTGACCACGTCGGTTAATTCTGCTCCAGAGTAGCCTTTGATACGCCCGTAAAAAACCAAGTGCTCTTGCACAGTCATGTCCGCATACAGTACGTCGTGCTGGGGACACATGCCGAGGGACTGGCGGATGGCATTCATGTCGTCGAGGATCGAATGCCCGCCAAAGAACGCATTGCCCGTAGTGGTGGGGATCATGCCCGTCAAGATCGAGATGAGCGTCGTCTATACAACCACAACAGCGTTCAAAAATATGGTCTCACTTGGTCGTTGAGTCTCGAGGTTGCGATGGTTAGTACGTGGTTAATACCTTGCCAGCGCCGTTGTGCCCCAAAAGACAGGTGATTTGATCCTGATACATGGTTAAGTCGACGCCATTCACGGCCACTTTGGTGACCCCCAACGGTGTTTGAAACGTTTTGCGAATGCCGCGAATCTTCAAGGCTCGGCCGTCCTCTTCTTGTGCCTATGGAAATGCAAAAACAGGTTACGGCCTAGTTGTTATTTCATAGACGAGGCGACAATGATCTACCTGCACGTCGACCCCCACGGGCTCCACATTCGACGTGTCCGGGGCTGCGTCCGCGACTTTGTCCGCCGGCCGCGCATGAACAACGCCACTGCCGCGCCAAAAGGACACTTGGAAGAGAAAGTACCATTTGCGAGGGGTGCCGTAGTCTTGGGGCAATACTTCCTGGAGGTACAACCCCAGCGCCGTGTACAAGAGCGTGTCCAGCACCAACATCCCCAGCCCTCCCTGGAATCGAAAGTTGCCGTACGGGACGTTTGCATTGGCGGCCGTGAGGCCCGTGGACACGCCTTCGACATTGGCCAACGTCTAGACAAAACCCTTCACTGTCGAAAGTCGTAGAGGACGGTACGCACCCCAATGCAAAACGTAAACGCGACCGGGGACAAGAGCGAAAAGAGCATCTTCACGGGCTCGAGCGAGTTGGTGGCAAAGTTGCCGAGGAACGCCAAGATAAAGTAGAACACGTTGCCTGCAGTACCCGCCGTCTTGGAGTTGGAAAAGATGCACGAAACCAGAAATCCGTAGGCAAAGATGGACGTCGAGTACAAGAAGAACAAGATGAACAAGTAGCCAAAGCTCGTGTTGGGGAACAGCTGCGTGCCCGCGAGCGCCGCCAGCACCGAGCTCACAACAAAGATCAGCAGGTACGTGATGTACCACGAGAGGACAATGGCGGCATCGCGGACGCCCAGAATCTTCATGAGTTCGCGCGCGCGGGTTTCTTTCTCCTGCGTGAGCACGACAATCACCCGCGACACGGCGTGGAGATACGCCAGGATGAAAATGATGGAAAACACTTGCGACACCATGCTGTAGAACGGCGCTTTGATGTACGCTTGAATCGGAAACGGGTACGTCGTAGCGCCGACATAAGCTTGGGGGGCTTGCTTGAGGGGGTGCAACAACGCCAGCGTCGAGTTGAGCGGCAGCGCCTCCAACAACGTCGACACGTTCATGCCTATTCCAAGCTGAGGGTTTCCTGCCACCGACTGCAAAATGTCCGTGAGGACTTCGTCTTGCAGAAGTTGCGACGTCAACCGCTGGAGCACTGCTGGAGAGGACGCGGCCACCGATTGGACTTGCTGGCATGAGCCGTCAGTGGTCATGCTAACGGCGTTCCACGTCGGAAGGCACGCGAGGAACTTGGTCACGGCAGTCTGCAGCGTGTTGGTTCCGCGGCGAACGTAAGTGTTGTAGTACTTGCGGTTGAGATTTTTCTGCAACGGATCGACGAACTTGGGGTCGTTGTTGGCCGTGTGGGGAATATTCCCAACGTCACCGCCTTCGCGCTGCGTCGAGTCGATGCGAATCGTGTACTCGATGGGCGCCGCCGTCCCAATTTGCGTGTCGGTGGGATACGTGTCAAAGACAATCCCTGCGTATATCTTGGGATTGGCCGTGTCCGTGCCGTACTTCGTGCCTAGAAATAGGTTAGAACACCTGCGAAATACAAGCCATGCAGTCTAGTTGGTACCAGAAACGTAGGCTTGAAGCGCGTCGGCCGAGTCGAAGTACATCACAGAGTCTGTCCAACTGGGCACGACTGGCGTCGCATTGTACGCGTTGTGCGATTGGTTGGACAGCGGAATCTGCGGGTACCACGCCGCCATGGTTTGGCTAAAGTAGTTGACCGTGAACGAGTTCTTGGGCGCAATAGCTAGCTTGTACGGAATGAACTTTCCTAACAGAAACATCACTACACTGTAGAAACTTGTGGTTTGGACAAACCTCGACATTCCACAGGTATGGCAAATGGGGAGGTAGGGTCGATGTTGGTGTAGCCAAGGTACAAGAACTTGGTTGCACATATCGTCTTGTCGGACGGCACCAGGTCGTTGGTTTCGTTGCGATTGAAGTCATACTGCGAGTGTTGTGGCAACCTATATATGGTGGTCAATGACTAAGTATTTGAAGAAGACGACACTACGCACGCCAGCAACAAGGCGGTCATGGACGTTTCCACGAAGCCAAAGGTCGGCGCATTTCCCCCGTAGACGCCGATGTTAGCCCCCAAGTTGCCGTTGCTCGATTCAAACAAGTTGGTGCTGCCGACGCCAGTCACAAATCCCGCCGCGATGGACGTGTTGGGCTGGAGCGTCTTAAAGTACGCAAACAAGATGACCATCAAGGCGGGAATGGCGATTTCGAACGCCGTCGCGATGTAATGCCGCTGCTTGAGCAGACGGTTCTTCCACATGAGCGTGCCAATCTGCCGAAGCAGACCGTGGGCGCGTCGCACCATCGCACACGAATGGGAAGTGCCTTTTGAATAAGTGAAACCCACTGGAGCAGTTACATCAAACAGCGAAAGGTCAGCGTTTCGAGCCGCGTTAAATACTAATAGTATCCATCAACAAAACGACCTTTGCATGCCATTGGCCGTGAAATTTCCCCGTTTCACTTTTGTTGCTTGGTTTACGAGTACTCTACAGTACATTATGATAGCTTGTATTATATTAATAGCAATCCATCACACCATGGAACGACACAAGATCATGTCCCCCTTGTGTCATACTGTACCTGCTGGCGATGTGTTTTAACCTCGCCTGTCCGACTTCCACTTGCGTTGAGCTCAAGTTGCCTAACGTTACCTGGTATTAATAGCCTCTATAATCACGGCATTGGTTAATGCTAACGTAGAAAACCAATTTAAGAACACTTTGTCCGAGACGCTGCGATGGAAGGAACGAAGCTCAGCATGGATGATGCATCAGATTCACATTCCGAAAAGTGCTGGATGAGGCCAAAGCGGAGTTGATTCATTGGACATTCAAATAATTGTGTTTCACGGTCTATTTGACAGACATAAATAACATTTTCAAAGCAAATGTACTCAAAACGTGAGAACCAGTTAATGGTGCACACTATTATCTTAAATTTGTATACCCATTTGCATATTTTTTGTGTGGTTATGTTATGTAATTTCAGCAGTTAAATATTAAATCCAGACAGGTAATGCAATTATACAGTTGTGAGAAACTGTCAGTGACCATTTTTGAAATTGACGCGAGTCCGACATTTTAGGAATCCACAACCAGGTGTGCACGAAAAATTGGAGGTCCAACATCACATGCAAAGGTATTTCATGTAATGCGATGAATTACACTACAACGTGCACAGCGTTCTTGCGGTTGGCTTTGCCTTGACCATTAGGCAAGGGCTTGAGGCCCATCATGGCAGCGACACGGGCACAGCACCAGCACCGCTCTTCGCTTCTTCTTTCGTTCGGAGTGCAAGTCACCCGTGACTACAGTAGTATTAAGCCTCGTGAGAATTATATACATACGTGTACAATGAAAGTATTTGTAACTTTACCGTCATTCACAATCTCCTCAAAAATGGCTTTACGAATCGCCGTCGCAGTGCAGCCGTCATCTTGGCCCACACCAAGAACGTCCCCTGGGGAGCTACCGCGTCAAAGCAACCGATACGGGTCAACGCTTGAGCTACAAACGCCGTAGCAGTCTGACAGTGCGTCGCGAACGCTTGGTTCCACGCCAAGCCATGCCGAAGCGCACCCTCTGACTCAAGCTCGACACCCCTTCTACCGTGGAGACGAAGCCGCCGTGGTCGGCCAACGCACGTGCCTCAGCAGCTGACGGGGCCAAGATGGCTCCGATGCGGAATCCAGCCAAAGCGAACCCCTTGGACAAGCCGTACACAGTCCACGTGTTGGGGTAAAACGTGAGCATACTGTGAAGCTGGGCTTGTCTGCCACCGTGTCGGCCCACACCTCGTCGGAAATGACGGTGATGGATCGGGCAGAAGCCCACCCTGCGAGGGCGTGGAGGTCGTGTGCCGAGTAGACAAACCCAAGGGGGTTGTGGGGGTTGCAAATGGCCAAGAACATAACGCTCGGGTCATAGTGCGCCTCCAACACTGCCAAGTCGAGGCCCGATCGCGTGACGGGAAACCGAATGACTCTGGCGTTGGTGCGTTGGGCCGTGAGAGGAATGAGAAAGTCGACGGGGTCAGGGATCAAGATGGCGTCATTTGGACCGACGAGGTAGTTCATCACGACAGACAAGGCGGACGCGGCGCTATTGGCGGCCAGCACCTGGTCTGGGGACACCACACGGTGGTGGGAAAAGTAACCGGCGATGGTTTGACGGAACTCGTCGAGTCCCATGGCCGGCGCGTACGGAAACACTTTGGTTGCGACTTCATTCTGCAGAAACTCGACCACGCGGTCGCTGCAGGCGAAGTCCGGGTCGGCCGCCGTGAGCGGGATCACTCCTTTTTGCACCGTCGCCCACCGGTAGTTGAACGCTCGCTCCCGCAGAAACCTCCAGTGGTGCCATGCGTAGTGGCTCCATCAATTGGGTTGACGGCGGTGATTCAATGATGGGAGCCTGCACATGCATCCACGTGTTGGACGGGAACGACTTGAACTTGGATGCAAATACCACCCCTCGGCCACGACTGGCTTGGAGGCGTCCAGTCGTCGTTGCGAGTAGATTGGCCCAACGGTGGCGACGTCGTTGTCGTGGGCCTGAAGCAGCTGCACAAACTCGACAATGCCGTCAATGGCGCCGTTAACCCCTTGGCTACTGAATGGGTGAAACTGGTGGGCTGCATCCCCAAACAGCACGACGTTCTGCTTGTGCAGCGTTTCGACATTAGAGATGGCAGACGCATGCCACACATACACCTTGAACTGCGTCTGGCTGGCGATAGCAGTCGCTACAGGACAGGTAAACGACCGAGCGAGACGCCGCACGAGATCACAGCTGGCTTCGGCCGAAGAGGGTACCGGGTGGTTGTCTTGGTTGACTTGAAAGTAGTACAGAATGTCCCCTGAGTGCAATGCTACGACCCCCATGGCCAAACCGGATTCCGAGGACAGGTATTTGTGCATGTGGCCAGGCGCCAAGTGTGGGCGGAGAACGGTAGATTCAGTGGGCGAGAGCAAGCCCAGGAGCTCGTAGCTGCCGACAGAGAAGATGGACAGGTCCGAGTTCATCCAAGCCCGAGTGGGGGACCGTGCGCCTTCGCACCCCGCCACCACGTCGTCATTGCCTTGTTGTGACTCTTATACTCCGAGGTGTACGTACACTCTACCTGCGTGACCCTCGTGTACTTCTGAGGCGCAGACCGACTCAACAGTTTAGAGTGGTATGTGCACGACGACGGCTTCAATGTGGTTGTCCTTTTCATTGTGCCACGATATTTTTAGTCCAATTACCAATTACCGCACATTTTTGTGACTAGATTAAATCATGCTTTGTTCTTTTCAAGACTTTGCTTGCGTCATAATAATGTCCCTGCTTCGATATGACAATGGCACATTAGATTGGATTGAACAGTTGCTGTAGAGCATGTACCAATATAGAAATAAAATATTAGAGAGGTTTAGCAACTCATCGTTACAATATCTACGTTACTGTTGGCTTTGGACGCTCAGTTCATCAATGGAATGGCCGAGACGAGATGGTGGCCTCCTTCCTTCACTTTGCGCTTTCCCTCGGACACTTCGATAACAAAAAGGCCCGATATTTATTGGTTGATCCACCCAACGGGCCCCGCGTACATTACATTGTAGTGGGTTGAGTCGAACGGAGCGGTTGAACCAGGGATACGTTACTTTGGTGGTTGGAGTTGATGGCAATTTGCATTGTATCAACACTCGACGCAGCCACGTCTTGGGTGGCGGCCTGAAGGTGGTCCAACAGTTTTCGCAGATGCGGGAACCTCGCGATTTAAAATCGAAACCGCGTCGATCGGATACAACCGACGTACATATGGAGGTCAGGGTCGAGCACTGCTGACACATTGACGCGGCGGTGCCAACGAAACTGGACGCCACGAGCGCAAAAAGCGTGTTAAACTTGTGGAAAAAATGTCAAAAGAAAACGAGCTTTGGTCGAACAGCGGTGCAGTATGCTACTTGTGCAGTTTGGATCCCCTCCCATGTACAGTACAAGTATGGGCTAGCAGACCATGCAGTTGGCACCGGGTCGACTCGGTGGCCCCAACGCCTTGTTAAAATGGTCGTTGGATTTCGCCAATTCGATCACGACACCTCGAAACGGCAAGTTTAGGGACCTAATTGAAGGCGGGGCGGCGATTTGATACAAATCGATCGAGCCAAACGGGTCCATTCTAGCACGTCAGACATTGGTTGCATTCACTCGGGGTAGAAGCCCCCACGGTAAGTTGCAGGATCCCACGTGAGGTTGGAGGGGTTGACGAGGTAGTCAGCATAGTCTCAAGGGAGCGTAAACCGTGGATTGGCAGAGTTCATGCGCAGCACAAACTGTAGCCGTGAGAAACGCAAACGTACAAGTCGTTGGCAGCGCCCCATTGTAGCACATTGGTGCTCCCACGCGACTTGGTGCCGGTGGCTTTGATGGAAATGGTGTGGTTGCCCCCGAAGGCGTTCTGCAATCGACGTCGTTTCAGCGATCACCCGTTGGAGATTTGCAGGTTGAAATATGTCACTCCCACTTGTTTCCTTAGGGTAACTTTGACTTTGCCATCCCCGCCGATTTGCGCAACCCGTCACCGATGGAAACGTTGACCTGAACCTCCCGACAGGCAAGGAATGTCGTCCTGTCCACGAGTCTCGAAGCGGACTCAAAGTACTCGGTGGCATTCTTAATGTATCGAGCGCGGTACCGTTTCTAGCGCAAATCAATGCGATTTTCCATATATATTGGTCGAAATCCACCCAACAATCCTGCGTGCTGACGACTTCTGCGCCTTAAGACGACGACAAAACAGTGCGATTTGTCTTCAACGGCAATGTACAGTACCGCTACGACTGAAAGCTTGTAATGAACAAAAATCTAAATTATTAGGCAGTTTGAGATGGTTTGAACGCGACTTTGTTGTCGCTCATGTTGCCCGTGTAATCGTGGAGGGCCTTGACCGTGTCTTCCAACGGATACGCCTTGCTGATGGTGGTCTTGAACGCCGAGTTGAGTCCTCCAGTGACTTTGCGGATCATAAGGATTCGGCCGAGCGTGCCTCGCTTGGCGAGATATGGCACCAGCCAAAAGCCAGTCACGTTCTTGCCCTTGAAGATCATCTCGGAGGGGCTCACTCCACTCACGGGTTGGTTCGACAGTCCCCCATACACTTGGACCTCGGATCCGTTGGGCATGCAGGTCAAGACGTCCCCCGTGAGAGAGCCGGCCACGGCATCGAACGCCAAGGTCGCGCCCAAGGATTCCGTGAGCGTTGTCAGCTGCGCCTTCCAGTCCGACTCGGACGTGTCGACGATGTACTTGGCTCCGATGGTTTGAAGCGATTCCGCTTGTTCCCGTCGACGCACCACCGCGATGACGTCCACCCCGTTGTCTTTCGCATGTTTGACGAGCATTTTACCTAGCGCGGACGCCCCCGCGGTGTGCACAATAGCTTTGGTGCCCCGGGCAAGGGCCAGTTCCACAAACGCGACCACCGTCAACGGGTTTACAAAGCAGGAGGACCCGCCTTCGAACGACACATCGTGGGGCAGCTTGATGCACGTCATAGCTGGCACGGTCACGTATTCGGCCCAAAGACCTTGGTCCGACTTGACGATCCCCACACGCTTGCCAACCATGTACCATCCCATAATGCCACCGCCGGAGGCAACGACAACGCCGCTTCCCTCTGTGCCAGTCAACGACGGCAAGGGCAGGTCATTGTCGGAGTTGTACTTGCCTTGGAGCATGCTCAGGTTGGATGGGTTGATGGGGCTGCACTCAACCTTGACAAGAACTTCGCCGTACTTGGGCGTGGGAACGTCAATCTCACGGACTTCAAAGCAAGACGCCAGGTCTTCTTGCTGGAAGGTGGTCACTTTCTTCACGAGGAAGAGCGCGCGCATCGTGGTGGGGTAGGCAGGTAACATGGCAACGAGCGATTATTGCGAAATGAAGCTGAGGCCTTTGAAGAAATCAATTTGCCTGAAATTTCGCATCTGTGACATGACCTTCGCAAGATGTTGACACCAAAAACAGGGTCACGACAAACTGGTGGCTTGCGAACTCACAAACGCAAAGCATAACTCTACAATTTAATAACATTATCAGTTAGTACAGTACATTTGTGGTTCACTGCTATTAACTGTAAGCCTGGTTTCGATGTCCACGACTACAACAGGGGCGATGGTGTCCCCACACTTTAAAAATACACCTCTTATCCGGAAAACAATTAGTACCAGTATTGTAAGACCTGCTGTTATGGTACAAGCTTAGAGTTGGACCAATCGGATTGGATTACGCAGCTTGGAACTGGACAAATCCGATTCGTAAACCACAGCCTTCATTCCGATGTAAACATCGACTACTCAAGTATCCGGATGCACCCATGCAGCTTCATTTATAGTTACTAGTACTAATTAAATTTGTGTGGTCTACTGGTATTTTCAATTTATTACTACTTCGAAGTACTACTGTACTCTGGTCCATAAATCCTTTTTAGGCCTTCTTATGTTAGTGAAGTGTACAGTACAATGCGATACTTCGAATTATTTATATGGATTTCAAATATCCGTGATAGTATCATGTGTCATCCAAACGTCATCCCAACGTCATTCAACAATTATATTATATTAACCATAGTATCCAAGGTTGGTATTAATATTCAATGCTGTCCCGTAAGTCTTAAGTATGCAATATTTAAAATTTTTATCACAAAGTTACAAAACAATTGGGTGCGTCTATAGTTTTTGGGCGGACTGTAGAACGTTGATCATAATTGGAAACATCAATTTAACGATATCACAAGTGAGCCATTATTGCGAACAGTGATTTTGGCACGAATTCACCGAATCCCACGCCAGTGGGTACAGTACTATTCCCGAGACCGATTCTTTCGAGCCTAACGTTGCAACAACCAAGTTAAAGTCGCTAGGATAATATTTACACGTGAAAATGACCATACCAGTGCCATCATAAGCTCTTGCTCCCGCTTCTGCAGCTGCTCCACGCGAACGTTCATTTGCCTCACTTGATCCAAAATGTCAAAATCTGTCGGACTCTTGTCGCGATGGTGTTGGACTTGCTCCTACAGAACATCAGCACGACTATGGTGGCTACTCTGGACCTTGAGGCGGTCGTTTTCTGCTTTCAGTTTGTCCATGGCGTCGTTCGTTCGTCGAACATCCACAGCGGGGGGTTGGGCACGTCTGTCCACGGCATTTTGAAGTAACTCATTCTCTTGCCTGTAAAATATATAATTTGGTCACTTTATGCAGAGATGCAGCTACAATTCGCACATGAGGCTCTTGAGGCGGTGCTCCGAGTACCCTTGATTGGCGTGTAACTGGGCGTTCTCTTGCTGCAAAAAGATGAGCTGACTCTGATACGCTGACATGACGCCATTGAGCGAGTCAAAGTCGGCGGCGCTTGGCGGGGCCTCGTGCTCGGGCATGTTAGGCACTCGTCCACTTAACGGTGCAATTCGCATCGGGGGCTTCATTCCGTCCGATGTTAACGACGGACTCTACCAACAACAAGGTCGTTCGACATGTCATTGCTTCGCCAGAGTACCCACCCGAAGCACGTCTGTGGGTTTGCCAGCACTTCGCAGTTGCTGCTTCAAAAACGCATTCTCGGTCCGCAGCACTTGATTCTACAGATCTGTCACTTTGCACTTTGGCTATCATACTCCCAAACCTCTTTTCGCAGCCCAAGAATCAAGCTTTCCTTGGGGTCCATTTGCACGGTCGGTTTGTTCTGGATGTTTTTCGCCCTCGTCGCATAATTCAGCGTGCTCAACGTATCTTCCATGACCACGGGCGACGGCGACACGCATGCGATCATGAGGGTGAGGCTGTTGCCGCCCAACGAATCCATGAGCAATTTGGTCAGTTTGCTGTCTCTGTACGGCACAAATACTTGTGTGTCTACAAAAGCGTTGTTAAGAAAGTTATACGATCCGAGCCTGACTGGATTTGGTGCCGAGCGCAGCAATCACTTTGCCCAACGTGAGCAAACTCTTGTTGATGCTGCTGGTTTCCTCGGCGTTGGCTGACTTGGTGTCTCGCAGCCGTTCGCTGCCAGCCAGGTCCACAAATGACATTTTGCCATACTTGACAACCGAATGACCGTCGTTCGGGTCGAGCACTTCTTGGTCCAGTGTAATCGTCAAGATACTGTGGCTTCGACTCGAATCTTTGTTCATTTCGTGACTTCCCACACTAGTAGCACCCACTCGTCAAAGTGAGTATGTTACCAGCGGTTAACGTACCGTCGATTTCGATGGCCTTCGTCCACGACCGCCATGACATCGTCCATCGAGTCGCATTGCACCACGAGGAGGTTCTGAAGTGTAGTTTAACAGGAGATTCTCAATCAAGCATTCGTACTTGAACGTAAAACCCGTTGCGGTCGTTCCACCGCACGTTAAGGGCCCCCGACGCCGCGTTCAATAGATCGTACGCCTACAAGAATACACGAATATGACTATGTTATGTGGGTAGAAGTGTACTTTAACAAGAAGAACCTGTTCGTTGTAGATCTCACAATACGACGCCTTCATGGAAAATGTCGTGTCGGGGGACTTGCTGGCCACGGATTGGAACAAGTACCGAATGGATCGAGGTATGAGTCCGTCCGATGGGTCGTCGTAATCCTGGCTAGTGGTGCGCTCTTTGGACAGCCCGAGCTTCTCCTCGAGCCCTGACATGCTAATGCCATCGTTAAACTACACTTGTAGCGGCTTAACAGACTGCCATTACCTATATGTCTTTCCCGATCCCGTTTGGCCGTACGCAAACACAGTGGCGAGGTACCCTTCGAGCGCCGAATCCAACAGGGTGGTGATGCCACTGAGGGTGAAAAAGTCGTCCTGGCTCATGTCTTCCGACGCACAGAGGTCGAACTGGAAGTTCCGGACAAGCTCTCGCCCCCCCGCACCTGCCGACACGACTTGCATTTCCGTGCGATTGTTGGACAGAAACCGAAACATGGATGTATCCCCTCGGCCGGCCTCGGTGCTGTTCAATGGCCGGGCACGTAGAGCCACGCGGACGCTGTTAGGACATGCCCCCGTGAAGATTGCCCTGGCTTTGTAGAATCGCGGTCGGAGAATTACCTGCTGTCGAGTTTGCTTCTCGAGGTGGAGTCCATCGACGGAGTTGCCTTGGAAGTTGGAGTTCGAGCACGTCGAGCTACATGTGCGCGACAGCGTCAAGAGGAAATGCGTGTGAGAGTAGGAATTCTTTGTACATGAAGATATGTCCTTGCGCACACCATTGCCTGGTGGCTGGGGCCCGCTACCGGTGCGAGAAGGCACCATGATTGTACTGCGACCGTTACAGTCCAGAATGACGGTTTCACTTGACTGCAATGACATGCATAAAGGAGAGGTTCCCATGCCCAGGAACTGACTTGAGAGCTAACTACTCTACTACCATCAACGAAGCGTGAGAGATTACAGAGTCAAGTGCGCCGACTCGCATCATGTCCAACAGGTTACACCGGACGTTTCACATTGGAATAGGAAATTTACGGTTGATAGATCGAACAGGGCAAACTTGTAATATTTGATATTTTATCCCTTGTATCCTTTTATAGAGTAATGTCTCATGATTGGTGGATGGGAACGAATCATTAGCGAGGAATTGGTCATCGTCCGGATAAGGGTGTTCAAATATTTGAACACTGGTTTGTGTACCGGACAGGCGCGGCGGCAGACTCGACAGGCAACCATGCAAGCCACGGTACGACATGGAGATCGAGGAAGCTACGTGTAACCTGACGCGTAGTTGAGTTGGAGCTCCAAGAACAGCATGGTGCTGGACCCGTTCGCCAGTCGCCTGGCGATTGGAGACGAAGAATGGCGTGAAAAGATTCGCGTGCTGGACGAACTTCAGTCGTTTGTAGGGATCCATGCATCGAGTCTCACGTCCGAGCACTTAAACGCACTTGTAGTGCCATTCCGAACGATGGTGCGGATGCTCTGACGACACGAATCTAATGCTATGACATCCTGTAGTTTTGCGAGCTCAGGTCGTCCGTCGTGAAGAAAGCATGCGACGTATTCAGCGAACTTGCCCAGTTGCTCCGTCAAAAAGTCAAGCCGCTCGTGGACAAGGTGTTTCAAGCCATGATGGAAGCCAGAGGGGGGTCCAACAAGGTACTGTACATGACGATATCTCTTCGGTCCATTGATTAAAGTCGCCTTCCAGGTCAACACTCAAGCCATTCACGCGTGCATCGAGTCTGTCATTCACGTTGTTGTGAGCAAGAGTGCCCTGACGTCGATGTTTTACTCTTTCAAACACACCAAGTACGTACGGGGCTGTCGATTTATCGTACATGTTGCCCTCCTCACAACTCCAACAGGAACGGCCAGATCCGAGACTCGTGCCTGCAGTACTTGTGGATTGTGCTGACGAACTGGAACCCCACCGTGCTGGAAGCGGTCAAACCTCGCATTCAAGAGTGCATTCTGGTATGTTTAACACAAGGTGATCGATTCTTCAGGTCCTTTACGACCATTATGGGGTAGAGTTCGTTGAGCGACGCGTCGCCGTTATGCCGTGAAGTCGGCCGACAATGCTACGGGTATGTATATATCTTTCATGGTGGTATTCGCGTGACATTCTATTTCGTAGCCAATTTATCGCGCTGTGGCCAGCCAAGAAGCTCGAGTTGCAAGCCAAGTTGTCACCCACCGCCATGAAGTACCTCGCGGCGCTGAATTTTGCAGACAAAGTCGTCCCAGAATGTGAATCCGTACGTCTAGTGGGTTTATGAAAGCGGTCAATAACGAAGAGTGATGCCTGCCATAGCACTTGCCTCGACGGAAAGCCCTGCATGATATTTCAAACACTGCGGACCTCCCCGTCGTCAAGAAAAGGGTGATGCACGGCCAAAATATATAAATGACGTTCTAATGTATTTTCGTAGAAAGATTACATGGGTCGAGCGATTGAACACCCAGCGCACGAAGATAATGATGATACCAAGCACCTTCCGTCCCAAATCGCCACACTAGAAGCGGCGCTGCAACTCTCCAAGCAAGTTGTTGCGCAACTCAAAGCCGAAAACGAATCCCTCCGGATCGAACATCGCCAGTCCCACGTTCGAATGCGGTCACTCCAAACGCAAACCACCATGCTGGAAACGCTGGTGAAAGACGCTGATTTGGATCAACAACGCCAGCAGGTGGACGCCACGGCAGCCATTCAATCCAAGAACGACGAGAACCGCCGCCTGCAAGGACTTCTAACATCGGCCTTGAATCAAGTGGACAGGCTGTCGTCCAGCCAGTGGAAGCCGTCCGCCGGCCCGTGCCGCCGCCACCGCTCGCTTCGGACGCGGGCGTATTCATTGGACGCTGCCGTTGGGGAGACTTGTGAAGAAGCCAAGTCGAAGCAGTCAACAGATACAACTCGGTTGTTTTGCCAAGTCAAAAGCCAGCCTTCGAACCCCGACGACCAGACTGAAAGGCTTCAAAACGACCTGGCCAATATGACGGCGACGCTGGAAAGCGTGCAGGTGGAGAAAGCCCAGTTGAACGACCAAGTGGATTCCCTGGGCAAACAGCTGGAGCACCTGCAGAAGACACTGCACGACGTTCAAGTGGACGGAGCGTTCGAACAGACCAAACATCTCAACATGGAAGCGGAGTTTGTCGACAAGATCCACGACCTCGAGCAACAGCTGCAGGCCGCGACCGCCGAAAATGAAGTGATGACGGAGCAGTTGGCCACGAGTGCGTCGACCTGCGCGGCGCTCAAGGCCGAGATGGACGTGGTGAAAAGCCAACTGTCCAAGGTCACAGCGGACTGCACGGAGTTGGAGACGGATAGACAAGCTGTCTTGGTCGAAATCGACCGCGTTCGGACCGAGTTGACGTCAAAGTTGGCGCGAAAGGAAGTGACGCTGGACCGACTCAAGACGGAGAACACAATGGTGCAGATGAAGGTCGAGGCATTGATGAAAACCAACGAAGAGCTTCACAGCATCGTCAAGATCACGGAAGACGCGTACTACCAGATCCGAGAAGACGTGTCGTCGCAGTCATTAGAGGAAGTCGAGTGCATGGCGGGCGTGAAAGCCGAGAACGACAGCTTGCAGGCCCGCGTGCAGGGATTGTTGAAGCAACTGGACGCGGCGGAATCGACCAACGGCCAGCTCCGGGACCTCGTGACCGAGGCGGAGACAGATAAGGAAGAACTCAAGGACAACCTGCAAGCCACCGTGAGCCAACTCGAAGCGTGCCAATACCGGGCGGATATGGCCGATGATGCAATTGGAAAAGTGCGTCGGGAGCTATCGGCGCAACTACAGGCCAAGGACGAGGAGCTGATGAACTTGACGTTTGACAACCAGGCGCTGCGGTCCCAGGTGGAATCGCTGGGGCAGCGTGTGGATGAGCTGCAAAGTTGCATCAAATTCACGGAAGATGCGTACTACCAGATGCGGGAAGACGTGTCGTCGCAGGCGCTGGACGACGTGGCGAGTGTGGCCCCCGTCAAGGCCGAGAACGAAAGTCTCCAGACCCGCGTCCACGATCTGCTGGAGCAGCGCGACGAACTAGATCACGTCAACCAGCAGCTGCGACATGACGTGGAGAGTCTGAAATCAACGTTGAACCAACTGCACGAGCGTGAGACTGGCATGAGTCAGCACCTACGCGACGTGGAAGCGCAACTGCAAACTACGACAGAAGAAAACTGCCAACTCCGAAGCGATTTGTGTAGCCAAAGCCTCCTGGACGCCGAAGCGGCAGAGAAGAGCCAGCATGAAACCCAAGTGCTCCAAATTCAAGTACAATCCCTGCACAAGCAACTAGTTGGACTCGAAGCGGTATTGGCGGTCGGTCGCGAAGCATACCGCAAGCTTCAAAGTGACTTGGACGTGCAATCTCATGTGAAAACGGACAACGACCGCCTCCGCGTTGAAATTGCCGCCTTGACGGACCAACTGGACGCGCTCCAGGCGGCAGAACAAGCGGCTAGCTCAAGCAAGGAAGAGCTCATGGTCCTCTCAGCAAAGGCGGCGGAAGCACACGCAGAGCTCAAACGAGTCCAATCCCAAGCATCAACGTACCAGCATTCGATCCGCGACTTGGAAGCGCGGCTGCAGTCGTTGCAGCAAGACAACGCGCAACTACACGCGGCACTGGCGACCCAGTCGACCAAACAAGTGGACGCTCGTGCGAAACTCAAGTTTGAAAACCAGTGCCTCCAAGCCAGGGTCGACTCGCTCCAACGACAGCTCCTAGACACGAGTCGCGGCATATGTGACATGGACATTTCTATGCAAGATGAAGTGTGCATCGAGCTGACCCAGCGAGAGCTGGAGTCGCCGTCGAATCCGTCCAAACCTACCACCACGATATCTCCGGAAGAGCACAAGGCGTCCAACAAGCAGCCAGCACCGCTTGGAGCAGCCTCGAGATGGAACCAGCAAGTGTTTGCGTATCGTGAAAGGGGCAACTTGATGGCCCAGCGACAGCTCAACGGTAAAGTGTTATTATGATCACATCATCTTGCGTGTTGATACATATTCCTGAGATATGGTTGTGGTAGATTCAAATATTCTCAAGCGATGGAAACCCACGCCGTAGGACACTGGTTTCAGTTGCAAAGTGAACTTTAGTTGGTGTTATTACTATGATTGTCCAACTTTAACACAACAAATTGAGCAAGGGCATGGATGGCGTCGCGGGACGGCTTTCCCAATGGGAAAATAACAAAGTCGTGGTACAAGTGGGGATGCAAATACTCGGTCACGTCCACGTGGCATCGCTTGGCCTTGGCAACAAACGTTGCGATGTCCCCTGCCATGAGCTCCGTCTGTCCGTACATGACCTAATTCAGCAGAATTATTTGCTAATTCAGCAGTATTATGGCTAATTTCACTGGAATGTATGCCAACCATCAATGGAGGCAAGCCGTCGAGGGACTGCAGGCCCGGGGACGCCTCGTGGATCTTGGTCACGTCGTTGTTCAAGTACACATCTCGCCACGCCACAATGGTGCGCCTATATATAATCACCAGTGAAGTAATATCGTGGAATTATTAATAATATTAATAGTTTTGACTTTGTAAAGATGTCCGTCTTGACATCGTAGAAAGGGCTTGTCATGGTCAGGTCGAGCCATGGAGATACGAGGATGGCACAGGCCGGCAGGGGGGCGTTGTCCCGCCGTCCACGCTGCATCAGAGTCAGCACAGCGTTGCCGCCAGCAGAGTCCCCACAGAGCACCACGTTGGACGAAGGGACGCCTTGGCCAAGCAACCACATGTACGCCTAAAAGTGGCGAGATTGACTTGAGTTTTGGTTAAGAGAAGTCGTACGTCAAATGCTTGGTTGATGGCGCGAGGGTAGGGATGCTGCGGCGCCAGGTCATACTCGACGCTGAACAACCGGACTGGACGGCGGGATGACTGTTCCAGGGATTGCAAGAGGGGCTGAAACAGACTTGTGGACATGCAGTCGGCAGTTCCAGAGCCAAATCTAATGCTAAATAGTCATGCCAGATGAATCATAGATCGACGAACCCTCCGCCGTGGACGTAAAAGATCACCACCGAGTCCTGCAGCGGTGACTTGATGTCTCCGTACCACAAGCCTACCTTCACAATTGAAAACGAAGTCAAAGTGCATTCAATCGTACCTTTCACAGCGGATGTGTCAACCACTGCCGACGGCCTGTACCAAGTTATTGGAGTTGTGATGGAATCTAAACGGTCCGCATGAACGTACCAGTACGCTAGGCGCTGCACACGACCAAAGAAGGCAAAGCCAAATCGAACAACGTCGATGCCCAGAGGTGTGAAGTGGCTCATCAGTCGCTGGGACAGTGCCTCCATGTAGCTCCACTTGGCATGTGGTCGATGGAAGAGCACCACAAGTGGCGTTGCGAGGCTGTACCAGATCGCAACCAACACATCGCCCAGCATAACCATCGTCACAAATTGGAAATGATGTCAATCAACATTAGAAGTGGGTCCTGGTATTTTCATAAAAAACGATTTTTCACGAAAATTATTCAGATTACCACAAAAAAGTGAGATCGTCGCCTGCATGGCTGGCGTCTTAGCTTACAGTAATCAAAGCCAAATGCAATTTGGAGTTTCACGAAGTCTAGAGTACTCATGCGACAAAGAGAGCTGGCTGAGGCATGACATGAATACTTCCCTCGTTAAAACAGTTCCACTGTTGTTTTGACCTGAAATACTGTTTGAACGAGGGAATTATTACATCCGGATACACCTTTTCGCCAGTAGCCTTGTAACCTGGGACTCCGTCCTACTACAGTACACTGCAGTCAATGAGTACATACGATGCTAAATCTCCGTTGTTGGCGATACCTAACCACTAGCGATGCACTTAACCCCTAGTAAGAGGTGCGGTGGTCTGAGCATACAAAGTTCCATATAAACCTCATTGAAACAGTATTTCGCTCAAGAAAACAGTGGAACTGTTTTACTGTACCTACTCCGGAGTATGACATAAATATACAGTACTTATCCGACAGGCAAATTGTATGGTCGCATCCCAAAACGAGATCAGCATCAGCATGGCACCAACTGCACGTACGTATGTACTCCAGAGACAATTACGACATGCTAACTTTAATAGGAAAGGAGGGTGCTTCAGTATGTTAATATGAAGGATGCATTTACCACGCAGTTATTCGTCCTTTCCAGTTAAGGTTCCAAGTAAGGGTGGGCTGTGACAATGATGTGCTCAAGGATATCACTTGGTGACGAAGAAATAAATCGCATCGTTAAATTATGAAGCCTTCTACCACGTTACCTCAAAAGCCTTGGCACACACCATGTCGAAGTGCATCTGGATGTGGTCATCGTCGAGGCCACAGAACGTGTCCAGCCGTCGGTGTCGATGGCACAGGCCAGCTTTGCGTGAATGCCTGGAGCACCCCGGGAAGAAGCACTTGCTTCCGCCGCCGTGCTTCACGCAGAGTTGCTTGGCGTGTGCTTGTTTGCTGCATCCAGCCATGCGACACAGCTGCCGACTGGAGACTCCACCGTGGCGTAGACAAAACTCGCCGCCTTTCGCTGGCAGCATGCACGTGTCATGGGCGCACCGCGGCCGGCCTCCATGCTTGGAACACCGTCCTCTGGCGACCACCTGGTTGAAGCACTCGGACACGACGCACTGCTTCTTGTCCTTGTGGAAGTCGCACTTGGTTGCTCCTGGTGGCACGACGCGCAGGCAGTCGTTGAAGACGCATGACGCAAAGAGATCTGTCGGCTGCATGGTCAATTTGAATGTGAACACGAACGACGTGGTGCAAGGACTTCGACGACGCCTTGGGATTTTTCCGTTGCGCAGGACTACATCGTACACCAGATGAACCTGTGGAATATCATGATTTGGCCATCGTCCCATCGACTTGCATAGAGTTTGGTGGAAAACAACCTCTGACAGTACATGTCGTACTTAACGAACCAAGTCTCGATCAATCAGAAACGTTCACAGTCAAGTGTTTGAAGGGCAGAAAACCCAGTATTCCAGTAGAGCGTTGTACTTATCACCAAGCCATGTCCACAGAGTAAAACATGGTCAATATGGTCATCTTAACCTAGGAAGGCCTTGGAATTCCGCCGCGCAAATCGACGGCGCTCACGCCGCCACCTGGTGCCATTGAGCACCCAGCCCATGTGTAACATGTGACATTGAACTCAGTCAAGAGGTGCGAGCAACCTGAGTTCAATCGTACTTAATCGAATCTCTGTCGTAATATCGCTTCATACTGTAGTACATTTGGTGTCCATTCCATCTCACTCCCATTTGTTAACTTACAGTGTATTAATATGAATACTACCCGTAGTATTACCTGGTTACCGGTATCGTCAATTCGCCAACATTGAGTTGCAAAACCACTCTATTATTAGCCAGGTTTTGCAACTCATCTTTACATTTATTAAACCGCTCGAATGGGAAGCAAAGTGCATGTGAAGTACCAGTAATTATATACGGTAAGTTCCAAGAAATATTATGATTTCAAAACCCCGAAAAAATACCAGTAACGTTGTTATTGTCGATTTGATACTAAACAGTGGTCGAAGGCATCGAGGGAATATTTATGCATTTCTCAAGGTCCAGATGGCCTTTTTCAGTGAAACTTCTTGTGTGCTCATAACTAAATGCCATATAAAAAACGTTCTTTGGATGTCAGGTGTAGAAATGAATATCTTGTGAGATGTGTCACAAAACATGAGGCAAATATCACATTTACAAATAATAACCTATATCTTTTAATAGTATTAATTATAACGTTTATACAGGAAAGCTTATATGAGTACTCTCAAATATAATATTTTGAAATAACCCTAATCCTGATACCCTGTATGCTTTGGACCACGGTAAGTACAAATTTGGGGAAGGGGTGCAATCGAATCGCGCCGACCAAACTGATCCACCATCGATCTGATTGGTTGAATTTCATTGAGAAGGTTTTGATTGGCTAATAATTGTGAGCTCATCTGAGGTAGCCAATCAAATCGATTTAAATTCCAACGAGAAACCACAATGAAATTTCACTCGAAAGCTCAATACGCCGACAGATTTCCCCTTGCAGTCGACTTATCGTTTCACCACCATTACGAATACACGAATAACAACTACACATTCGTTTTAGTGCGCCCATATATCGGCGCCCTCTTCGGCATCTGCGTTCCACATGAACGAGTTGCTGCCCCACTTGACCCCCTTCATGGGCGGACATCCCCCGTGTCTAGACATGACGTCCACGTCCTGGTCCGGCGTTTGGACGTAAAAGAGCGACGCGTGGAGCTTCGTGGGCGGCACCGCCAGCCCCTCCGAGCACTCCTCCATGCCAGTTCGATCGATGCCCGTGACGAGGCGGTCCTTGGAGAACGGGAACACCGTCTCCCCGCCCTCGTCCACATCGTTTAAGTACATAAACAGCGTCACAAACCGGTTCGGCACAAAGTGTTTGATCACTGTGGGCATCGTGTAGTGCAGCAACTGGCCGGCTTGGACCCTGCTCTCCCACGCACGGATGGCCACCTCCGCCATATGCGGAAATGCCGCAAAGATCTTGAGCATCGTGTCCTTGGCGTTGCGGTTTGTGACTAACCAGTCGACCCATTCCACATTCATTTGGCGGGTCAAGTACTCCCTGGACAAGTCGTCTTGAACGATTTCCGCCAGTACTTTGAGAAATCTCCACGAATATTTCGGATGCAAAGGCGTCCACGGCTGGGCCAGCGGCAGCAGCGCCGGCGCCAGCGCACTGATCGACTCCTTGGCCCAGCGGACCCATTGGTAGAAATGTGACACGCCATTCACGACTTTGCGCTTGGGAAAGGTGTACCGCAGCTGGGGAAGATTCCCAAGCTTGGCTTCCCACACTTGGACCATCTTGTCCAAGTAGTGCGGCTTGCCTCCATCCTCTTTGAGAATCCCCGCGAGGACGCCGGGCGTCTTGTTCGTCACGAACGACTGCATCCACGTCACCCACTCGGCATCGTACCGAGCGGCGAAGTAGTTGTCCGCCGTGCCCACCTCCACAAACAACTCGACCAGCGCCAGCGCGAACGTGCCGTTGACCGAGGGTTCGGGGTGCAGCGGTTCGCCTTCGCGGAACCCTGCGGGAACCGATGATCCTAGCGACTTCAATTGGGATTTTGCCCAAAATGCCCAAGCGTTGAAGTCCTCCAGGTTGCGGCTGTAGTAAGCCTTGGGCAGGTAGTCCAGTCCGTCGAACGTGTCGAGGTGCCGCCGGTAGAATTCCCCGGCAGCGTACCGAACCAGCTGCAGGCCTTCCGCGTACGCCGGGCTCGGAAGGCGCGCGAGGGACGCCGACCGCCTCTGGAAGTCCCGCGTGAGGGGGCTAGGGGTGAGGAACGCCGTGTGACTTGTGCGACTTGAAGACACGGCCTTGGTCGCGTTGGCGTCGTTGACTCTGGAGCGGGAGAGCTTGGACTCGGCCGCGGCGATGATCGCGTCGGCCTCGGACGCGTTGAAGAAGTCGCGCACGGAGAACACCAAGGGAGATAGCCCGACGGTTTTCAGCACGAACTGGTTGTCCACCACGCGCTCGTGGCCGAGTTCGATGGCCGGCCATACCCACACTTGGTACTCGAGCAAGATGTGCGCGATGCGGGACGATGGAAACGCTGACGGCGACGGGATAGCGAAGCCTTCGGTGGAGTACAGACGGAGACCGAAGGCCAAGCGATCGCGATCGGCACCAAGAGCCAACGCCGCGGACTTGGCGGCGGCGTGCAAGCAAGCGTCGTCGCCGTTCCATGAGACGTAGACGCCGTGGCTCTGGCCGTTGAGGAGGAAGAAGGCGCGGTTATCTGCAGCGAGAGGGGATGAAGGGGACATGGCGTCCTTTATGTGGACGACGGGCGTGAGAATCGAAGGAAGAACAGGGCAGACTGGGGTGGGATCGAGAAAGTGCTGCCCGTCAACGTGGACGATGTCGGTCTCGTATTTGGGGTACAGGTTCCCATGTTCGTCCAGAGCGGTTCCATCCTTCAATGATTGCTGCAGCGGCGGCGAGACTTGAACAACCGACGTCGGCGCAGACGACGTGTGCTGAAGGTATCCGAGGGCGTACCCACAGGCTACGAGCGACAGTCCTACAAGGGTGCGGGAGATATGCCAGAAGGCGGACCGCTTCGGCAGCTTGGACGACGGCGCGTGCTTCGGACTGGGCTCCTTGGTCGGCTCGGAGGTCTCGACCATCGTCGTGGCCAGCCGAGTCGTGTTGTTGGTCGATCCGACTTGCTTTCTCGCCATGATAAAGTACACTGTAAAACGCCAAATGAAAATGTATAGTACGACCCGCTTGAGAAAATAGACTTTTGAAGGTTATATTGGTTATAAATAATATGACGACGACGTTTCTTTGCCACCACGCCAAGCGTTTCAAGTCTCGATGGCAAAATGCAAAATCAATCACTAAGCTTACAGAGAGTTAGTATGGTCACTCGATGCAGCGTTGTAGCTGTAGCTATGTGAGCTAGCTAACAAGTGAGGTCCTACAGACTAGCAAGGTCGGAACGCACTACAGTAAGCCTTAAGGCAACGTTAATCGAGTCGTAGAGGCATCGGAAACCCATGAGGGAGGGGGAAACATAAATCCTTTCCCCTTTTTTCCCTATAATCATTCAACCTCGTGCGAGAACAGGTCGATTGCGGTATAAGTTAGTCGGAAATGGCTTTTAACCCAAAGCAACGATTCATTGCCTTGAGTTAACAGTAAAGCCCAGCTCGGCTATACCTCCATCCACGAAATTCAAATAGCAAGCAAGATACAGTAAAGGCCACTCAGACCATTTGGTTCATTGCGTCATACTAGTATCCAGTAATTCAGCTAACGTTATATGGTCCTATTGGATTAAAGTAAAACCAACAAACGGGATACTGTATGCCAAGAAGGGACGACTAGTTCTTGTTGCGGTCACCGCAGCCATACTCATTGGTGCCCAACCATGTGGCAATCGCTCCATTCGATGCTGTAGCCATGCTGCAATGCATCTAGAGTGATTTGCAGACACCTGACGATGAGGATGGCTGCAGCTTTGCCCATTCTGAGCTCAAACGTCGCCGACAGGTATCACCACCGCCAAAGTTTGTATCCTGTCCATGCGGAGATGCTGCTGTCCCTGCATGTAAATCAGCGATTTTCGGACGCACAAGCGAATTTGCAACGCGAGTTCCAAGTCACCATTAAGGAAAATTGGGTTCCTTAGTAGGGGATCGTTGGAATATAGTAGGGCAGCCAGTACTACAGCATATTTGCATCAGTAACAGTTATGATTTCATTTTGATCGTCTTCCCTACTATTCCATAGTAACAATCTTTTTCCGAGGCCTGGCTACGACCTTGGGCTACTTCCGAGCGAGAAGCACCACGAACCAAATGACTTGGTCCTTGGTCTCTATATGGCTTCTATCGGTGGGTGGCTTGCAAACACTTGACGAACTCCGAGTACGCGAGCTTGCCGTCTCGGTTGGTGTCGAACTTGTTCAAGAGGTCCCTTGCGTGGCTCGTGTCGATGTCGCCCATGTCGAGCGTGTCCCGCAGCAGTCGGGTGAATTCTGGCAGCTCAATGTACCCCGATCCGTCTCTGTCGGCCGCTTTGAACGCGTCCTTCATGCTCGTGAACAGCCCAAACACTTGGCGATGGATCTTCTTCTGCATGTTACGAACGACATCGTCATGGGACGAATGTGATGACTGGTGGCGAATGGGGCGGTCATCGCGTTCGTCATGGGAACGAAAGGCGGCGCCGGCCGTGGTTAGTCGAAAGTAGTTGCCGCTCTCTTCGTCCTCGCCCGACCCAGGGATGTACTGCAGCTGGTCAGTCATAACGTTCACAAACTCGAGGTACCCCATGCCCTTGTCCACGTCGCCCGCCGCTTCTTTGTGCGGATACGACAGATGCAGCAGCTCGGTCTCGTCGTCGGTCATATCTAAGCCCATGTTCGCCATGCACATGCGAAACTCGTCGTCGCTGATGTACCCCGACCTGTCGACGTCCATCTTTAAGAACGACGCACGGAGGGAATCGTAGCGAGCAAACAGTTTAGAGCGGATGGTGTCCAAGAGTTCTTGCGCCTCGGGGCATTTATTGAGCTCACCCATCGCTCCATCGTCGAAGGAGGACGTTCCGTGAGGGCGACTCCACAGCGCCCGACCTTCGGGGCTTTCATCGGACGATGTCGGATCCGAAGGCTCTGATGGCGACGATTCAGGCGGTGGGCGACGTGGATGGGGGCTCGTTGCTGGCGAAGTTCGCGGGACTCGACCTTGAGACCACAGCAATCGACCTTCAGCGCTCTCGTCAGAAGACGTTGCGTCCGGTGGTTCGTCGAAGTCCGACGGGGACGAATGGGTTTGGTGGAGATTTCGGTTGGGACTAGCTGGCTTTCCTTGGGACCACAATGCCCGACCTTCGACGCTTTCGTCGGAGGCGGTTGGGTCGCGACCGCGTGAAGATGGAGAGTCGGCTTCGGTCGCCGACATGGTGCGTTGAAAAGCAGCAGTCCCTCGGGATCCGGATTTGGAGGAAGGTGACGTGGCAGCCGCACCATCGAGCTGGGATAGCAGCAGGCGCAGGCGCACAATCTCTTGCTTTGCAGCGACCCAGTCGCCGTCCGGAATATCCGAAGCATCCACAGGTCGCTGCTTCTCCTGTCGAACCACGACGCTACTCACCCCCGATCCCATCTTCTCGTCCACTCTATTTATATCTACTCCAATGTTTGTTTTTCAGACAACTTCCAACTATGCAGTTGTGCATGGTTAGCCGAAAAAACTACAAATTATATGAATACCATAGTCTATTCGTGGGTAGTCCGCCTGTGTAGTTGGTTAGCCGAGCTACGAAGTAGTTACCCAATATTTTAAATCCATGATTTTCATCGTGGTTAGCTGAGCTACTACGACGTCGCTGATGGTTATGTTGCCACCCTACGAAGTACTGTACCCAATCTAAATACCATGAATATAAAACCATGGCTAGCCGAACGGCTACGGCTACACAGCTTGATACAATACTTATTCGCGGCTATCAAATGACATATATTATTGCTACACTGTTGGGGGAATGGCCTCCAAACACTTGACAAACTCGGAGTACGAGAGCTTCGCGTCGTTGTTAGTGTCCAAGTGTGAGAAAAACGTTCTAATTTGACTCGAGTCGACTTCGCGTACATCCAGCTCTTCCGTCAGCAATCGGGTGAACGCTGGCAAGTCGATGGATCCGTCCTTGTCTGCCGCTTTGAACGCGGTCTTGATGGTGTCCAGCAGCCAAACACTTGTCGGTGGATTCTCGACTGAAACTCATCTGAAGGACGTTCTTGTGAGGGGTTTATGGGGTGTTGATACGAGTTCCCGCTCACTTGGTGATCGCAGGGAGGAGGAATGGTCTGGGTCATAATGTTGGCAAACTCCAAGTACCCCAAGCCTTCGCCCGCCGCGTCGTTGCAGCAACTCCATCTCTTCGCCCGTCACGTCCAAGCCCATATTGGCCAAGCAATGCCGAAACTTGTCTTCGCTTATATACCCCGACCGATCGACGTCGAACTTCAAGAAAGACTCGTGAAGGGAATCGTACCGAGCTAACAGTTTGGAGCGAATGACGTCCAGGAGGTGGTGAACCGCGGGAGGTTCGCGATGGCCTCTCGGATGCGACCACAGAGACCGACCTTCCGGACTTTCATCGCAAGATGGATGGTTCGCTGCCAGTTGTGGAACGGGATGCAGTCGGTGTTTCGAAGGCGGCGAGTCCTTTTCTTCGCGCCACGATGTCTGAACGCTGTCATCGTACAGCCACGGGTCGTGTCGTCGTTGGGAGTGCTGGAAGCCGCCAGCTGATCGAGGCGATGTCGGCACGTTTGTCGTGGTCGACGCGGCGTCTTGCTCGCTCGATACCCGACCAAGCTCTTGTTTCGAAGCCACCCAATCGCCAAGCGGAATGTCCGACGCTAGGACAGGTCGTTGTTGGTCGCCGTGGCTTGCACCTCCGGTAGACCCCCTAGCTTGATGAGGTTGCATGGTCTTCGGATATTTCGTTGTGAAAACATGCAACCTGTTGCATTTGACCCTATCCCCTGTGCGACAAAGTTCTCCGACAAAGTTCTTCTAATAACGTGATGGAAAATATAGTTACGTTAATCAGTGTTATGTTGGATGTGGGTACACAAAATGTACCTGAAGTATCAACATTAACGAAACCGTAGCTACTGTACACAATTCCGCTTACGTACAGTAACGTTATACCGAGAACTACTCTGTAAGCGGCATGAATAACGTCTTTTAGCTACGTCTGTAGCCTTCCAATACTTTGCCACTACTACTACTGTAGTATGTAAGAGTACTGTAGATGGATGCACCACTGTCACATGAATTTATTTTAGATGAATTAGACTCCATTTTAGATTAATTAGACTCCATTTTAGATTAATTCGACACGCGTTTTCGCTGCCACTTGGCCGTGAGGTCATGGGCGAGACTGAGCAGCACTGGCAGCAGAACCAACCCATGCGCCAGCCCACTGACTATGATGGTCAGGTACATGCGAAAGTAGTACTTCTGGAACACGCGCGAGTCGCACAAAGTGAGCGCGCTGAGCCCCACGACTTTGGTGATGGAAATGCCAAACACCACCGACAGCATCACGTGGCGCAGCGCCGCTTTCATGCGAGTGTTGCCGTCGCTATGGGAAAAGTAGAAGGATCGGGCCAAGTGGGAGCAAAACTCGACCGAAATGCCTGCGGCGATGATTAAATTCACCACCGAGAGTCCGTTCAGGAGGATGCCCAGTGGTTGCATCCACCCCACCTACATATACATATATATATATATATATTTATATCGTTTGTGAAATGTCATCACAATATATTCATTGTACATGCTACTACGTACCACAGTGATGCAAATGTTGGCAATCACACATGTGAGCACGACCGGGATCACGATCGAGCCAAAGTACAGCACGTGCAGCACAAATATAGCGGCGAGGGAGAGGCCGACGAGTACAAATGTATCGTGCACAATGGTCAGGTACTGGTCAAAGTAGACAAAGAAGACGGAATAGACCCATACGTGGACCCCCGTGGTTTCAGACATGAACTGCGCCGCCTTTCGCGCTTGTTTGTACGTGGCAATGTAGTCGGCTTGGGTCGGATTGGCGGTGGAGATGGCCATATATGACACGGCAGACACGGCCGAGTCAGCAGCAGACGACGACGTGAGAGCCAAATCCGTCGGAGAAATCGGGATCGGGTGGTTGTCGATGCTAAATTGGCCGCGGTAGATGGAGCCGCCGCCGTGGGAGCAGAGTGGACCGGCGTTGGCACTAGCAAACATGCGGAAAAGGGGCATAAAGCTGTCCTTTGGAATGGGGGGCGCCGAGAGGGTCGCGGGGAGGCACGACGGACTAGCTTTCCGCATGGCCATGTACGTGGTATTGTCGGGTTTGAGAGGCAGGTACGTCTGGGAGGCGGCATCCACCCGACAGCACTCAGTTTGGGCAGACGCGAATGGCCAAAAGTCGTCTAGCCACGAGTAGTACACGCCTGGCGCCATGTGAGTGAGCTGAGGGCGATCTCCCAGCGCTTGAACCATGTTGGGGATGGACTGAGCTGCGCAAAATGCTTTGGATTTGCAAAACTGGGCGGTTGTGGTCGGGTCGGAGAAGTCAAACGCGGGCGGGTTGGCTTTGTAGCCGGCTTGGACAATGTAAAAGATGGGCGGGCCGGTTTCCAAGGCGGCGTCGATGGCGTCAAAGTATGAGACCATGTACGACTGCGATGGCATCGCATCCTTGTTGTTCAAGCCCTGGTCCAGAGACTGGGCAGATCGGATGGACAGAAACGTCCACACGAAGAAGACTGTCACGACCGAGAGCTTGACGTGTATCTTGGCCAGCCACGACGCATAGAATTCCACGGCGCGTTCGGCAAACGACCGTGGAACTGGATCAGAATTGGGAACCAAGCGCCGCGGGGGTTCTTCGTCAGTGTTTAATGTCGGTTGAGGGGCTGCCATGACGTGGAAGGGACAGATGGGGGGCTGTTGAGCCGATGGGAAGGAGGAGGAGGATGGTGGTGCTAGTTGGGGCTGCTGCTGGTGACTGTGTGGTTGGTTTCGAGCATCGAGGGCCAGTAACGCGATGAACATGGTCATTTGGAAGACAAAGTTGACGAGGACGGCGGCGGCGGCAAAGGCGGCGAACCAGAGCACGGCCGGCATGGGGCTGATGCAGCCAAAGACGAACGCGGTGGCTTCAGAGACGCTGGCGAGGACGATGCTGGGGCCGATCTTGGCCAAGGCGGCGGACAGCAGCACGTCCGGCGGTAGGTGGTCGGGACAATCTGATTGGACGACGTGGATTTGGTGCACGAGGAGAAAGATGTTGTCGACGCCAATGGCCAGTGTGAGGAACGGCACCACCTCCATGATGACAATCTGGATGGGGACCCCGCCCCAGGAAAAAAGCCCAATCGTCGAGAGGACGCTCACGAGGATGAGGAAAATTCCCACAAAGCCCAACACCAGGTTGGCGCGGGAGAACGAGTGCCGCAGGTCGCGCCAGTTCCACCGGTTGATGCCCAGAGTGACGTACACGATCATGAGCACGTACGAGAGGGCGGCGGGGGTGACGTCCCCCCTGGAGGCCGCGGCGATCTCGTCCCCAATCGACACTTCGGCCATAAAGTCCAATGTAAACACTGCATTTGCACGCCTTTCGTCCCGAAGAAACGAAATAAACCGACGCTCCCACGCCTTGGCCTTGGAGTTGAGAGCCTCGTCGTAGAAATTGTAGGCCAGAATCGTGCTTAGCATGGCCTTGCTCTGCTTAAACAGTGTCACATTGTCCCGGGCAGTGGGTGGGAATTGACCCAGTACAGTCGTGTACATGTCCATGGGCGCGCCGTACGACGACAAGCACGGGCAATCTAATATTCAAACGCACAAACGTGAGGAAGAATCCCAACAAAACTTATCATCCTTGGGAAACATCCCAACGGTAGTAGGAGGGATGGACGACATACCGCTCATCGTGGGGGGGAGCACGACGTTCTTGGCCGCGAGCTTTTGACACGTCTGCACATCGGCATACGCCGGCGTAAACAAGCAGTTTTCAAAGTGCCCCAGCGCCAGGTCGTGCTGGTCGTACACGTCGAAATGGCTCGCATTGTTCTGAAAGTACTGTGTGATTGCGTTCACAGTGCACGCCGTGCCAGTCGCCCGCCAGCAAATGTCGTCCAAACCCACATCTACCCCCCCAAAGAAGCAAAATGAAACCTATGAATGCTGTGTTCGACTGTAATACTAGTACAGTATTGTCAAATCGATTCGAAATTGGAGTGTTTGGGTGGTCAATCAAAGGAATCGGCAGGCAATATCGATATATCGACCAATCCAAACCCACAACACGAATCAAGTAGCCAATCAAATGATCCACTCTTGGATCAATACAACACCGAATTAGTGTGCGTGACTGAAATTAGTGTGATACTGCACGATCTTTACATATACAAAGAATCGATCGATAGATTTGGCGAAATTAAGGACCATATATGTTGTATAGTACATATTACCTTGGTTTCCATCGACAGCGCGCAGTGCCGCCACTTTGGCCTGGAGGTGGATGGCTTCTTTGAGGACGAACCCTCTGGCGATGCTACCGCCATCTTTGGGGCGCAGAATCATCTGACTGGTGCGGTAGAATGGCATAAATAGCTTGCCAAACCTGTCGCGCTCCTGGAACGCTGTGCTGGACTCGGCCACCCACAGCTTGATCGGGTCCACTTCGATCTCCGCGCGGTGCAGTCCGGACGAGGCGACGGCGGCCACCACGGACATGACAACCAGCACTTGAATGGGATGGCGGCCGACGAAAGACCCCCACGAAGCCATCGCCCGACTCACCAGCGACTCCATCAAGCTGGTATTTTGAGTTTCGACGGGATTGGATGGTTGGATATTGCGATAGACGTAGACCAAGGCACCGCAGACAAGTGCCCACAGCACTAGACAGCCCACGACGTTGGCAATGTTGATCGCGCTTGAATCTGTCAGAGGTTCGTCCATGTAGTCATACAAGGATTCCCATGTCGAGTCCATGGGGGGGGCCGCGGACGAATTGGTCGTGCCGCTAGTCTTGGCGTGGTTGCACCCTATATATATATATATATAGCTTATGGTTGAGCAAATGAGAAAAGGGGGAAATGTACCAGGGGTATACGCCAAGGGAGTGGGGGACGCGGCGCACACGCTGCCGCAGACTCCGGCACAGGTGGGCAACGTCCCATCCAGTGGCAAAATGCAGCTAGCATTGGGAGAATTCCCATCGCACGAACACTTGTCCTCCTGCACAACCAACGTTTCCGTGGGAATAGTCCTTGGGAATGAACCCCCCTCCGTACCTTGGCCATACTCGACGCAGCGACAAAGTTGACTTGGTTGGGCGACCCAATGCCGTTAAACTGGTACTCTCCCATCTTCTTGAGCAGCCCCAGGCCCGAGTTGCACCCTGCCTGGGGCGAGCACAGCACTTTGGCAATGAGGTCGCCCTTGGAGGATTCGTAAATGTCACGGGCGTAGTCGTCGCCGACGTAGTACGTGGCTTCTTCGATGGCGGGAAAGGATTGAGATGCGTTGGTCGAGGAAGGGTACCAGTGGACCTGGTTCACGTCCATGAACAGCGTCTGGCTGGGGTGGCACGCGTAGTTGCACCAGACGTTCTGCAGAACTTGCTTGGACACGTCGCACAGCCCCCCGATCATGCGGTACTGCGTCTGCATGGTGCGGTACTGGTCCTCCGTGCAGCACAAGTAGTCCTTTTGCTGGTCCAAAATCTGGTCCTTGTAGAACAGAGGACAGTCCAGCTGAAATGCGGCCTGGTTGGCCACATCCCATTCGGAAAACTTATTTTTCAAGTTGCTCGTCGTGTACGCATCCTGGAATGACCATGAGAACGGTCATGAGTACGTTGACTGGCTTACCTCGCCACTGATGGGGACGTAGTATGCAGGTTGCGTGGACCCTGAGTTCACGACGACGGGAGTCACCCCCATCATGGAGCACATGCCCGCGCCTCGCTTGAACGTCCCGAGGCCCAAGGCCGCCGCCAAAGGGTTGGTCTGCGGGGACGTCAAGCACGTCTGCGCATTGGAGAACTTGCACTTCGATAGACCAGTCAAGCTGCTCGTCGGTACCTGCGCGGCGGCCAAGGCGGCCACGAAGACACCAACTCCGAGGGTTGCACCAATGATCATTGCCGAATGCGCTGTGTTTGCAACCAAAGTTCGTTTCATCCGGATGACCACAATAGCTGATCAGTCAAGTTAGAATAAACCAATCACAAAACAGGACGAAATTCCACTTTGCTTTGATTCGTACATAGTATGACGTGGCAGCGTGCAATGGCGGCAAATGATCAGCGTGTTTTTGAACGTTTTGAAAAACACGCTGTCATTTGCCGCCATTGCAAAAGAAACTTCGCGTTACTCACACCTTCGAACTTCGATAATTTGGCTCTGAGTCCAGATTATCAGCCAATCAAAGTTGGTGTTTACAACAACATGGGAATTTGCATCACCATTTCGTCGCACTTGGATGGTGCAAACCCGCGGATGCGAAGGCAGAGGAGCAAGGTGACGGTCAATATTCTCTATTATATTGTGTATTCAACACTAAATTGGACTGGGGAGGCGAATCGAATAGCCTAAACAAAGAGATTATGAATGTCTTAAGCCAATCACATCACTCCATTCCAGAGATTTTACCAGTCTCGTGCCCTGTCGCTTCGGATTGGGTAAAATCAGTCGGGGAAAACATGGAAAATACATTCGAAATCGCTTTGAAGTTTCGACTGCGAAGTCCAAAGTTCAGTGAAAAGCACAATATATTGTCCTCTTTTACCCAAAATTTGGACTTTTGTGCTGAATCGCCAAATCTATCGATCGATTATTCTTTGTACTGAATTTTGTATGTAAAAAGGTGTCCTGTGGTGATTGACATCACAAGTAAAGGCACACACTAATTTGACGTTGATCATGGTTTCCTGCAATCTGATTCGCTAAACCCTTGTGCCGATTCTTCTATACATTCTCGATGTCGCTCCAGTTTAGAATAAACACAACTATATTGGTATAATGCAGCATTATTATGTATTGTGCTTTGCAACCTATTTGACAGTCATATTTAGGCTCTTACTCAGCTTCACATGATTTAGATTTCTGTAAAAACGCAAGTTTAATCTGGGACAAATACATGTATGGGTCGGAATGATAATAAACACTAACTATAAATCTGATACGTTTGAAGTTTGCTATAGAGGACAGCAGTGCATGTCAATCATTGCAAGGATAACGCATTCAGTAATTGCAAACAAAGCATTCTTGGCTTCTTCTGGTCCAGTTCCAACACCGTTCTACTCACAGTCAAGATCTATTTCAACCAGAATACCAAGCTTGAAGTCGGGCAGAATAGCAAGATTCAAGCCAGAATTGCAGTTTCAAACTGCAATTCTGGGCAAAGATTGATAAATACTTCTATCTCGGCCGAAATAATCTAAATCAGCTTTGTCCACACTTAAATCTGTCGCGAAGTCCGTGTTAATCAACAGATTTGAGGTCGAGTATGCCAAATTAGTTGCAAAGCACAAGACTACAAAGTGTTGACCACGGCCCAGATGACGAACGCGAGCTGTATACTCTCGAACGAGAAGGCACGCATGGTTTGCTCCTACCAGTTGAATATAGCGTAAATAAGTACTACAGTACCTTATAAACTGGTTTATTACGGCCATAGTATCTCCTTCTGAACGTTAAGCCCTATCTATGGGCCCACACAGCAGATCAACAAGGGCTAAGCTCATGTTACTGGTTCTTTGGGCTCCGATATCTTCACGATAATAGCGAATGAGCTAGAAATCCAACTAACTCCCCACACAGGCTAGCTAGTTAGAGCACTTCGCCGTTGTTTTGGGTGGCGTTGTAGTCGACCCAGTCGGCAGCAATGGGAGCGTGATGCATGTGTTCTGGGATGCCAAACCTAATACAAACCAACAGTCATGGCCATTATTTATCACATGTTTCGAGTGTCCACATACCCTTCGACCAACTCGACAGCGACACCACCCAGCTCTTTGCACTTGGCCTGAGACTCGGCAATCACGGCAGATCCCGCTGATGGGGTGAGGATTTCGTTCACGGTGAACCAGCCCAGGTCCTTCTCAAGGCGGGACAGTCCATACAGCGCTCGAATCTACAAACTCGATAGTTAGTTGGCATACTAAGTTGGTCCTCATTACCGAGTTTAACGTGTGGCGGTCAGACGGTTCAGCGTTTCGCACAGCTTCGATCGTCTTTTCCAGCACCATGCGCTCCCCGTACGCCACCGCCGCCGCTTGGATCGCGTCCGACTCGTTCAGCATCCACGTCTTGAACAGCGACTCCTTGTTAGTTTTGGCCCTATGATGCATATATTGTCAGTTATCTAATATATATATATATATATATATATATATTTGTACTTGTGTAGTCGCGACGCCAGCCCCAGCAGCAAGTGCTGTTCTCGGATGCGGAACAGTTGCAGCTGACCGTCGGCACTTGTCACGTCCGACGGCACTTGAAGTGCCAGGCGCTTGAGCACCCCAGGCAACTTGGACACCACCACGTGTTGGGCCACGTCTTTGGGCTACAAAACGAGTATTAGTACATACTAGTAGTATTACTAGTCCAGAGTACCTTGACGGTGGTGAGCAATTCCTTGGTCACTTTCTGGGTGAGGACGCGGTTATCTCCTTCGGCCGTGATGCCCGCGTGCGCCCCAGCGATGGCTTCACCGAATCGATTGGCCGATAGAAACCTACCATATTTCATATATATAATATATATATATATTGAATACCCTTGTCCACCACAACGTTCTCGCCCGATGGTAGCCACTTGTTCGTTGTTCCACGTCACCAACGCCTTGATAATGCAACACAATTGAAGCACTTCGGTGTGGTCGTCCTTGGATTGGCTTGCATATCTAAGGATAATATATATATATATTTATTACCTCTCAAAATATAAATAGGGTGGTCATACCGGTCTTTCACGTAATTCAAGCCAAACTTGAGCGCATACGTGGACGCAATCAAGGGCACAATGCTGCGCTGTTGCAGCTGGTAGTGCATGATGGGGGTGTCGGACTTGCCGGTTTCGCCTACCGCGAGCCTGATATACATACAAACATCAAGATGAACAAATTATGACGTGATTTCAATCATATGTAGAACGTTCGTTACCGCGATGACGAGTACCGGACGACGTTTAGCAGAGTGATCTTGGTGCCGCCCATGCACATGGACGCGATGCACACGCGGCCGCTGAGCAGTTGGTCGGCCAAGACGAGGAACCGGCCGCGCTTACTCGTCACGGAGCTGGAGAAGGCGCCGTCTTGCGCCACGTCCGACATGCTGTTGAGCAGATTCGACCGAGGAATGCGCACGTTATCGAACCAGAGTGCGCCGTTGTCCACGCCATTCACGCCAATCTACCAAGGTGTTAGTATTACTAGTAGTAGGGTACTACTAGAGTACCTTGTGGCCCATGTCCCAGATCTGGACGCCTGGAAGGACGGCATGCGTCGCCATGTCGCGAGTGGGCACAAGGAATCCATGGATGCCTTCGTCCTTGCCGCCCGTCAACAGCCTAATATATCAATATTTTAGTATGATAGAGGAATAATATATTAGACAGGAAAGTACCTGGCAAACACCACGGCAAACTGCGCATGAAGAGCCGAATTGGTGATCCAGTCTATGGCAACATGGTCAGTTATTATCAAGACTGTGATGACGAGTACTACATTTCTGGGCCTTGGTGGAGGGCGTGTTGATGACGAATTCCTCCGTGGCCGCGTCGTACGTGGCGGTGGTTTCCATCTCCACAGCGTTGTTGCCGTACCCGAGCTCCGTCAGCCCAAAGCATCCGACGTTTTCAAAGCGATCGATGCCATCAAGGAAGGCGCCGTGGTGTCGATCCGTGCCGAGTTTCAACACGGTCCCACCAAAGAGATTGAATTGAACCTAACATTCGAGCTTACATCCATCATGTTGCATACGTAGCGAGAAAATACCGTCATTTTAGTGGCCATGGCGCCGTCGCACATGCCGGCGATTTCGTGGGTGGTGAAGATGTTTCGGGGGTTTGTGCGGAAGTCCTTCACAGAGATGATGTTGCGCTCGCAAAGTTTCTTCAACCGTTTGTACGCCAGTTCTCTCTCTTCGTGAAGCGGAACGTTGTATTTCGGCCGATAGATCGGGTCCTTGAACAGCTCGCGCAACTTGGCCCTGCATATATGTATGTGCATTGAGACATATACGGGATGGGGATGTGGAACTACCGGGTGTCATGGTTGTCATGATCTAGAAGACGAGACACTGTGGACGGGTTGAATGTCGACAGGTGGCGGCGCGTCGAACCAGCGGTGCGTAGCGACAGCATCTTAATAAAACGTCGAATGATCAAAACTAGCAACCTTGGATCGCTGTCTTGTCAACCATCTTCCCGGATCCGGATAAGGAACTTCAACATGGTCATCCAGACGTACGGATCCGGATAAATAATCTAGCACTATTAGTAGTACTAACGTAAAAAACCAATTTACAGATATTGTGCTTTCGAGTGAAATTTCGTGTTGTGGCGTGGTTTCTCGTTGGAACTTAAATCGATTTGATTGGCTACTTCATATGAGCTCAAAATTATTAACCAATCAAAACCTTCTCAATGAAATTCAACCAATCAGATCGATTGTGGATCGGTTTAGTCGGCGCGATTCGATTGCACCCCCTCCCCAAATTTGTATCAAATCGACAATACTTCGAAGTAACTTTTTTGGAGGCGTCGGAGTAGAATGGACATAACTTTTGAGCCCGTTACGATATTTGAGTTTTGAATAGTGATTCCAATAGACAAGACGCGCCGCTTTGACTGCATAATCGAATTATCAGTTTAGGCGATGAACTTCACAGGTAACTTTGTTACTTTCTAAGCACATTTGTACTCACATTTTTTTTGATAACCAATTTAGGATAACTTTTTTATCTTAAAGTATGTATGTGTTGGAGCATTGAAATTCTGTGTTTAGGGTAAGCGGCTACAACAGGTTGCATATAAATTATACAAGGGTACTGTTTTATAGAGTTATATTTCTGTTGTGGATGGATGTCCACCGAGTTGAACACTCGACAAAACCTCAGATCCAACCCAATGTGGCCCGTGTCGACTACTGTAGGGTACTTCGAACCCAATCTTGAATGACTGTTACCGATGGCTTCTACGCCGTTTTTGCATTTCATTCACGTGTAAGGGTTGGCATTATATGACAGAGGTTTTGTTGACTCGAACAAATAACGAGGTGTGATTGGGCAATACAAAGTTATCCTAAATTGGTTAAGTTATCTTAAACTGGTTTTTTACATTACTAGTTTTTTGTAGAACCTTGTTGTGCTTTTCATGTATACTACGTAGTACTACGTAGTAATAGTTTGCCCATTGTTAAACATTGCGTTAAACAACCAGAGGTTTAAAATAACATAAGCCCGATTGAAGATAAAACAACGCTAAACCCTGCATTTCAGCAGAATAAAACAACCCTTACTTTATTTCAGCCGCTACAATAGTAATAGTAACAGCAATGGAACTCGACTTACAGTAACGTCAGGCTTCAACTAACCTGTCTCAAAACTCAAACTCATCCATTGTACAGTGTACAAGCGCTGGTGTGCCACGACCAAGCATCGCGTGATCATGAGTATACAAAACCTTCACAAACTAATACTACTACTATGTTGAGTCATATTCCAAGTAAAACGCTGCATGTATTTTCGTCGATTTTGCATATCCTATAGTACTAATTCTGGCAGGCAATCTTGAAATTCGAAGTGGTTTTATTCATAACAACAACCTGAGTGGACATGATCATGAGTAAACAACCTTCACAAACTAATACCACTACTATCTTCACTTGTATTTCAAGTACAACGCTGCATGTATTTTCGTCGATTTTGCATAATCTATAGTACTAATTCTGGCAGGCAATCTTGAAATTCGTAGTGGTTTTAGTGGTTTTATTCATTAAACCTGAGTGGTTCAATAAAACGCATGATTCACAGTGCCCTGCGTGAACGCTCTGAACATCAAGTGCAGCCGCCGCCTACCTACAATCGACCACGAATGAGCCGCACATCGGCAACCCCAAGCACTTGCGACGATGGCGGCACCTTTATCTATGCTGGAACTTCACAACCACAATCGCGTGCCACGACTCGCGCACGACGCGCGTCACAGTACGAGGTTCCACGCTCCGACGATCACCTGGAAGATCGACGGCGGCATTCCATCGAAGTGTCTGTCCAGCCGCCTCCATCAACCCAACCGTCAAAGGGAGCGGGTTTCCTTTCAGGCTTGTTTCCAAAGAAGAAAAAGAAGATGACGACGGGGCATGTGTTCTCCATGTTTCGAAAACCCTCCGAGCTGTACTTTCCGCCGATTTCGCCGCGAAGTTCGTTGGCGCATGCCGGCCGACTGCCCATGGAAACACTAGTGATGTCAGAGGAGGCATGTGCAGCAGAGCGTTATGATGGAAGCTGCCTGAGGAAATCGTCCGATACATCGGACCAGCGCGTAATTCTTGGCAGTAGCCGTCGTCAAACCTCGACCCACCTGCAGACGCATCGTAACTCTGAAGTTGAATGTGGTGCTATGGAACCTCCGAATTCTCAAGCTATTCCACGATCAACATCGCCACGATCACAAGGCGTGTCCAGCAGAAAGGACAGCGGACACACAGGAATCCACACAACGCCGTCGATCCAGTCGTCGGTGGAAACAGTCCCAGAACGATTGACGAACGATGCTCCACCTATAGCGTCGACGGGACACTTCAACGTACCGATTCCAACGGCCCATAGCCGCAAACTTGAATCGGTGCTGGAAAAGTACGGCGGCGTCGGTCCGTCGGGGTCATTGGCCTCATACCCCCCAAGTCTTATCTCCACCAACAATCAGACAACCGAACCAAGCCCAGTGTCAGCCAATCAAAGCCTTCCAGTGACAGACCAAAGGCGGATGTTTGCCCCGCCGAGGGAAGCCGCGCTTGACGGAGGATCGTTTGATGTCGAGAGCGAAGCCGACGAGTCCGAGTCATCGACGGTGGACAACCCACGGGGGGTACGTGAACCCCAGGAACGACCACCACACAAGGCACTCGACATCTCTCGACCGTGGATGGAACCAATGATGCCGCAAGACAACGGGTACGACGACGACGACGACGACGAATTGTATGCGACAAACCAAGCAGTCAAGTCGTTTCGACAGGCCAAAGTGTCGGCGGACTTGAGAAGGAATCAAGAGTGTCATGACGACGAAGATGACATGGACCACACCACCCGCGCCGTCAAGCGCTTCCCACACCGACCACCTGTGATGACATATGCTCACTCGGACGCCCGAGAATCCGTGGACGGATCGTCGTTCTACAGCACGACCTTGCACGACCCCCACTACCACGCCAACTATGATCATGCCAAAGAAGAGGAAGAAGAAGAAGGGGGCGACTTTCCGTCCACGGCAGCCGTGTACAACACCAGACACAACCACCCCCCGGCCAGAGGATATCTTCAACGAGGAGAAAATCGACTGAGAACCACATCCCCCGCCGCGTATTCGCCCATTGTACTAGCCGACTCGTCCGATTCTGAAGACGACCCATGGACGATGGACCAACGGAACCAACAAGTTGTGCTGGACGGACACATGAAGTATATGCGTACATTGTACTGACATGTATGTCCATCTAACATGGAACGATGTAGCGCCAGAAGATCTCCCCCAATCCCTGGGGTAAAGCCCCCGCCCGCAGTGTTGATGTCGGCTATCAAAGAGCCCCAAGCGTCAGTTGAACCTGTCAACCAGGCTTCAAGGGGACTTCAGCATGATATCACAAGCAGTCCAGAACCCCCCCATATTCAATCACCGTACGTTGCAAATATGGATAAAGTGTCTTATAGTTGTGTTTAACGTAGTCCACAGCCCCACGAGCAACCCCGATCGAGTTTGCCACGAAACGAACCAACTCTGACAGAACCAGTTGGAGACTGTGATTCCGACGGGTCGATCAGCAGCGAAGACAACTCTGTGGGTTCTTCCCCTGCGAACTCGCTGGTTCTGGACAGCGTGTACGAGACAGTTGTTCAGCCAAGTGCTGCCGGCGTCATCGTACTTCCTCCGTCCACAAGTAGGAGGACCCCCCACCAGCGTCGCGACTCGACCGACCCCGTCTCAACGTGGTACCCCGCTCCAGCTCTGGTCCACACTGCCACCCAAGACTCGGTGTCCGCCCAAGTGCGAGGCATTTTGCAGCGAAAGCTCAAACGACTGTCGAAAGAAGCGCTCGAGATCAAAGCGTGCATGCCTGAATACCGCCTCGAAAAGGCCGACTGGATGCTCGCGAGAAAGCGGCAAAGCGACTTGCACCTGCTCACGATATCAGTTGTGGCCCGCCTTCCCATGGACGTGCTGGACTCGATGAGTGGACCGAGTGAGCTCTCGAACCGCTCCGTCAGTAGTACTAGCCACTGCGGCTACCTATTGAAGCGAGGCCAGGTCAACGTCGCCATGCAACGCCGGTATATGGTTCTGCAACACAACCAACTGGTCTACTACAAAACCAACCCCGAGCTCAACAAGGGCGGCTGGTTCGGCAAAGAAAAGCCCCGCGGGTCCCTTCATTTGGCCAACGTGTCTCTTGTTCGGCCGTACCTGACCACTTTGACTCTGGAGCTGGTGACCACCAACCGGACGTGGGTCCTCCAGGCCGAAACAGACGGGGACTACAAGGCGTGGGCTCGGGCCATCTGCCGATCGGTGCCGTACCAAGTGGTGGACGTGGTCTTCCGACGCATGTTCCAACTGGCCCAAGTCGACGCATCCAACGTCAACGAAGTCCGCGTCGTGGCTCTGCCGTCGTACACGGTGCTCGAGACGGTGGAGCACATTTTCGTGAATTACGTGCAAATGGCCGGCGCGTTGCCTCTCAAACCAGTCGACCCGTCCGACTTTTGCTTGAAAGTCACGGGGTATCGAGATTACATGGTCAATCCAACGGCGTCCCTGGACCAATATTCCCATGTCCAAGACTGTCTGTGTACGAAAACGACACTTTGCCTCACGATTCTCCATCGAAACTGCATCGCCACGTCCATTCAACAGGCGATATTGGGGGACCATCAACGACTGAGTGCTGGTTCAGAACAACAATCCCCCACCGCTGCCGTCAAGACTTATGTGGATCCAGTGGTTGGCAGCGGAAAGTACTTGTATCCGGTCCAGTTTGCAGTGCACCAAGTGCAGTCGTTGAGTCGGCAAGACAAGAGTACCCACGTCGTGGTCGTAGCTGACTTGGTTTACGGCGGCGAGCGGTTGGAAAAGGTAGCCGACTCGGCCGAAGTGCGTTTGGTTGGGGGTACGAATGGCGGCAAGAGGGGCGGCCGGTGGCCCCAGCCTCCTCGGTGGCACAAGTCGGCTTTGAACGTGAGTGCGCTGCCAAAGGAAACGCGGCTGGTCTTGACCGTGTACGGGTTCCAGCCCCCTCAGATGGACAAGTGGACGCTTCTCGCGACTGGTGGCGTGAATGTGTTTGACGCTGACGACATGCTGATCCAGGGGGACCTCACGCTGCCCCTCTTGGAAGGCCCCCCGTCCTCCTGTTACACCGGCCCCCTCTCTCAAGTGGTGCAGATGGACCAGCCATTCATTCAGGTATATCATTCATCTACCAATTGTAATTCGTTATGCTCATGGTTATATATGTACAGATCACAGTGGCGACTCCCAACCTGCCCGTGAAATTCGACTGGAGCACCCACTGGGGTACTGTTGAGTCGCGTGATCGATCGCTGGACCGGAGCGGGTGGCTCTCGGAGCGGCCTCCCACGGGTTTGGTGTGGACTGACAAGTGGGTCCAGTTGACCCAGTCGACGCGCAGCTTGGTCTTGTTCGCAGACAACAAGTCGACGGGTGGTCCCCACCAGTCGCTGCCGCTGGACGGAGCGACCGTGGAGGCAACGGATGCCCTCAATCGCCGCCACACGACCAAACTCACACCGTCCACCCGTCGAGAGCAGCAGACGTGGGCGTTCCAGCTGCAGCTCCAAGGCAGTTCCCGAGTGTACGTCTTGGCTGCGCGTACTCGGCACGAGCGGGACGCATGGGTGAAAACGATTCAGTTGGTGGCGTCGTCCTCCGATGTCTTGTCGGACATGACCTGTCGCGACTCGGACCAGACGACGAGGACGAGCTTGATTGGGCAGTTTGCGAAGCCAGTGGGCCTGGCCCAGGCCGCCGCCGACTTGGGCGAGTTCGACTACCTCGTACAAGTGATAGATGAAAACCCCCTGTACCAACTCTGCGGCTTCGAAAAGGCCGTGCTGTGGCGCCACCGTCGGGCACTATTGGGCTCGTTCGAGGCGTTGCCGCGCCTCTTGACGTGTGTCAACTGGCTCGATCCGGGCCAAAAGGCCGACTTGCTGGCGCTGCTGCCGTCGTGGACCTCCCCGCGCCACCCGACGTCGTACATTACGCTGCTCGAGTGTGTGGACTCTTGTGTGCGCCGGTTCGCGGTGGATCGGCTGGCCAAACTGACCGACTCGGCATTCCGCCAGATCATCCCGCAGCTGGTGCAAGCGGTCAAGGGCGACGCCCACCACACGTCACCCCTGTCGTCGCTGCTGGTGGAGAGAGCCCTCACGACCCCCACCCCCCTCGGCGTGGACCTGTTTTGGGCCCTCAAAGTAGAAACGCATGTACCCCAGCATCGAGAGCGCTTTGGGCTGCTGCTGAACGCGTACGTGGACGTGTGCTGTGCCGCCACTCGATCGATGCTGCACCTCCAAGACACGCTCTTTGCCGAGGGAGGCCGGCTGGAGGTGGTCTGTGCTGAGATCAAGCGCCTCAAGGCGTCGGGGGCGTCCGACAAGGACATGCAAGCGTCACTTCACTCGCAACTAGACCTACTGAATGCTGCGTTGCCAGAGCACACGTACCAACTGCCCGTGGACTCGCGCGTCGAAGTGGGCAAACTGGTCGTTCCAAACTGCCGCGTCATGAGTTCGGCCAAGCTGCCGCTGTGGCTCGAGTTTGAAAACGCCGAAGCAGGGACGGTGGCCGTGATCTTCAAGAGCGGCGACGACCTCCGCCAGGATGTGCTGGTGCTGCAACTCCTCCGCGTGATGGACGATCTATGGCGAGACAACTCGATGGACCTGGCCTTGGACCCGTACCGGTGCGTGGCCACGGGCCCCACCACAGGGCTGGTGCAGGTGGTGCCCCACGCCGCCACCACCGCCGCCATCCAGAGCCGGTCCAATCGCGGCATTCTGGGCGCCTTCCATCTCGATTGCTTCTCAAACTGGATCGACCAGCACAACACGACGCCCAAGAAGGTCAAGGCGGCCAAGGACCTGTTTCGACGGTCCTGCGCCGGGTACTGCGTCGCGTCGCTCGTGTTGGGCATCGGCGACAGACACAACGACAACCTCATGGTCACTACGTCGGGGCGGTACTTCCACATTGACTTTGGTCACTTTCTCGGGTACTTCAAGTACGTGCCGCTGCTGGGGATGGTCAACATCAAGCGCGAACGCACGCCATTTGTGTTTACGCCGCAGATGTCGCACGTGTTTGGAGGTGAGCACTCGCCTGGATTTGCCAAGTTTATCAAGACGGGCGCGGACGCGCTGAACGTTGTGCGGCGCCATTTTCATGTGTTGATGTCGCTTTTGCTGCTCATGTTACCGGCGCAATTGCCAGAGCTGCGACACCGTGATGATCTCAACTACGTGGTGGATACCATTGCTCCCGAGATGAGTCCTCAGGACGCCGCGCTCATGTTTGAAGACCTCGTCAGACAATGCCATAGCTGCAAGTGGAAACAATATGACAACGCTGCACACTTGGCGTACCACGCTTAGGACCGACCATACAAAGTATTTTGCTAATTTATAAGACCCAGTGTGTTTTTCCATTCGAAACCCCGAAAGACTGGAAACGGGGGTAATGATCAAGCCCTCGACGATTTGGCAGTATTATTTTCAATACACTAGAATCAATCTGGTTGCTCACCTTGACGTATGTACTGAATTGACATTCGAATCAATTGATAGATTTTTGGGTACAGTATGTATACCACCGTATAGTGTATATGTATTAATATTGCGAGGATTTATCTGGTATTGCGACTCCTGTAATAACTGATAGTTTTCTTGTATGGTGCACGTCATCTATAAACTACCAACTTTTCACAAAATATTCTGACTTCTATTTCATATTCATTACTCAAAATTGCAGCAAATTGAGACGTAGAATCGACAGATCTCAATGTGGTGAAGAAATTCTACGTCTCAGATTCAAATTTTGTGATGAATTGGTCCAGAAATAGATATTTAACCTAGCGGTATTTTACATGGGCGCTTGGATATTTGGCCATAGGGGTGGCCGCTCAAGTGTATCTTGATTTTTGTATGTGACTCTTATCCGTATTTAATATCCGGAGGCAGTTGGGACCTTTAACCTCCCACTCCAGTGATAAAACGCATGCAATTTTGGGTTTAACTACATCAATTGCACGTTAAATAATAAAACCTCTACTCTTCAATTTGGCCAGTTGGAAGTTTTTAGATGAAGTGCACCATAATAACTGATATTTACTTGTGAATATGTTAAATATACTTCAAATTTGTATGTCGTAATAGATTAAAGTTTTGAGAACGAGTATCGGCTGGTTGTGAAATATCACCTGTCGCAATACATACCGTATACACGTATATTGGTCGCATCACAATGGTGGCGCTTTACTGTACCTAACGTAAAAGTCCAATTTAAGGGGCACGCGAATTAGCCATCAATTCCTACAACGGCAGTTTTTAACCTAACCGCCCAAAAAATATGCAAATGGGTATACAAAGGCTAAGCTTAAAATTGTGCACCTTCAATTCGACCGCTTGTTTCAAGCTGTATCTGGACAAAGTGATGTAATGAATTATAACAGGAATCATATCACATTCATAACTATAGTTATGAATGTGATATGATTCCTGTTATTATTAACTATAATAGGCCTGGATTTTGGATTCATGTAACATATTGTAGAATTATAATCCGATATCTCGCCTCGGAAAATGAGTTCTTAACATTGGACATTTACGTTAACGTTACAGTAAATCAAACTCTAGGGCATCGACCACTTAATTTAGGTCGGCTCAGTGTCGCACATCTCTGGCAGAATCACGAGCTGACGTTAACATATGAGGTCGTGGGACATACTCGGTACTGTAGTACTCGTGGACGATGCATGTACAAATCGTGCAGCGATAGAATCAATAGTTAAGTTATTGGCTACGGGAAGGCGTCCCAGCAGGGACACTGTCGTCGGCAGGGTGTTGGTCGGCCATGTTGAACTTCTCCATCACTTCCTTGAGCCCAGCTTCCGACGTCTGGCTGCTTGCGAGGAAGATCTCCCCGATGATCGCCAAGCCTTCCGCGCGCTTCATGCGCTGCGCCGCCGACACGGACGCGTCCTTGAACAGCTTAAAGCACACGCTGCGAAGAGTCGCTTCGACGTCCATGACAGTAAAGTTCCACGCTGTCTCCAAGATACCCCCGAGGGTCTCGTGCTGCAGCTGCCGCGCCAGTTCGTCTTCGTTGCCGGCATCTTGGGGCGTCGCGTCGGCCGCGTTTTTTTGCTTCTTCTTCTCAAACTCCTCCACTTTCTTGGCGGCTTTGCTGTACTTGGAGTACGCCGACACGGCCGACGACAGGAACTTGTACTTGGTTGACAGCACGTGTGCGCTCTTGGTCACGTTCTGGAACCCCAGGCCCGCCGCCACGCTCTTGCGGAACCCCAGGTGCTTGTGCGCTTGCTCCTCGTACACGTACCCCACGACGCCGATCAGGGTCCCGCCGAACGCGGTCGCCGCCAGCTCCGCCGCCGTGGCCGTGACAGACGTGCGGAAGTTGATGTGCATGTCAGACACATCCGTCGCGTACAAGTCGTCGAGGAGGGTCGCGAGATGGACGGCGCAGCGCACTTCGCGGCGCTTCTGCTTGAGTTTATTTGAGTCGCCAAACAGGTCCGACGGGTCGCTCGGCCCTTCCGTGGGGTTCATTTTGCTCAGTTCTTGCTGCAAAGTCATGAGATTCAGCTCCCCCACGAACGCTTCGAACGCCTGCGACCCAAAGATCATATCGTAGATCTGGCTGTTGTCCATAAACAGCTGCTGGTCCACGCCGTCGCTGCCGTGCTCGTCGTACTTGGTGCGGGACGCCGGGTCCGACAGAATCTGGTACGCGGCGCCGACTTTTTGGAAGTTGGCGGACGCGGCGGGGTCGTTCAGGTTCTTGTCGGGATGCAACTTGATGGCCAGGCGACGGTACGCCTTCTTGATCTCCACGTCCGTGGCGTTGGTGGGCACGCCCAGTACGTCGTACAGCTCCGTCTCCTTGACGACTTTGTCTTCCAAGACGGGTGCGGCGGCATCCGCGGCGGCCACTTCCGCCGCCTCTTCCTGGAGGTTGTACACGTACCACTGATTAGTCTCGCCATTCCACACCTTGTTTTCGTTGCTGCTGATGATAGCACGAGGGGTCGCCGCAATGCCGCGCGCAATTTGCGTCACACCTGTGACCGCCCCACCACCGACCATCTACACATACGCATATCAGCACGAACATGGAGGCAGCATTTGATGAACGCACCACAACTGCAGAGGCTGTGCCTAGAGCAAGACCCTTTGCAAATCCGAAAATCCCTTGCTCCTTCGCACCAATGATTGGCATCGCCACAAACGACCCCACCCCAGCCGCCAAGCCCTTTCCCATGTTCTTTAGACCCGACGAGAACCCGGCGGCGGCATCACGAGGCGCGCGGGTCGAGAAGATCTGCGGCATGTCAGGCAAGTCGTCATCCAAATCCTCAGGTCTGTCGGACTTGAGTTGAAGCGGCGGAGCAGGAGGTGCCGTCCGTGCTGGCGACGCTCCATTGTTGTCTTCTTTCGACGGTGCGTCGGCGGCGGCCTGCATCCGATAGTCGTTCACGAGAAAGAAATCGTTGTGGTGGATCCCAACACAGTAAACTCTGCCGGCGTACGGATACGAAAGGGTTAAACTCATCCCATACAAATGTCAAGTTTACAACTCGACTACAAGTCTTAACGTTGGTTTTCTCCCCTTTTGACGTCAGTGAACAACAAATCACAAAAATAATACTGCCATGCACAGCAATAATATTAATAATATTATTATTGTTATTATTATTGCGACAGAAGTAAAATGGGATTCGTCGTACATTCACTCCTCGTGACAGTCACTCTGTAATTTGATCACATGTCGTTGTCGTGGCGAGGGAGGATGGGTGAGTACCGCGACGGAATCGGCGTAAAGTACTTGGTCATGGCGGTTTGGAAGCGTTTGGTGTACTGTTTGGGGTTGAGCACTGTGATCTCGCCTTCGTCCTGCAGCAACCTCTTCCCGTGGTGCTCGAGGCGCTTCAAGAGGTCGTACTTGACGATGTAGTCGATGATGCACACAACCACCTCTTGCTTCTGGCGGTCGTACCCGAGCAGCATGGAGTAGTCCACGACGTCCACGGACGCGAGGAACGTCGAGTCGTTGAGCATGGCCGTCTTGAGCACTTCCATGGCCGCTTCGTGCATGGGCATGGGGATGCCGCCGCACATTTTGACAAAGTTGCGGTCCCACAGCACCGCGCCGCCGCCCTCGTCGGCCACGGACCGGCCCTCCATCTTGCCCTTGAGGTCGAACAGCACATCCACGTGTCTGCCGTAGACCAAGTTCTCCATCACGAGCAAGTTCATGGTGGCGTCGCCGATAGAGATGCGGTAGGCGCCGACGATCTTGCTCAGCATGGTGGGCGACCCTTCGTCGATGGATTTACCCATGTACTCAAAGTACTTGGGCGCGACGTTGAGGAACATTTGCATCTGGTTGGACGGGATGACCTTGGCCAGGAACCGTTGGTCCTTGGTCTTCATAAATCCCGCGCCCGACTTGCCGCCGCTCACTTGCCACGTCTCGCACGTGCACAGACTCTCCACGAAGCGCCGCTCGTCGTACTCGATCATCTGCCTCAACGCGTGAAACTGTGTCGCATAAAAGCTCTTGCACCCAAACTTGGTGGCCGACTGGAACTCGCTGTCATCGACAAACAGGTGCTCAATATTACTGCGCTGGTCCGACGTGAGCATGGTCAAGAGGTGCGGCCTGGACAGGTGGTCGTCGTGGCTGACAAACCAGTCCTTGAGCTGGGTCGTGTACTCGACTGAGCACAGCGAGTACGCGACCACAGACGTGGGCTGGCTCGGGTTGACCAGCACCACAACGCCGTCCACCCCCGGGGGCAGACTCGGGTGCCACTGCAGCAGCGCCGGCGGCAGCTCCAGGAAGTGCGACGATTTGGTCATGCCCAGCTTGGGCACGTCCGAGCCCACGACCAGCGTCCGGTTCCACGACGACTCGCTGTGCGAGAGGCTGTTGGACTGGCTAGACAGGGCGTCGTGCATCGGGTAGTCGACACTGGAGTCGAAGAACGTGATTCCTGTCGACACTACGGCGCTGAACCCGCCTTGGTTGTCGTCGAGAACGGGGGAATCGTACTCGCCCTTGTTGACGCGGTGGACAAACTCGGCCACGGACGCCGTCGAGTCGACAGATGCCCGCTTGGATCGGTCCGGGTGCTGCTGCTGCTCTTCGGCCGCCGCCATCTGCTGGAACCACCACGTCGGCAGCGCGTTGTTCGTGTCCGCCTCGCTCCCCTGTCGAAACGTCGACTGGGTGCTCGTACTGTCCCTCAGCTCGACGCACATCCTGGCGGCGTGCTGGTAAATCTCTCGGAAGAGCGCATGCCGCGCAAATGCGTCGACGGGCGGACTCTCGCGCACCTTTTGAGTCAAGCTGAGGCACCAGAACCGGACGCTGCCGCGCAACGTGGCCAGTTTGTCCATCGATTTGGGCAGTTCGCGGGTGTGCAGCTGCTTGGTCTGCTGCATCACGCTCAAATCCACGAGCGCGTCGTCTATCTTCTGCAATGTCATTTCGCGCACTTGTTCCGCCAGCTGCACCAGATCCTCAAACTCGTCGTCGACGGCGACAGACCCGCGACTCGACTCGTGCCACAGCGTCGGACTCAACGTGACCGTCGCCACCGGCTCGATGCGCTCGACGGCCACCGCCACAACCACATCCGCGAGGGCAAAGTACCGGATGTACTCATCCGTCGACACAGCCAACGACGTCGTCGGCAGCGTCCGCATGTACAAGAGGTCTTCGAGGAACTTGCCAAATGAATACGCGAGCATGTCGGGCGTCATGTCGACGTACACGGGCGCGGCTTGGTCCGGCTCGGGGCCGGCAACCCACGTGATGGGCACCCCCGTGCTGCTGCTTTGAACCGCGTTCTTGGCAGAGTTGACCATGTCCACGAGCATATCGCCGGCCGCCGCCTTCTTCTGTTTGCGCTGGGCTGGCTGCACCAATACCCGAATATGCACGCGCCCCACGTCGTGGGTGAAACTCAACTGGTGCGTTTTAAAGGCCGTTCGGAACACCGCCGCCGCCGTGTCGAAGCAGTACTTCGCTAGGAATTGGCCGAGGCTGCAGTCGCCATTGGCGTTATAAAACTGCAGGACGTTCCATTCGGCCACGGATGGCGCCAGTGTGTCGAGCCGACTCCAACAGGTCGACACGACCAGTTGAGTGCCACTCAGCACTGGACGACTGGTCAGACTCGCAGGGCACGTGCACGGCGGGTCTCCTCCGCTGGACGGACTTTGCAGCAGGTGGCGGCGGACGTTCCCAGAGCTCCGGCGTCGGGTCAACTTGGCGTCGGCGACTTTGCAATTGGGACATTTCAGGCGTTGCAGGGATTGAAATGCCCGTTGGCTGGGGGAATTTTCCCGCAGCGTCAAGTACATCGAGTCAAACGTTGGTGAAAAGCTATGCGACGTCTGCAGCGGTGGGATAATTCCCCACGCGGTCATGAGCGATCGCTGCAGACGGAGGTGGTAGCCCACATGGACGGCTTGCACCACGATCTCCCGCAGCGCCATGAGCACCACCTTGGACGCGGCCCCTCGTAGCCCCAGCGTAACTCCGAGGGCGGGCGAATCTGTTTCAAACACGACGCACTGCTTCCTGCTCTTCCGAGTCGAAGCATGCGACGACGGCTCGGGGGGGTCGGGGGTCCACACCCGGAAGCGGCGACATGTGCCGAGGATGGCTTCGCTCGTCATCTTGTCGACGTGGTCGAACGCCGTGAGGACCGCGGCGCCCGTGACTCTGGCGATGCGCGTCAGGTCCTCCGCCTTGATGTTCTTGACGACTACCACGTCGCTCGCGGCCAGACACTCTTCGGCCACCCGATGCACATGCCTCTGGAACACCACCACGTCCGGCCGCAGCCGTTTGATTTTCTCCGCTGCGATGCGCATGTACTCGGTTTCCAAGCCCGCCACGTGCTCCAGTGGACTGAAGCTCTCCTTGTCCTTGTGGTAGTCGAGGGCCGATGCAATCACGAGCACGCGCGGGAACTCGACGCTCGGCCGCATGCTCTTGCGCGCCATGCGCTTCCGGAGGAGGACCCCCGGCACGACAAAGCTGTCGGACGGGGACCCGCCCGGAAAACACTTGATCCGACATCCCGCGACGCCGTCCTCCACGGCGGACGCGGCGTGCGTGCTCAGCGACAGCAAAATGTCGACAAACGCACACCGGTCCGAGAGGCCCGGCAGGGGGGTCGCCCCCAGCATCGACCTGATCCGGTCCAAGATGAACGCCGTCGCGTGGTCGGCCATGCGGGTGCGGTGCGCGGCGGCAGCCGTTTGAACCGCCGGCACCTCGGACGCCTTGGTGCAGGACTGGGACAGCTGGTACGAGCCATCGCGGACAAAGCGCGTCATCGCGTCGGAAGCAGGATACGACGCTACGGGGATGCGGGTGGGGTGGGGGTGGTGGGGTCGGGGAAAATTCCCCACGGACGGATGCGTGCCTCGGGGGCGATGGGAGGACGTGTCCATGTCCAAGTCGACGCTGCTGTCATCGTCGGCAAACAACCCGCGGAACCGCACGTGGTGGCGGTGGGACGGGGGATGCAGCAGATCGGGATCGCTCCCACAACGACGCAAAGTGGGAAGCGCGGCTTTGGCGGAGTAGTGGGGAAAGACCGGGTGAAATACGGAGGCGGATGATGGGGCCTTGACGGGGACCGGGGGTACCATGACAGCTTTGGGGAACATGGCGTACAGCGCGGGGTTGATGTCTTGGAGGAACTGGTTGGGTTCGGCGGTTTCCGACAGAGAGGACAGGGCAGGAGAGGCGGTCGGCGCGTCGGCGACGAGTTTCGGAGTGGAGGGTGGCGGGGCTGGCTGCTGGGGGTAGCGGAGGATCGGGTAGTTCCGGCGATACGTGGAGCTCGTGGAGATTGTCGTGGACGGAGCAGCTGCTGGTTGGTGTAAGAGGCCCTCTTTCAGCTGCCGATGGCATTTGCGACACACCAGTTGATTCCGAAGCCAGTGCATGGAGGCGTCGCGGGGCTTGAACGATAGCGGCAGCCGGTGGCAGCATGCCGAGCAGAAGATTTGGCCGCAGGACCGACAGTGATGGCGTCGTCGGCAGAATGTGAAGAGCGCATCGCATGCGACGCAGCATTTGGCATGTTGATCTGACATCCAGAACTGGGTCATGGTCGAGTTGGTGCGGGCGCGGCCTTCCAATGGTTCGTCGAGGGTGGTCGCGCTGACCGGCCATTTAGGACCACTGGAGGACGGGATCACGGACGGTTTCCTTGCCTCGGATGAAGAAGGTTGACTGAAGATGAGCGAGACTCCGCCACTTGGATGGCTTTGCGCTTGCTTCAGCCTGGACAGTACGTCGTCGTAGTAGACGTTCTTCAGATTCATGAGGTCGAACTCGACCAAGACAGCACCAGAAGCGACACCCGCGGCCTCGGCCTCCGACCCGACTTCCACTTTGTCAACTTGGCACCAGTAGCGCGTCTGGAGATGAGATGGCGCTCGACGGAAGGTCATGCCGTAGGTGACAATGGGCGCCGACAGTGGCAGCGAAATGGTCAAGTCAGGAATCTTGGTTTGGGAATCAAAGCCGCCGAACCGGAACCCTACGCGCCTCTCCAAGGAGTCTCCGCCTGCCGGTGAATGCGTGGACTGACGGGGAAAGCATTGCCCGAAGATGCCGCAGTCCATGTTGGCGCTATCTCGTTGCTCACGGCTGCAATTCAACTTGCAGATATGCGTGATAAAATAATAGAGGTTTTCGTAAAAAGCAAGGTACTGATATAAAAGTATAGAGATCTAACAGAAATCAGTCGTGTTATAACATCGATTCGTTGTAACATCACGGAATGTAGGTGGCAATCATCCGTATAGTTGTTTTGTTATCCGGAGAGTTGCAACGCAATCAGTGCATAACCTGCGGCTGTTCACGTCGTTCTGTAAATCTACAGTACCAGGGGGCCGAGATGGGCCGGCCGAGTAAGAAGTTGCCGAAGCGAGGGGCTTCTACGCTGGGCATGGAGCGCATGGTTATCGGCGTGGACGACATGGTGCTTCTGCCGTCCGTGAGCGAGAACGGCATCTTGGAAAACCTCAAGGCGCGGCACGGCGGCGACCAAATCTACACGTTCATCGGGCACGTGTTGGTGTGCGTGAATCCATACAAATGGCTCGACATATACAACGAGAACATGATGCGGTACTACGCGCACAAGCAGCGCATCGACGTGGTGCCCCATGTGTTTGCCACCGCCGAGGAAACGTATCGGACCATGGTGCGTGACGAAGAGAACCAGTGCGTGATCATATCCGGGGAGAGTGGCGCCGGCAAGACGGAAGCTTCCAAGCAGATCCAGAACTACATCGCGGGGATCTCGGGCAGCGGCGAGGGCGTGGACAAGGTCAAGCGAACGTTTCTCGAGTCCAACCCATTGCTGGAAGCGTTCGGGAACGCCAAGACCGTCCGAAACAACAACTCAAGTCGGTTCGGCAAGTACTTTGAGCTGCTTTTTGACGCGGCAGGACGGCCGCAAGGAGGCCACGTCACCAACTACCTGCTGGAGAAATCCCGAATCGTCAAGCCCGGGAAGGGCGAGCGCAACTTTCACATCTTTTACCAGCTTCTCGCGGGGCTCCCGGACGCCGCGCGCACTTCGTTTGGACTTTCCAGCAAAGCTAGCGACTTCCAGTACCTCCGAGCGTCGGGGTGTTATACCGTGGACGACCTGAACGACGCCGACGAGTTCCACGCGACCATGGCCGCCATGCAGCATGTAGGCATCAAGAAGAAGCAAATCGAGTTGGTCGTGCAGATGCTGGCTGGGATTTTGCATCTCGGCAATGTCAACTTTGAACCTGTCCAAGTGCAAAATGCCGAAGGAAGTCGAGTGGCTTTAAATGAAGCTACAGAGTCGTCGTTGGACCTCGCGTGCCGGCACTTGGGACTTACGGCGCCCGAACTCAGTCGCGCGTTCTGCTACAAGTGGCTGCATACCATGGCCCCGGTAGGGAATGATAATATATATATATTTATCTGGTCATGACGAATACTATTCCAACTGCTAGGGCGGGAAAGTCGAGAGCTACGAAGTGCCCCAGAATCCCGACCAGGCCACGAGTCAGCGCGACGCGATCGCCAAGTTTCTGTACGCATCCGTGTTTGATTTCCTAGTCGAGCGCATCAACAATGCACTGGATGTGGACAACACCCTTCACAAAGCGGCCGACTTGGCGAGTATTGGCATCCTCGACATTTATGGGTTTGAGATCTTCGACTCGAACGGGTTTGAGCAGTTTTGCATCAATTATGTCAATGAAAAGCTGCAGCAAATCTTCATCGAGCTCACGTTGCAGTCGGAGCAGGCCGAGTACGCTCGCGAAGGGTACGTCGATAAACGACTTGTATATTTTAACCCAAAATTGAAGACCTTTTTGTACGGATTCGCAAATTCGATTGATTCTTAGTACGGACTTTTGTATGTGGTGGGGATTGGCCTCCTAGTAATTAAATTGTATAATATATATATATTATATATATGAAATATACCTAGTACTAGTAAGAATTTTGATAAGTATCAAAATTATTTAAAAAATAATCCTTTCTTTTTGAGATTCCCAACTGATTTAAAAACAATTGGTATGATCACACTAATTGAAATCACACACGAAGGAGGAAACGTTGAAGTAATATGGTTTCCCGCAATCTGATTGGGCTAAATCCTTTTGCCGATATTCTTGTCCAATTTAAAGTACTACACAACAATAATCCTTGTATATAATCAGAAGCCTATATTATTTGTTTGGGGTAGAATTACATGGACGCCGATTCCGTTCTTCAACAACAAGGTCGTGTGCGACTTGATCGAGGGCAAGGGTCCCCCCCCCGGCATCTTTTTTATTCTGGACGACACGATCAAAACCATGCACAGCCAGCACGGCGACGGCGTGGACCTGACCTTTCTCGAGAAAATGGCTAGAGTGCACAAGGGCCACGCGCACTTTTCCAAGCGCGGACGCCAGTTTGAGATCAAGCACTATGCGGGAAATGTGCAGTACAGTGTGCTCGGGTTTGGGGAAGCCAATAAGGAGAGTCTCACCAACGGTACTTGCGTATATATATACACGATAAAAGGTGGAGATATAACATGGTATTGTTGTGATAGATGTGATGGCGTTGGTGCACCAAAGCTCCAATAAACTGATCCAGTACCTGTTTCATCAGACCAATGAAGAAGGAGATGAGAGTCACCCGGGACGGAAGAAGCTGGCGCTGACCGCGGGCACCAAGATCCGGACGCAGTGCGCGGCGCTTGTGGCGGCGCTCATGGACTGCCAGCCGCATTACGTGCGCTGTATCAAATCTAATGATCGCAAGCAGCCCAACAACATTGACGACAAGCGAGGTGGGTATTTATTACTTAGCGATATTGCCGTTTTACCCAATATTTGGCTAACTTTTGTGCGAATTCTTTGCCAAATCTATCGATCGATTCTACGTTTGGATGTAAGTGTCACCCTAATTTATTAATTCACACACTAATTCTATGTTGAATTGGTCGGATTTGATTGGCTACTTGATTCGTGTTCTAGGTTTTGATTGGTCAATCGATTGTCTGCCGATTTGGTTATTCTGCTCATTCAATTGAGCACCTATACACTCCAACTTCGATATCGACTTGACAATATGATATATGTTGACAATATGATTTATATATATATATATATATATATAGTGCTGCACCAAATCCAGTACTTGGGGCTGCTGGAAAACGTCAAAGTTCGCCGGGCGGGGTACGCGTACCGCGGCGACTACGGCCGTTTCTTAGATCGATTCAAGTGGCTGGCCAAGGAAACATCGCGGGAATTCAGCGGCAAGGACGCGGCGGGATGCAAGTACATCGTGAAGGCGGCTCAGAAGGACATCCCCGCGCTTCAAGATGAAGTCCAGTGGGGCCAGACGATGCTGTTTATCCGGACGCCCGAGGCGTTCTTCGCGCTCGAGAAGCTCCGGGAGCGGACGTTTGGGGTGTTTGTGAGTCGCATTCAGCGGGCGTGGACCAAGTACGCCGGGCGGCGGCACCTGCTGCAGCTGAGCGCCGACATCTCCAAGCTGTACGCCAAGCAGGGCAAGGGCCGGCAACGCGTGAGTTTATACCGACCATTCGACACAGATTACTGCCGAGACAGTCAAGTTCGGGCGGCGATTCTGGCGGTTTTGCAGTACCACGGCGACGACACCTCCAAGTTGCTCTTCTGCGACAACGTTGACAAGATCTCAAAGCTGGGCATCCGACAGCCCAACTTTTACTTGGTCGTTACTGCCTCTGCCATGTACATTTTGGAAGGCCAAGATCCAGCATCATCGGTGGACCCAAAGGCAGTCGTACCGCCGCTCGTGAGCTTACGCCGCCGTCTGCCGCTGTCCGCCATCGAAGGCATCGTCATGTCCCCGTTCGCAGATCCGTTCTTGGTGCTCCGGATCACGCAGACCCCCGTCCTCCCCACACCAGACGTTTCCCACTGGAAGGATAACAAGAGCTCGGCTTCATGTATGGCCACCAACAAGAAGTTCTCGCTCTTTACGAGGCGCCACCACTGCCGCGTCACGGGCAACTTGTACTGCGCCGACGTCGTGTCCAACCTGCACCCGGTGCCCGACCGAGGGTACTAACTACCACCACCACATATGCTGCACCTATACATATATATATATATATATATATATGTGTACATGCGTAGGTGCTACACCCCGGTCCGAGTCGTGGACTCGGTGGTTGGGTATTTTTCCACAGACATGGCCGAGGACGTGTGCTTGGCGTCCGAGAAGAAGACGGAGATCGCCGTCGTGATTGTGAATGCGCTGCGCACCATCTCCATCACATTTGACAAGGCCATTCGACTGCGCACCGCGTCCGTCCTCTCCACGAGTCCGTCGGACACGCTCACGTTTGAGACCGGCGCCGCCACAGCCATCACGGTCCGGCCGGGTACGTGGTTTCGTTGTTATAATTGTTGTTATAACAAACTACTATGACAAATATATTTTGTTATAACTATAGGCAACATCGTCATCACCGTGGCCGCGGCGGACCAAGTGCCCGCGCAGTACCTGGAGGCGCGCAAGAAGCGCGAGCGGAGGCGGAAGAAGCAGCGCGACGCCCAGCGCGCGGCGGACGAAGCCATCCGCACCGCCCGGCGGGAAGTGCGCGAAAAGGAGCGAGAGGAGGAGCGGCTCCGGCGAGTGGCCGAAAAGAAGGCGCGCAAGGCGTCGGAGCGTGCGAAACGATCGAGTTCGGGGGGCAACCTCGCCACGAACGGCGCCAACGTCCGGAAATTTGGCGAACAACTTGCTCTACCGCAGAGCAACGCCACCTCGGAGCTGGCCGCGGCGTTGGCGCGTCGACGGGGGAATTGACGGACCAAGTGCTTGCAGTATTGTTGGCGCGATAAGGTTTTAGCAATATTTTAAAGTATTTGCGCTGGTCTGGATGATGCCAAGTGATAAATAAATCTATCAGAAAGCTTGCAAAGTTTTGTGATTTCTCCAAGTTCCCAAAGTCAGGTATATAATAACTGACACCACATGTATTTATCCTGAAAATTTTCCACGAATATTACAAATGTAGAGCCAGGACAAGTTAAGGTAAAAATACGCCGATTTGGCGTATTTTTATTTCTGTAAAACCTATAAAATGTGAGGTCCAAAACCGCTCCATAGAAATATTCAAATGACTAATTTACAAGTAAAAAAGCTCTATAAATCGATAGTTTAGCGCACGACAAATCGACTAATAGAAGCTTAACGGTGGAATTCGCAAAACTAGACAAAATATGTTGAGGCCAAACTCGACTAAAGTGGCTGACCTTACTTCTGATTATTATTGTGCTCATCGGATTAGAGCATGTTTTGAGTAAGATTTTAAGCTTATTCAGTGTATGGTATATACATTTGAGGATGAACATTTGCACTGGTACGTGTTGGGTCGAACTATACTAATCGATGATTGGTTGCAATTACCCCGTAAGTGCAAAGTGATTGGCTAAGGGTGGGTCTGGATCACGCTCAAATTTCCGCCCACTCTATATTTTGAAAATTTGGTTCAAAGTGATTTGAAAAATTTGATTGTAACTGTATGATTTCGATAGAATACTCAGTTATTGCCAACTTTCATACAAAGAAGTCCCTTGAACCTCTTTTCCTTTTTTTGCAAAAATCGCGATATTGGCAAAATATTGAATTCACTGTCGAGATTTTTTTTCATTTTTTCCGAATTCTGAGAAATAGCCAAGATATAGCCCCTTTTTACACCCTAAGACATTCTCAAAATACATTTGTCAAATTCATTCCATTCTACTCGGAAGTCCAAATTGGAACGGATTTGACAATACCCAATCAGAGTACATTATGCACTGAGGCACCAAGTTCCCAATGCACCACCAATATGCAACTTATAATATCCCATATAAATACCAAGCTACTTTCAAAATGACGACTAAACACAAAGGAAACATGATCTTGGCTGTATTCAGGAGTACGATGAATCGCTGAGTATAATTTGTTAGAGTGGTGGTGCAGCCAACAATTTTCAGCAGAGCTCGCTATCCGTATCCGCATATATCGCTTCTTTGTCGAAAATGCCACAGCTCTCGGAGAGAGAGGCCGTCCTTGATGACTTGGATAGGATGATACGAATCATTTTGCAAAAATTACAGGCTTCAGATGATGGGCACCGTAAGTTGGACAAATCACCTGAAATTTCTGGAGGCTGGCGGGAAATCGTGAACGTAGAATTGCAGTGGGAGAAACTCATAATAGATGATACTGCTCTGTTCAAGAGAATTGTTGGATTTGGCAAAAGCAAATGTCCAAGAATTGTTGGATTTGCTAACTTGCTTTAAGTATACTTGCATAACCTTAAAAGAATAGGACAGAGGAGTATTTTTGATTGAAAAACTGAAAAGAATGAAGTTAAAACGAGTATTTAATGCTATTGCATTTTGTAACACGTACTTGTAGCTAACTGTAAACAAATGTTAACGAATGTATTAATAAATAGCAAAACTCTAAACCTGAACTCGAAAAACCCACTTTAACTTTGACGAATTGCCGCCGAACTTTTTGACCACATACATCACTCCAAGTTTTCGACGAAGATGTCTTTACACGTCAGATCCGAATATTTCGCAAGTGGTTAATTCGAAATCGCACCTCAGGCATCGGAGTTTCGTAGGTTTCGTCGAAATTCAACCTAAAGGAAAGCTTGGTAAAATCCCTTCAACCCCATAAATTTTAAGCGCAAAACATAGAACGCAATGTGTAGAGTGTGTTCCATGATTATTGAAAGTTTACTCGTTCAAAGTCACAAAGGATCGCCAAACGTTCATTTGTCAAGATCCGTGCGTTTGGGCAAAACGAATGTATTAATACTCCTATTACTGTACTGTACTGTAATAGTACTTCGAAGCATTGGTTAATTCCTCCATAACTTTCACCATGTATTTCTTTTCAGATCTGAAGGTATATAAGAATAGAGGAGGAATCAGTTCATCGGGTGAGGGGTTTTATTATCATTACAACGGGATATTAAAATAGATATAGTTGTCTCAAATTTCGCTCCTGTCATACATTCTGAACAAATTAATATACTTAGAACTGCGAAATTTAAATAAAAAATAGTTCTGCACTCAGGCCAAAATTTATAATAATATGAGCGGGAGTTCTGAAAGTCAAGTAGTGCGTACTACCGTAACATTTTCTTTGCAAGTTTTTAAAAATTCGAGCTGTTTTATTTTCAATTCGTGCCAATTCGACCCAAGCAAATGTTTGGATTCTCCATGTTGCGAAGGCACATAAGTCTATCACCATTCACGTTTAGCCTTCAAAACTGGGGATTCATTATCTTTCATTCAAGACGAAGCGATTAAGAAAAGAATGAGCTAAATCCGACCAGTATTTGAAAAATAAAGATCCATTTAGCCCAATCCCACAGTAAGTCATGGCTGTCTACAGTGAATAGGGCAGTACCAGTAGGCAGGAGCAGACAACAGTACTGAATTGAGCACCAGAAGGGAGAACTGGAAGTGAATTAATTTTAAATCACTTTCGGTTCTCGCTACAGTATACTTCTGACTGCAATGAAATAGCCAATCAAAACTAGACTATGATTGGCCACGACATCCTATGACGTTCCATGATCAGATATCTGTACTGACTTCTACCTGAGGAAACGACTCTAATAGGCACACAAATCTCCTACACAGATATCATAGCAGACGATGCTACTGTACCTGACTCACAGGACAATTGGGGCGTTCTCTACACAGTGTAACAGAACAGGGTGTCCTGACGGATACAGAAATGTAAACAAATGTTAGCGAATGTTAACATATGTCAACTACCAACAGTACGTATATCTATTTTGCTCAGGATATTGATATTGTCTACTAGTAACTGTAAGTTAATCGATTCGAAATTGAAGCCCTCAGCAGAATCAAATGTCTTAGCACCGCCTAAGCCAATCAAATCACGTCTTGTCGAATTTTTGCTACTACGTAGTAAGTAATCCAAACGTTTGATTCGGCCCAGATTGGGCAAAACCACATATATACTAATCGTTGTATTGTATAGTTTGTATACGTTTAAATCAGATCAAATGGATTCGAATGCTATTTGGACTCGCAAGTCCAAATTTGGGTGTGAAATGCACAATACGAAAACGTACTATAACGTTAGTACTAGTATTCGTTAAACTTCATATGGCAGTTATTCACCCTTTATCCTCACGATTCCCACAGCCTCCAGCTCTATGTACATATCCGGTACCTACTCTCGCGATCTCCTGGAGCATTTTCTGCCAGTAGTTTCTGAGGCATCCAGACACACGTTTTGGAAGAACTCCACGTTTTAAACATTCACGCTTTTTCCTTGCAAAATAGGCGATTTCAGACTAAAGATTAAATCGTCGAAAAATAGGCGTTTTGTGACGCCGTAAGATTATATCGTCGAGTGTTGTAGTATGTTACAACGCCAGTGGAACTCGGTGTAGTGCACTCCAATCTGGTCTTTCGCATAGTGTGTCTTGATGCGGGAGCTGACGTGGAACCAGACTTTTGGTAGCAACATTATGCAGCGTCGAGAGCGTTCCCTTCTGCCCACTAGTCTGTCGCAGTCCGTTCCCCTTCTGCCCACTTATAATCTATCGCAGTCCCTGTACACGGAAACAGACGAACATGAAATTTCAAGCCAATGTGCCCGATATGACTGCAAAAGACCTGATTTGACCCTGCCAACAAATTTGGCAAAGTGCAGGGACATTTCAAAAGTGTGAAGGTTCTGACATGCATATGCCAGGAGAGGTGATGTTGCTATTACGACTTGTGACCTACTACATTCGTAATTCAATTCCATTTCAATATCTTTGACTTGTAATGGTTATGAATATAAAACTTTCGTCGTGAACGGATGTCACGCCACCCTGTCAACCCTCTGATGCGTCATAAGTGGACGCTTTTGTTATTAATACTAGTACAACGTAGTACTCTGCAGCATATCCTTGACTCGTGTGCTATTGCTGCGTAACCCTACTAGTAGATCTACTAGTATATGCATACGCAACTACTAGTACATCCATCGATCTCGTCCGCGAGTTCTGTATTCTTAGCTCCATCACCTCCGCCGCCATTTCCAGCGTTCTCCATCTTGCTTATCATTGGCTGCCTTTCGCTCGTCTCTGGCCCTATTTGGGTGTAACACATCGCATTCTACGTTGGGTGCGTGTTTCACGCAGTGAAACTTTGTACGTTTTGATTGGATAAAATACCAGCTTTTTCACGAATTTATTCTCACATTGTAGCATAATACTGGCATGGGATTGGCTATTAATCAGCGAATGCCATGTGAGATTCAAAACACGCACCAAATCGGCCGAGCCCCTACCGAAAGTAAAAAACGCTCGGGTCGATGACCAACCTACCGCCGCATTTGGCGACCAAGCCCACTGACGACGCAAGTGCTGCTGCTACTGCTGCGATGGCAGTCCGAATGGAACACATCACGGAATGGATAGGCGGAACGGTCAACATGCGTATCGAGGGAGACCTCCTCGCGATCCTTAAGGACGGACAGGTCCTTTGCAAGCTCGCCAACTCTTTGAACGCATCCATCCACATCAACAAGCTCAAGACGACATTCCACTGCAAGGAGAACATCACGGCGTTTCTGCAGTGGGTGCATCGTATGGAAGTCCCCGAACAAGACATCTTCGCGGCGGACGACTTGCTGTGGGGGAACGACCTCTCGATCATCCTCCGCACCCTTTCTGCTCTCTACAACATGTTCGCAGAAGAAATCCGCGCCTCCATCCGGTATACCCAGAGCGAGGCGTCGTATCGGTCCAACAGCGTCGTATCTGATGGATGGTCCAGCGACGACTCTGGCTTGGGAGACCTCCATGACGACAGCGCCGACGAAGACCACGCCGACATTGCCGAGAGCATCTTCGTTCGAGAGAACCGGTCGTCCTCCAAGTTTGCCGCGTTCATGCGTCAAATCCCCGACGCTGCGAACTCGCCTCCACAAAGCAAAATGTCTGCTTTCTTGGCCAAGACGCCAGTTGTGCCGCCGGTCGTGATCTCCGCGCCGCCGTCACGGAAAAAGTCGGTCGAGTCCAACATGCCGAGGAACGAGTCGGTCGAAACCAGATCGACGAACTCGTCCGTGGTCGACACAGCTCCATCCCCCATGCATCATCACATGACCAAGCCTAAGGGGCCCCCGAAGACCTTTGCGAGAAGTCCCACCATCCGAGAACCAGTCAAAGCAACTTCGTCGCCCGTCGCGACGCCCGCCCTCATGTCCGCCGACCCGCGGACCAATCTGGCCAATCTGATCATGCAAACCGTACCGCTCAGAGTTTCGCCGGCAAAGGACGACGATGATGAAATGATGACGCCGCCGTCGTCACCTAAAGTGCACATTCCCCTGCAAACCCCCAAATCCAGCCACGTCATCCCTCACCAAGTTGCACCACCACCCAAAGCAACGTCCATTCCACCCAAACCAACGTTCATTCCACCCAAAGCAACGTTCATTCCACCCAAAGCATCGTTCATTCCACCCAAACCAACGTTCATTCCACCCAAAGCAACGCCCATTCCACCCAAAGTGGCCACTCCGTCGTCAGCTGGTCCGTCCCCGTCTACCCCAGCCAAACCAGTCAACAAACTGGCTGGTTTCTTGGCCAAAGTCCCCAGTGCATCCGTGTCCGTCCCGCCCGCCGCCCCCGTGTCCAAACTCGCGGCGTTCATGTCATCCCCGTCCACATTCCGCCCTTCGAACCCCCCCACTCCACCACCAACTGCCCCCTCCGTCGTGAGAAAAGCCAAGCCAGCATTTCGATGCCCGCGTTCGTCGCAGTCGTTCCGGTGGGTCACCCGGCGCCGGACGTACGCGCCTCTGTACCCGCCCAAGTTTGACAAGGAAGCGAAACGTCAGGAGTTCATGACCGTCCAAGCGGCCGTCAAAGCTGAGCTCAAGACGAATCACGCGTCAAAGGGCGCCAAGAACGCCCCCGCCTGCGTACCCGGCATGCTGTGCTACATTCCGGACGACACCGAGACGTGGGTGCTGGCCGAAATCGAGTCGGTGGACGCCCGGCGCAAGCACGTTCGTGTCAAAGTTGCTCATGACTCGAGCAACCGCACCATCGATCTCAAGGACGCCGACGTGATCCGGGCCATCGGAGGCACGCAGGCGACCGAGATCGACGCGCTGCCTCTGGCCATTGCGCACCACGAAGGCGTCGAGGACATGCGGAACCTGCGCTTTCTGAACGAACCGTCCATCCTATACAACCTCAAGAGTCGCTTCGAAGCTGCCCAACCTTGTACGACGATCGTCTTGTATGCTTTTGTATGGGATCTAACCACCAGTCTTGTGTAGATACGTACACGAACGACATTGTGATCGCCGTGAATCCGTACCAGTGGCTCCCGGCGCTCTACTCGGATGCGTTGCATGACAAGTATCTCCGCAACGCCAAGGAATCCCTGCCGCCCCACGTGTACGCGACGTCCACCCGCGCATACAAGCACATGATGAAGCCAGGGAAAGTGCGCAATCAGAGCATCCTCGTGAGCGGCGAGAGCGGTGCCGGCAAGACCGAGACGACCAAGATCCTAATGCATCACGTCGCCGCCATCGCCGGGGGGCGGCAAGACGCGACCATCGCCCGGGTCATCGACGTCAACCCGCTGCTCGAGTCGTTCGGGAATGCCAAAACCACGAGAAACGACAACTCGAGTCGGTTCGGCAAGTTCACGCAGCTCCAATTTGACCTTAAAGGCACGCTCCAAGGCGGCCGATGCGAGACTTACCTGCTGGAGAAGTCCAGAGTCGTGTCCTTTGCAGATGGAGAGCGCAACTACCACATCTTTTACCAGGTATCGACTTGGACTGTGATACATTGGGTGTATTGATTCGTATGTATTGTCCTTTCGAGTGACATTTCATTGTGTTGTGGCAAAGTGGTTTCTCGTTGGAATTTAAATCAATTTGATTGGCTACCTCATATGAGCTCACATTATTAGCCAATCAAAACCTTCTCTATGAAATTCAACCAATCAGATCGATTGTGGATGAGTTTGGTCGGCGCGATTCGATCCCCAAATTTGTATCAAATCGACAATATATTGATTGTCCTTTTACCCCAATATTTGGTTGACTTTTGTGCAGATTCTTTGCCAAATTGAACGATCAATTCTTTGAATGGACGTTTTCAATGTTGAAGTGGATTTGATTGGCTACTGGATTCGCGATCAGGGTTTTGATTGGTCTATCGTTTGTCTGTTGATGTTTGCTGCTGCTAATCGAATATATTTGTTTGCTTATTGTGAACTTAGCTCTTGACGGGATTGCCGGCCCAAGATCAGAAGAAGCTGCATCTGGACCCTTCTCACGCGTATCGATACACTGGCGATGTGCGGGACATGCACATAGACGGCATGGACGACGCCGCGTGGCTCCAGAAGACGGAAAAGGCCCTTGGGCTTATCGACATGAACGCGACTTTTCGATGGTTTGTACTATAAACTACTACTATATACACGGACGTGTTGAGTTTATACATGTATAATAGGACGTTGTACACGGTCCTGGCTGGGATTTTGCACTTGGGGGAAATCACGTTTGTCGCTACGTCCGAGACCACGTCGGCGGTGGACAAGAACCGAAATAACGCGTTGAACCAAGTGTCGGACCTGCTGGGGCTCCCAGTGGACACGATGGAGCAAGCGTTTTGCAACCGCACGATCGCTTCGAACCGGGAAAGCGTGACTGTTCCGTTGAACGCGATCGAAGCCGCCGAGAACAGAGACGCGCTGGCCAAAGCCATCTACGCCAACATGTTTGAGTGGCTGGTGCAGCGAATCAATGCGGCGATTGCAGTGGACTTGACGAGCGGGACCGAGATTGGCGTGCTCGACATCTTTGGGTTTGAGGACTTCAAGCACAACGGGTTTGAGCAGTTTTGCATCAACTATGCCAACGAAAAGCTGCAGCAAAAGTTCGTCAAGGACGTCTTCTCGACCGTGCAAGACGAGTACGTGCGCGAAGGCCTGGCGTGGGACCACATTCAGTTTGCAGACAACCAGGACATTTTGAACGTGATTGAAGGCAAAATGGGCATCATAAACCTCATGAACGACCACCTTCGCCAGCCCCGGGGCACGGAAGAGGCGCTGGTCAACAAGTTCCGGACGAACGCCAAGGACACGGGCGTGATTGCGTTTGCTAAGGTCAAGCGTACGCAGTTTACTGTCAAGCATTATGCCGGCGCCGTCACCTACGAAACGGTTGGGTTCATGGAGAAACATCGGGACGCGCTGCTGCCGGATCTGCTCACGCTGGTGCAAACTAGCTCGATGGCATTTGTCGTTGATTTGTTCTTGAGCGACGACGACAATGACACGACGTCCAGCTCGGGGAGTTCGTCCCCGAGGGAGCCAACAGTGGTCCCGCCCGTGATCCAAGCATGGAACCTCCGGCGCAAAGGAAGTCCGGTTAGCACAAAGCCAGAGGATACAGTGGACAAAGCGTTTGGGGGTCGACGGAAGGCCGTGCCTCCGAAAACGCTGGGGCAGCAGTTCAAGACATCTCTTTCCAAGCTCATGGACACGATCGAAGCGACAAACGTCCACTACGTCCGGTGTATCAAACCGAACGCGGTCAAGTCCCCCACAGACTTTAACAAGCCCATGGTCGTGGCCCAGCTGCGGTCTGCCGGCGTCATCGACGCCATCCGCATCTCCCGAGCGGGGTACCCGAGCCGGCTGTCGGCCAAAGAACTGGCGACGCGGTACGCGCTCATGTTTCCGCCGTCGATGGTCGGAAAAGGAAAGAGTGTGGACGACACATGTGCGATGGTGCTGGCCAAGATGGGCTTCCAAAAGCCAGTCGAGTACCAGATGGGCAAGTCGCTCGTGTACTTCAAGGCGGGGGTGCTCGAGGAGCTTGAGACGCTCAAGTCGGACTTTGAGTACCAACAGGCCACGATCGTTCAAAAGGTCGTGCTCGGGTTTCTGGCGCGGCGCAAGTTTGGCCGGCAGCTGCGGGCGGCGGTGACCCTGCAAGCGTTTGGGCGGCGGGTGCTGGAGCAGAGCTACCTTCGCCGGATGAGGCACGCTATCGTGTCCGTGCAAGTGAGGTTCCGCCACCGCAAACAGCATCTAGCGTTTATGGCCAAGAGAAACGAAGCGAGAGAAGCAGATGCAAACGCTAGAGCCGCAGACGAAAGGGCAGAAGCAGCGGCGGCACTCTTTGCGGCCAAGATGGAGGAGCGAGGAGAACAAGAGGACGTGCCGCTGGTCGTGGGTCGCAAACCACTTATGCTGCCACCCAAGTTAGACGAGTCCAACTGGAACGAGCCGTCGCCTCGGTCCAGCCAGTCGACCCCGCTGACGTCCCCAGAAGCTGCCACGTCAGAGGAGAGTTTTGGCAGCGCCCTGAGCCGCGCCAAACAGGCCGAGGTGGATGCTAATGCGCTGATGAAGAGGTCCGACGCGATGCTGGCCGCCAACAAATCGTTTGAAGGGGAAGTGGAGCAACTTCGAGAGCAACTGGACCGACTGGCCAAAGAGAATGAACGGCTGCGAATGCTGCTCAAGGAGCACAAGATCAACCCCGACGCGGCCTCCCCTGGCAAACGGTCGTAAGGGATCTAGTATTTAATAGAACGAACGCACCATGTATTATTTGTAGTAATTACGATATATATATAATATATGTACAGTGTCACACATCAAGCGTATGTAGTAGTGCTATAATATCTATGACGTTTGGGTGTGGGCCACGAGCGAGGCAAATAAACTCGCTCGTCGCTTGAGCAAGTTCTTTGGCGAATCGAACTCGACGGCCGACCCTCGGTCCATGACGAGAATGCGGTCGCTGTCCATGATCGTGTGCAGGCGGTGGGCGATGGTGATGCACGTGCAGTCGCAGAACACCTCGCGGAGGCTCCGCTGGACGGATCTGTCCGTGTCTGGGTCGACGGAGGCCGTGGCTTCGTCCATCAAGATCACCCGGGACCGCTTGAGCAAGGCCCGGGCGATGCACATGAGCTGCCGCTCCCCGACGCTGAAGTTGCCTCCGTCCACAACATCGTCGAGGCTCGAGGCCGGCATCTGGACGCGCTTGAGTGCCGCCCACAGCGCCTCGTCATTGTACATGTGAAACGGATCCACGTTGGACCTCAACGTGCCGGAAAAGAGCACCGGGTCCTGCGGGATGATGGAGATTTTCTCCCTTAGGTCGTGCAGCCCAATGGCGGAAATGTCCACGTCGTCCAGCGTGATGCGGCCGCCGTGGACTTCGGCCAGTCGCATGAGCGCCACGACCAAACTCGACTTGCCGGCCCCCGTCCGTCCCACGACACCGACCTTTTCCCCACCTTGGATCGTGCAAGACAGATTGCGCAGGACGCGAGGCATGCCAACGCGATATCGCAGATCTACGGATTCAAACACAATCCGACCTAAAAGTCGTCCGAATTAGTTGAAAAATTGCTTGCAAAATGGGCAGACTGGAGATACCGTGCTGGGGCCACTGTGGCGGCGGCGGCACGAGGCTCCGCAGAGGACGCTCGGTCGGCATGGCAGCATAAGCTTGAACGCGCTCGACGCTGACCATCTGGGTCTGCAGCTGGCTCAAGTACCTCACCGACATGTTGAGGGCTGGCGTGACGCTGAAGGCGTACGTCAGTGACACGCCAGCTAGACCTGCAAACGCAGCGGACGTGTGGCTGTGGTTCAGCACGACAAACAGCGTGGCAAAGGACGCCACCAACGCTCCTACGTGTTAGTTAGCATTAGATGACTCGAATAAGGGGTGGCATACCAGACACTTCGAGGCGTAGCCCGAGCCAGCAGTTGGCCGAGAAATTCAAGAAATACGCGCGCTGGTTGCAGTCCAGGAGGTCCATGTATCGTTTCTGAAACGACCTTTCGACTTTGTAGGCGCGGATGGTGGGGAGGCCGTCGAGGGTTTCTGCGGTCAGCGCGTAGATGGGCGACCGCGAGATGGACTCGAGGCGCTGCAGTTCGCGGGAGGTCTTGACAAAGAAGCGCTGCGACGCGGCATAGAAGCACACGAGGGGCACCAGCGCCGTGACGAACCACGGAGTCACGACGACGATCGTGGCCAGAGTGGCCGCCACGCTGCAGAGGGTGGAGAGGACGTTGACCCACGTGCTTGGGATGTCTTCGTCCACGGCGTACATATCTTTGGACATCCGGTTGATGATGCGGCCCAGGGGGGTCGTGTCGAAGAAGTGCATGGGCGCTCGGAGCACCTGGGTAAACATGGCGGAAAACAGCGCGCGACTGGCCTGCAGCCCCGCGAGGTACAAGCCCAGCACGCGGAGGTAAATGAGGAGTGCAAATGCAAAGTTGAGACCGATAAACACAAACAGTGCTTGGCGGTGGCTACGGACATCCAACCGCTGGTCTTGGTCGGACCAATAGCTGAGCCACAACGTGGCAGCGACGTTCGTGGCTTGAGCGAGCACGAACACAGCGAGCACCCGAGCGGCCACATAGGGGCCCCCACATGATTGAATCCAGTTTTCAAACACGGACCAGGGGACGTCCCCCGTGGACCGATCTTCGCCAGACATCAGTGAACACGCCTTGTCAGCCACCTCGCTCGACGGGACTCTCACCAAGGCGTGGCCTGGAGTCGTCCCAAATTCATCGTCGTTGGGTTCGTTATCCTCGGTCTGGGATTCTGGCGCGTCGGATTCCTTGAAATTCGCCACCATACCTGCCAAATAGCCCTCCGGCATTTGAACGAGATGGGCGAACGAGTCGTGTTCGACGACGCGGCCTTGACTGAGTACCAACACCGAGTCGCATTGGGGAAGCACTTGGAGGTTGTTGGTCACCATCACAACGAGTTTACCGCCCAAGAAACCGCGAATGCACTCGCGGAATATCGTGGCTCCAACGTGAGCATCCACAGCAGCCAGCACGTCGTCGAGGAGGTAAATGTCGGCGTCCTGATAGACCGCTCGAGCGAGGGCCACGCGCGTGCGCTGTCCACCGCTTAAGTTGATGCCCCGCTCGCCGATTTCAGTGAGGTCTCCCCCGGGCAACACCCGGAGGTCCGCTTCGAGGCAGCACACCCCGACAGCAGCGGTGTAGCGTCCGTATTCATATGGCAAGCCAAAGCAAATGTTGTCTCGCAAGGTGGCGTTTTGAATGAACGGCTGTTGGGAAACATAAGCCACCGACCCCCGCATCGACACGGTCCCTACAAAGACTAGGGTTACAATGATAACGCAATAAGGAAAGACCACCTTTGGTGCACGGCGCGTCGCCCAAAAGCCCAGACAAAAGCGTCGACTTGCCACTGCCCACGCCCCCCACCACGGCGCAAATGCCTTGGGTTTGCATTTGAAACGACACGTCGGACACTGTGTCGTCCAAGGCCGAGGCACGGCGTTTGGGCAAAACCGGTTGTTCCCATGAGAAAGCCGCCCGCTCCAAGAGGATACCAGTGGCTTCCAGGGCTCCAGACCCCACCGGAGTGCGTTCGGCCTCCAGAAGAAATGCCTGAAGGCGCTGAAAACTCACAGAGGCTTCGACGATGGCGTTGATCACAGTGGGCAGCACGAAGAGCGGAAATCGCATGATGGCGAAGAGTGACAGAGACGTTAACGCTGTGGACGTGTCCATCGAGTGCCCGAGTACTACATATGTGGTGAAGGTTGCGATGGTCACTAATGACGGCACCCCGTTGAATAGTGACGTCGACGCAGTGCGGGCCAAGAGGTACGACGTCAGCTGTCGCAGCTCGTCCGTGCGAAAAGCGGCCACTCGAGCGGCGAAATTGGTTTCCCACGCTTGCAACTTGAGCACTTTGATGCCGCCGAGGACTTCATAGCACATTTTGACCCGGCTGTCCTTGACTTGCATGAGCTGTTTCTGCAGAGTCCGCATCACGCGAGTGATGCAAATGGTCACGGGGGTCACCACCAAAATCACGGCAATGCCTGCAAAAGCAGCTGGACCCACTTGAAGGTACAGCAAAACGCACGACGTGATAATGAGGAATGGGCCATACCTACCGCCACCACTACAGTAAACGACGAGATGAACAATGTAAATTTGTACCAGATAGCATGGAGATGCCCCAGGAGGTCCTGGAGTCGCTGGGCGTCAATCGACATGAGGTTTGTAATCTCGCCTACGGAACGACCGGCCATGGCCCCCGCAGAGAGCACGAGGCTTTTGCGGTAGACTGCAGTGACAATGGCGGAGCGGAAGAGCAAGCCCGTCTCAAACACAAAGTACATGTAGTTGCGAAAGCAAAACGATTGGAAGATCCCGCCCACAAAGATGAGCGCTACGTATACCAATCCGTCGGAAAGGGCGGCGTCTGGTGTGAGGAGGAAGGCAATCACACGTTGCAGCACGAACGGTCCGATGAACTGGAGGGCATCGCGTACGAAGCGCAGGACTCCTGCGGCGACGAATTTCGCCCCAAATGCACGGAAGAGAGCTGACGCCAGGCTGGGTGAAGCCTTCCGGAGCTCCATGTCCCAGCATGCCGAGAATCGCGCGGAGGCAGCGTCGGCGCGCAAGTCCGGGTTGAGTTGGAACAAGTCGTCCATCTCGAGCGGTCGGCGGTTGCCGAGGTCCATGAGGGGATTCATCCACGTGAACAGCATGGACGAAAGACATCCCTTCTTCTCCGGGCACGAGTCACTCAGTGATGCGGTCCTCGACAGTAATGGCCGCTGCTGCTCCATCTGAATCACGAAAGGTCACACGAATAATGTTGGTCACTGGATTCGAGTTCTGATTGGACAAGAAAAGGGTGCGTACGAGACACATACGGTTAACCACACCTTATCCGTACGCCATTTGAGAGGATCCATTTTGACATTTCACATGTCAGTAAGCAAGACTCGAAAGAGGGAATTGGTCAGTTGAAGACGACAGATACGTGAATGAAAAGCGCCAAGTTGTGCGGGCGAGAGGATGTGCAGCTTATTATTTTGCATAAACAGGAGCTTTTAACTCGTGTACATACTAGTACTGTATCACCTCACTGCCCTAATCCATATACATACCAGTTTGAATAGCACTCTAGCTTGAACCAGTGAGCGCAATATAATTAAAAAGTTCCAAACCCATTCTCCTAGGGACAACGTTATGTCGAGACAGACTGCGTTCGGGCCAGTTTTTGCAGCGAATGCAGCGCGCCGTCCGTGTTGAGTTGCTGCAGGTCGTCCTTGGCGCGGTCCAGCAACTTGAGCGCGTTTTTCGTGATGGGGTTGACTTCGCCGTTGTACATTTTCGAGTTGGTTGCCATGAGCTCCACGTCCGCCAAGAACGTGCGCATGGAGTCGTACTCCAAGCCGCGTACCTTGGCGTGCATTCGCTTGAGGTCCATCGGTCGCTTGATGATCGTGTAGTAGTCGCGGATCAGCGCGCCGTCCACCGGGTCTCGAAAGAGCGCGCTCTCGGCCATATCGAGCAGGTTGAACAGCACCTTCTCCAGCAATCCATTGAGCCGAGCAATGGGCAGTCGGATGTGCTCCGTTTTCTTGTCTTTGGACCCGTACTGCTTCTTGTAGATCTCGGCGCTTTCGGCCACGTCTTGCATCCGTTTGCGCTTCTTTTCGATCTGGTGCTTCCTCGCGCCTTCCCTCAAATCCGCCAAGTTTAACGTCAAGCTGCCGCCGTCGTCCTTCATGATGTCGTCCAAGTTGGATTTCTTGAGCGTCAACTTGAGAGGGGCGTCCGACTTGAGGCCCTTGGTCGCTTGGTCCGCCTTGGACTCGATGAACAGCGGGCAGTTGCGGTTTGTCCGAATATGACCCAGTTGCCCACATGCAGTGCACTTGATGGCGCCGCGACCCCCCGCCGCCACGTCCTGGCCCTTCTCCAGCATCTCCACGTACCCTTTCGTGGCTTCTTCCTTCTTCTTGAGCTGCTTGAGCTCGTCCGCGATCTGCTTCTTGAGCACGCTCTTGTCTGTTTCCGACCCTTCGAGCTTCTTTCGCTTGCGCAGCTGGTTGCGCTCCTCGTCTTTTTGCTGCCGCTCCTTGAAACTCTGAGCCGCTTTGAACCGACCAATCGCCTTTGGATCGACCACAAACTCGATCTTCACAGACTCGGTCCCGTCGTCGTCGATGATTCGCGTCGTGCGCTTGATCGCTTGGCGACTAGTTCCGGCGCGAGGCGACTGCGCTCGAGACGCGGGGTCCGCCGGCGACGGAATCGCAGACGACGCCACCGAGTTGCCCTTGGTGGACGTCATGGACGACACGGATGCGTTCAAGCTGTCCTTGATGCCGCTGGCTTTGAGCTGACTTCGCAAGTTGGACGTGTCGACTTCTGGACGGCTGACTCGACCTCCACCAGAAGCAGGCGGAGCAGAGGACCCGCCGCCCTTCATCTCTTCCATGAGCCGCCGAAGTTCGTGCGCGTCGTCGCGCTCGGACATGGTCGTCTTGGATCGAGTGAGCCCCCCACCGCCAGCCTTGAAAATGCCTTGGGGTCCTCGGCTTGAGTTGGTCGTGGCCACGTCATCGCCCAGCAAATCGTCTTCCAAATCCTCGATGAAGCCATCGTCGTCATCGGAACCACTGTCGCTGTCGTCTTGGAAATCGTGCTCGACCGAGCTCAGCACTTCCAATTGCCGGACGTAAATCACATCGCATTTTCGACGGTACTCTTGCTGCTGGGCACTCAAAGACTTGCGCGCGCCGCGGACAAACTTGTTGAGCGTCCCTGCCATCCCGTGGGCTGACGCGCGGGTACTCAGCTCCCGCACCATGAAAATGCGATCCCATCGGCGCAACTTCATGATGTCTTCCTCGGCCATCCCAAGGTTCTTTAGCACATCGCCGGCTTCCTTCATCTTTAACTTTCGCAGATCGGCTGTTGTTCCTGTCACGGCCGCCACCGCTTTTTGCACCTCGGCTTCGGACACGTCGAGCTCTTCGCTCTCTTCCTTCTTCTTGGCTCGGGACTGAGGCACTCGAATGAAGCTGAAGCCGTCCCCTCGCGCCGACGGATCCCCCAGACCACCGAGCTGCAACATCCCCGACCCCTTGCCCTGCAGATGGCACTCGACGTACCCGTTGGTCAAGTTCCATGGCGTCAGGAGCAGGGATTCGTTGATGGAGCGGGCGATCTGGATGTCGTTGCGCAGCGTCACGAGCACCGGGTCTCGGTTCCATAGCTTCTTCTCTTCTTCGGCCAGCTGGCGTCCGCTGAGGCCCTGCGACTGCAGCATCCGAGCAGACATCAAGTTCTCCCGGAACTTGAGCCGCTTAGTCATGTGGCTGATGGCCGCTTGCACTCCGGTGGGCGTGAATTGCTTGGTGAGCCCCATGTCCAGCAAGCGCTGGTGTCCACTCATCATGCTCTCGTACAGACACACGGACTCGGGGGAGACGCTGGCACGGATTTCCTCCTCGCTGATCACGTCCGACGACTGCTTGCGCTTCCACCACCCAGAGTCATTTCCGCCGCGCTCGAACGTAGCCACTTCTTTCATGCGCTTGCGAATGGCCGTGCCCGACTGGTTCGGGAACGCCCTCGTGATGTCTTCGATCTTGAGTCGCTCGCCGTCGCTCGTCTTCTTGAACAGCCGCAAAATGTGAAACGACATGTACGGCCGGATGAAGTCGTTGGCGCTACGGGAGTTTGGCGCCGGCACTTCGATCTGAGGCTCCACTTGTCCTGCCAGGTACAGCGGCGGTAGCTCCATGAGGTACATGGTCGACGCGCCCTTGCCCTTCTTGGACACGGACCGCGCCACGAGAAAGAACTCGTACTTGTCTGCGGCGTACGATTCCAAAAAGTTGGTGCGGGGGGTATGCGGGAAGATGGGGATCTTGAACAGCTTCGAGTTGAGCGACGTGACCATTTTACCCGCAGGCACATCGCCCACGAACGGCGAGTCTTCGTTGTCCCCTAGGGTCACGACTTCGCCCAGACTCACCGACGGAGGCTGCGGTTTCTTCTTCTTGTCTTTGCCTTTCCCTGTCACTTCGTCCGCCTTGCCCTCGCCCCTCAGGTCGGGGGGTCGCCAGTAGTGCAGCACACGAGACGCCATGCCCGGGTTCGCCTGCATGGGAGGGAATTGCTCAGTGTACTCGAGCAAGAGCAGCTTCCCCCCCGCCGTGGGATTCAAGTCCGACGTCTTCTTGATCTGAGACAACGTCGGGTCGTTCAGGTCCGCGTCGGCCACCTTGACGCTCTTGGCGCCGCTCTTTTCGGCGTTTTTGGCGCTGGCCACTGGCATGCGCTCGTGGATTTTGAATTTGCCGCGGGGGCGGTGGAACTCCCTGAGCTTGGCCAAGGGGAGTTCGGGTTTGGTCAAGCTCAGCTTGATCGCAGGGAGCGAGTGGTGGACGTGGCCCATGTTCTTGATGATGCGCGTGTCCTTGTTGCGCTTGACCTCGCCGAACCGACTCTCGGCCGTCTGCTGGCCCAGGTCCAAGTTGCCCCGCACGACTTCGAGCCGGGTGTTCTTGTCAGTCATTTGCTTCTTCAGTTCCTCTTTCTTGATCTCGATCGCGCCCATCTTTCGCTGGGGGATGCGCAGCGTCGCGCGGACATTCTCCACCAATGGATTGGACAAAATCAAATGGACGTCGTTCTCGTCCAGAAGCACGCGCGACGGCGGCATGTCGGCGCAGTCGTCCCACCCAATCGCGTCCAGCCACGACGACTGCAGCAGCGCGGGATTCAGAGCGCATGGCAGCACCTTCTTTTCAACTGCGGAGGACGACACTGCGGCTGTCGAGCGCGGCCGACGAGGCATTTCCCACCGATACTGCCTGGGTTTGGTCATGTCAAAGTCGTCGTCTTGAAACTCAAAGGTCGAAGACTCGTATGTCGATGGAGCTTGCACTGGGATTTGCCTGTGCGCCAAGTGGGGACGTGGAAGGTTGGACGATGGTCCAAATGGGGTCTCGTCTTCTTCTGGAACGAAGGCAGGGGTTGGGTCGGACTCGTCACCCCACAAGATCGCGTTCTCCCATGGAACTTGCTGGACGCGGTGGTACGCAGACATTGGAATCGAAGGTAGCGGGTGTGGAGTGGAGGATGATGGCAGCAGGGCAGTCCCAGACTCGAAGCGTTTGTTGGGCTTGCCGATGCGGGCTTGTTTCAGCGCCAAAAGTTGTTTTTGGCGGATGGAGGACGCCGATTGAACATGGGATGACTCCTTCAGTTCGTCCAACTGGTCCGGGGCGTAACGCAACACACTTGACTTGTCCTTGACGTCCAACTGAGTGGACTTGTCACTCGCAACTTCGCCCCAGAGTGAGACCGGGCTCTTCTTCCGACGGTACAGGTCCATGAAGGTGACATAGGTCGCGACTGATGTCTCTTTGGCCTTCGCAGCCTCGACGGTCGATGAGCTTTCATCGCCAACTTCCTCCCTCTCATCGAAGTCACCTGTCTCGTCCGGTGCACTCATGCACAATAATTGCACAATGGATAACGTTACTGGTATGAACCACACCATGAACTCCGGATAAAACAGAGTTATCCGTATGCGCGTTTTAGCAGCAAATACCCCTGCAATTTGATTGGTCAAATGGTATTGTGAATTCGCAAAATAAACTTCCAAAATTCGCGCGGTTTGTCTAATCATATCTGGAGCTCTGATTGGTTGAATATACTAGTCCTTTCTGTAAGACCAGCCAATCAAATAATCAAATCCACTCAAAGTTGGATTAGCCAATAGGTCGATCGTGATTCTACTTCAGTACTACATAGTATTTTAATACTATGTAGTATTCCGGAGTAGTAGTTAGTAAGTACAAACATCGAATCGTTGTGAAATGCGCAGGTGAGATCGATCTGTGAAGACACAGTGTCATTATTCCTTCAGTAACAAGAGCACTGTGTTGGTTCGTACATGGCAATGTTGATATTACATGTTTAATTTCACGACTGAAGTGTCAATTGGTCCAGTCGCCGCCGCTGTTGAGTGACCATAAACTCAAAGTCAAACTCTCCAGCCACGTCGCTCAACGGGTGATCAGCTTCCCCTCCCATGTACTTGGGAATGTACTGTGGGGCCATAAACTCTTCCAGTTCTTTCCCTGGACTCTTCATGAACTTGGCCTTTTCACGCAATCGAACGGGCAGCAGCGGCGACAGCATGCGCGTGAGGGTCTTGACCAGCGTCGTAAGCGGCCCGATGCAAATGGCACCGATGCGGTCGGGGTAGTTTCCCGAGCACACCTCCATGAGCCCCTTCATGAGTCGGATGTCTACTTCTCGGTACCCCACATCTCGACAGTCTGTCACCAGCGTGAATGTTGTGACCCCCGGCGGCATCAAGTGCTTGATGCCGAGCTCAATCATGTACACGTGCGCGCGTATTTCGAGCGCCGTGTCCATCTTCGCCCAATTCTTGAGTTTCGGCCGGGTCCAAATGATCGGTCGATTGTGGTAGTCATATCCGCACCAGTAGAACGAGCAGTTGTTCAGTTGGGGTAATATCTCGTCCTTGGTGATCGTGGCCGCCCCGTACGACTGCCGCCATGCGATGCACCGCTGCAGCTTCTCGGCCGCATACGTCATCGTGCGGTTGCGGACGTTCAGGACGCTGGACATGTAGTCGTCCGTGAACAGAAATGCATTTTCGTCTGTGATGGGCAGCCTGGTGCGGAACGCTGCGACTCGGGCCAGCTCCTCGGCGGTCAGAGTCACGACTGGGGCGGCGGTGGCTACAGTCGTGGGGCTGTCGGAGTCGCTCCATGTGGTTGTCGTGGGAGTTGTGGCGTCGGGGGACTTGCGATGCCGAAGGGTGGACGGGGATGGAAGGTCCAAGGAAGATGCAGATGGGGGTGGTCGCTTGGACTTGGGTTTCTTGGGAGGGGACCCCGTGAGCTTGGTTGGGAGGTGCGCTGGGGCCGCCGCCGCAATGAGCGGGTCGTGGAAGTACAGCTTGCCGCCGACGCAGAACGCCACGAGCAGGAACTTGAGCCCGATGGACATGGACTGGAGGCTGTCGAGGAGTAGAATCACCAGGAATGACAGCGCGAGCAGCTGCATGCCGTGCACTTTGAGGTCGTCGCAAGTGACGAGGTCCTGGCGGTACTTTTCCTCTTGGCACTGGATCTCCATGAGCGTCTCTTCCGCCGTGGGGGCCACGGACCGCGTGATCGACGACGACAGCACGTAGCGCTTGCGGGCATTTTCGAAGCTGTCCGTGTCGTTGTCCATGGGGCTGAAGTACCCGCGGGCCAGCAGTTGGTTGCCCAGCACCATCGCCGCGTCTTCGTTGACCAGGCCGGCGTTCATGAGGCACTCCACGGCGTCGGACCCGTAGATGCATTCCTTGAGCGTGAGTTCCTTGGCCGCGTCAAACGCTAGCGAACTCCGGTCCAGATCCACGCCTGAAATCGACATGTCTTCGCTCGGTCGGGGGTCGTCCACGACGTACGCGATCTCGATCTCCGACAGCATGCTCACGAACAGGTTGTGCAGCTCGGGGCAGTAGTACCCGTTGGACTGGTTCTGCAGCGACTGCTCGGCTTCGTCGCCGTCGTCGTCGGGCATGGTCTGGAACTGCTTCTGGAGGTTCACCTGCGTGGGGGACACTGTCTCGAACAGACAGTCGTCGTCAAGGAGGGTGTACTGAGACACCATGTGCTTGAAATACCCTTCGTTCAAGAGAGTGTTGCCCAGAATCACGGCTTCTGTCCGCGATTTGCATCCGATGTGCTTCTGAAGGATGTCCAGCACGTCCTTGCCGCGGAGAAAAACACTGCCGCGCTGGGCTTGGAGGTCGTGAATGAGTCGACGAGCAGTGTCAATGCGATCGGGGTTGTGATCGGAAGGAAGAGGGGTGGTTGAGCTACTCTCGGCGGAGGAGGTTGAGGTGGAAGTGCCCGTGATGGGACTGCGCTGCCGTTTGAGCTCAAGAATGTTCGTTTGGACGGCGGAGATCCACTTTTGCTTGACCTGGGACGAGGATACGTCGATGATCCATTCATTCGTGGTCTTGCGTTCGCCGTCCACTTCGATCACGCGAAAGCAGTGCAAATGGTCAGATGAAACGACCACCGTCTCGCACGTAGCGTCCCGCAGTTGGACGCACTCCAAGCTGCACTGGGACTTGGGACAGAAGAAGGAGAGAGAGCCCACCTCCAGAACCATCACGCGGGAGATCCACTGGTACTCGGACGCGCGGAGGAGCACCTTGCCTCGCATCCTCGTCACCCGCCGTATCTGTGTGAAAATTGGCTCGTCCATTACACCCCCGAAGAAACGTGCGTTTCATGCAGTATACTCAAGTCAAGATCAACCGATCGTCACCCTTTCTACCCGCCCTACCCGCCCGAAACTCGCGCGTGAGGTCACGCGTGATCTGATGAAGGAGCTCTATTAGGCCCCGAACGTATGGCCGTGCATTGAATGGTCCTGCCGCTTTGTGCTCTTGTAAACCATCAATCACGTACGTCACTCAATAGTGGAGACTCGTAGCACAAGGCGATAAACCAACTTAAACGACCAAATTAAGCACACTAATAATACCGGTAGACGAGGCATCGGATTAAAGCCAAAATCCAGGCCAATCTATACTGGATACGTTTTGAAGCTGTATTTTAAGCTTAATTATTGTATAGTACCAGTAGTGTGCATAGTTTTGGGGCGGTTAGGTGAAACCCTGCATTTGGATAAGTGGTGTTTCAGATAAGTTAGTACTTCCATGAATTTGTCCATGAGACTGTTAATTACGACATGCATTTACGCGACTTTGGCATACAACTTGAGTCGGCCGGCAGTGCGTCCGCTGTTTCGGCGGTCCATGTTGGCATTGGGGGTGTCGGGGGTGGGCAGCCCCACAATCTCGTACTTGACGGCCACCTTGCCATTCACCACCTTCTTCGGCCCCGCCTGCATCTCCAGCACCGTCTCCATGACAGGGGTGTTGATGTCCAGCGGCAAGAAGGCCGAGCCCACGAGGTCGTCCGAGAGCATGCTCTTGTCGAACACTGTCACGAGGCACCGCGACGTGTCGGGCTTCCACTCGAACGTAAACGTCTCCTTGTACGAGACGTGGGTGCCCGTCTTGGCCGACGTCTTCTGCACTTTGCCCCCAATGTCCACGGCCACGAACGGCGTGATGTTGGCGTTCCGTCCAAACAAGTTGCGCAGCGGCGTCAGCTCCGACACTTCCTGGATCGTCACCATCACCTGGAGGTTCTTGGACGCCCGCGACGTCTTGGCCTGCAGGAAATACTCGCGCTCGATCCGCGGCACGTCCACCGAGATGACCGACGGATCCACTCCAAAGTGTTTGTCCACGTTAGACGCCGTGGGGGTGGACACGTTTTGAGTCACCCACTGGCTCAGCGGAGACGCCGCTTTCGGAGGGGTAAAATCCTGCTGGAACTCGAGCAGCGTCATTTCCAGCTTGCCAATCTCTTCTTCAAACGACGTAAAGTTGTCTTTGACCACAAACTTGATCTTCTTCGTCTGGGGCTTGAGTTCGGCGCGGAACTTGGCGTGCCATTCTGGATTGCTCGACCCAAACAGCACTTTCGTGTGAAACACCTTGACGTCGTCCAGGTACACGTAGCACACGGCGTTGCACTTGCCGGCGTTCGCGGCCAGCAGTCCGCTGGCGGAAATGATCTCCAGCTCCAGCTGCGTGGTTTCGGTGCGGGGGACGAGCTTCTTATCCTCAAACTTGAGTTCCTTGCGCCGTCGTCCTTGAAACGGCACAGAGTCCTCCAGGTTGTCGGACGCCTCCTGGGCCAACGCGTGGGTGGTCTGGGTCACGCCCTTGAGCACCACCACCATGGGCCCCGCCAGCCCCTGGACCGTGCCCTGCACCAGCCCGCCCACGCCGCCCGAGATGGCGCCTTCGATGGGTTTCGTAAACACCCCCGCCACGCCCTTGCCAAAGTTCTTGGCAAAGTTGATGCTGCCGTCCAGGATGTTGTCGTGGTCCTTCTTGTCCGACGACGTGTACGTCTGCCGCGTGTCCGTCACGTCCGACACTTCGTCCATAAACTTGTCCAGACTGCCCGTCACTTTGGACACAAACCCTGTCGCAGACGTCGCCACCGTCTTGCCGAGGATCTTGACCCCTTCGCCGCGGGTCTTGGAATCGCCCGTCAGTTCGTCGCCCGTGACTTTAAAGAACGAAATGATGCCGCTGCCCAAATCCCCCACTAGCCCCACGGGGTTGCCCAGCAAATCCATCGACCCGACCAGCTTGTACGCTTGAACCACCACTTCGCGGGTATAGTTTTGGATCAGCTGCGACTGCAACCTCGACTGGGTCGTGAAACAGTGGCGCTTTGTGATCGGGGCAAAGCGAAACGTGGGCGATCCGCTGATCTTGGAGCCCAAGATACCCACCAACTGGTTCAGGGCGTTGATCAGCCACGAGCGGGACTGGATCGGGCGCGTGAGGTCGTCCTTTTGGATTTGCATCTCGAGCTTGAACTCCATTTCTTGGATCGTAAACTTTTCAAAGTAGAGCAAATCCGATGATTTGGCCACCACCGGCTCGGGCGCAGTCAACGGCTTGGTGCTCAATTCCAACGCGAGTTTCTCGTGGGAAACCACTTGCGACCCAGACATGAGCACCGGTTCCAACAAGGCAAGCAGCTTGAACAGGTACTCGAGCTCGAGCTTCACAGACAGGGGCTGCAGCGAAATGTCCATCAGTTTCAGGATGCCATACGCATCCGACAAGCTCTCGATGCGCTCCAGCACCAACTTGAAGCACGGCACGTCGTCACCGTTGAATCCGCTGTTCACGGGGCTCAGCACCACGGGGAACGTGGCGCCCGCGAGCATATTGTCGACCTGAAAGTGGAAAATCGACACTTCCCACTCCAGCGACTGCGGTTTCGTACGCACTTGAATGTTCTCCATCGAAAAGTACAGCACTTCCTGGGGGTAGCCGTCGAGGACACTCAGACCAAACCCGGCGAGGCGCACGTCGATCGAGGTGGCGTGCCAGGACGTCGTCCGCGCCACGTTCGAAGGGACTTGCTTCCGCAGCGCATCCAGTTGCTGCAGCTTGGCGTCAATGATGCGCAAGACGCGGGTGGTGCCCACGGGAACCACTTCGAGGCGGCACTTGGACTGGCCGTCCAGCATGCCCTGGAGCAAGTTGGTCGACTTGACTCGACCCACAGAGTCAATGTCGACAGTGTACTTTTGGTTCTGGATCACCACCTCCAGCTTGTGGTCGTTCACAAACGCCAAGTCCCACGCAAAGTCGTACCGCTGTCCTCGGTCCAGCGTCACGCCGCCCTGCTTTTGCTCGGCTTGGCGAAGGGTCACGGGGAACATGGAGAAGTTCTCGACGCGGTACGGAGGCGTGCTAGATGCGTCACTCAAGACCACATATACATGCGTCCCCAGCATTTGGATGGCGGCCTTGACAATGTACTCCCGCTTGCGGGTGGTGCACTTGAGCGGAAAGTACACGTCGCCGACAATGTTGACCGAGATCACAGACGACCAGACGGCGCTGCCGTGCATGGCCAAGCTCAGGTACTTGTGGCACTTGGTCAGAGGTTCCTTGTTGAGCTGCTTGAACGGGAACACGGCGCCGTTGGTGTGGCTCTGGAGCGGGAACACATCTAGCGACGACAGGTGCTTGTCGCTCAGGATTTGGTCGCTATCGCTCGTGGCAAACGACCGAAACTGAATGTCGAACGGCGTGTTGTTCTGCACGATGAAGCGAGGACTGAGCGACAGCGCAATGGACCCGTCGAAAAACCCCATCAGACCCGCAATGTCTAGGCCAATCACGTGCGATCCGCAGCAGATTTCGCCGTTGGTTTGCACGGCCGACACGTTGGTCGGGTCTGACCACGGGCACGGCGACGTCAGCTGCGAAAACACCGTCGGGGGGCGGTGGTCGGTCGAGTGCAGCGACTCCCACGACGGAGGCAGCACGGCGCCGGCGCCAGTCACGGGTCGGAAGCTCAAGCGGTTCTTCGGCATCGAGAGCAGGATGGGGTCGTTGAACACGGGATGGACGGTCACGGTCGCCGGCACTTTGCTGCCTTCGTCGTCCGGGAGGCGGAACTCGAGCCCGAGCGCAGTCTTGTTGTACACCCAGTACGGCGCAGAGAATTTCACCACGCGGGGCTTGTCCGGCAGGCTCATGCGCTGAAGGTTCACTGTCAAATGCGCCTCCAACTCGCACTTTTCCAGGGCCGTCGTGAACTTCTCCACTCCCCCCTGGGGCTTCATGTCCATGAGCAGGGCCTTGGACCACCTAGACGTCGTGTCCTTGTGTACCAGGCGGAAGGCCAAGTACCCCGGCTTGTTGCCGGTCACCCCCGACACGTCGGCGTAGCACCCCGACTTGACCCGGAACGGCGGCGACGCCTCGTACAGCGTCTTTTCGATCGTGGCCATGTCGCACTTGGCGCGGTACTCGAAGATCACGTACTCGAGGTCGTACGGCAGTGCGTTCTGGACCACAAGCGGCGCGTACACGGCGATTTCCCACTGAATCATGTTGTCGGCCATCACGTGGCGGTATAAATGGATGCAAGATGTGAGTGCTTTCACCAGTTTGGACGACCGGCGCTGGTCCTGGATGGGCACGATCGTGCCTTTTCGAAGCGAAGACGTCGACGTGCTCTTAGTGATGGCCCGATCCGACGAGTCGGCGTCCAGAAGCATGTCGTTGGTCAGCGTCACGTTGGTCGTCCACTCGTCCCCCACCACCGGACGCACAAACAGCTCCGTGTCGCCCATAAACACGGAGATCGGCAGCGCCACGCGGTCGCCGGCAGCAACCGTGCGCACTTCGTCGTTGAAAGCGGCGAACCCCGCCATGTGGATCAGACACTTGAGCTGCACGTCCAGCAGGCTTTGGTTGGACAGGTACACGTTCGACTTTAACGTGACCGAGCCGTCGTTCGGGTCGTCGAAGCGGCAGTTGGCGATGAGTGAGATGGACCGGGACGTGGAAGGGTCCGTCACGGAAATCTCCTGCGGACCGAAACGCGGCAGCGAGATATCCGCCTTGGAGCCCCAGCCAGGGATGGCCAGTCGGCAGTTGTCGCGGGACGGCCACTCGATGGGGGTGACGGACCGAGGGGTCAACACGATCTCCTTGTCGTCCGAGCCAAACGCTAGCTCGACGCCGGTCGAGTTTGTGATTTGGAACGGGAGCTGGCCCTGGCGCTTTTGCACCTTGGGGGTGTCTTCAATCACCAGCGTCCCAGACATGATTTCCGGCAAGATCTTGAGCAATTGCAGCAGGGACGCCGACATGTTGACTTGAAACAGCTTTTCCGCTTCTCCCCAGTAGTGAAAGCCCTCGGCGCCTTTCTTGCTCAACGCCCCCATCGAAAACACCCACGGCTCAATAATGTACTCCATCGCACACGACAGATCACTGTAGCACTCGGCCGAGACATGGAACCCTAACATCGCACACGTTATTACGATATACATGTATATATGCATCTTCGTGTACCCATCGTCCCAGCCCATTCTGAAGACACCGCGTTCACATCGTACACTTTCGCTCCAATGTCCGACGCCATATTGAATTGACATGTCACTCTGTCCACGACAAACTTGGCGCGGCGAGCTTCGATGGGCAAGCTAGCGTCCACCATTTCAACGCGCAAGTTGCCCAGACTCATGTTGGTGGCCACAATCAACCGCGCCAGTGCCGCTTCCACGACCACCTGCGAACTGGTTTCTTCATGTTTGGGCTCTTGGTTCATCATCAACTTGCCGGCAGACTCAAATTCGACCAACCCCCCCGTGAGCATGTCGCGCTTCACACTCCACGCCACGTCGCCTTCGTCCGTGAGCTGGGGCTGGATAATCACTTGCCAGCACTGCTGGGCAGCGTCAAAGTTCTGCAGCAGTCGCACCAGCTTCTTTTGCAGTAGCTGGGGCGGTTGGTTGTTGCATGATGTCTTGGTGGCGCCAGTTTCCGACGTGTACACGGCCCAAAACGCATCGGGGTTGTCCTTCACTACTCGCAAAAAGTACCCGTGCCAGTCGATGATCGAGTCGCGCTGCTCAAAGGGCATGATCTTGCCAAAGCGAGCCTGCACAGTGTCCACGCAGTCGAACTCGCCAGCAAACAAGTCCAAGTAGCCGCGGACGTACTCGACGTTCATGGTTTCGACCAGAAAGTGCCTGAACTCATCGAAGTCGATGGTGCCGCTGCCGTCCTTGTCGATGTGATTGAAGATAGTCGTGCTGAGCTCCCGCAGCTCCGTCAGAAGCAGCTGGTCGTGGACGATCGCTCGCTGGAGCAGCAGCTGCAGCTCGTCCACTTCGATGCTCTTGGTGCCGTCCACGTCGATTTCTTCAAACTGCATCTGGGCATGGTCCTACAATTGTGTGAGAAATGGTGTAAGTATCTACCCATACGCACCAGTCGTTTCTTGATCTGGAGCTCCAACTCGGCTTCCCGCGCGGCTGATTCAATTTCCAAGCGCTTATGGCGCTGTTCCGCCGTCGTGGTTTCGATCTGGCTCAGGTTTGTCAGCGCACTCCAAAAGATGGCAAAATTCAGCTGGGAAAACGACAGCGAAATGTCTGGAATCTTCACGCCCAGCCCTTGCTTGAATTGGGGACGGGTCAAGTCTTGGCCCACCGCTTGCGTTCGCTTTTCGTCGTCCGTGAGCAGTTTGAGCTGGTAGTCCGTCATGATGGTCATGGGGGTCAAGAGGGATTCGGCTGACGGCGGCGCAAAGATGGTGGGGAACCCCGTGGTTTCTTCGGGGGCCTGGTACAGCCGAGGCGACAACGCCGTGTCGGAAATGGCCACGGAAATGCGCTCGTGCGTGAGGTCGCTGTCAATGTCTAGCACCACCGTGAGCGTGCATTCCAGCAGCGACCCCGTGTGCTCCACCACCGGCGGGATGAGGAAGATGCTCAGGTCCATCACGCGAACGTTGATGTCGTACAGCGCACCGCTGAGCAGCGAGCACGAGCCGACGTCGCCAAGGTTGGACGGAACCGCGTGGTATACCGACGCCACGACGGCCGTGGAAGGCGACGCGGTCGTGCTTTGCGCCGCCGTCTTGGCCGCCTGGGCGCCCATCTGCAGTCGGTCCAGGTACAGCAAAAAGTGTTCGAGCGGGTCCTTGGCGGCGTACAGCGCCATGTTTTCCAAGTTGAGGTCCACGTCCATGTGGCCACTCTTGAACTGCTTTAAGTGCCCAAACAAGAGCGGCTGCACCGTGGCGTGGGAAATCAGCTGGGAGCGCTGGCACTCCATGGACGGGCAGGCCGTCATGAGCTGGAGGTTGCGCACGCCGTACGTGAGTTCCGTGCTCAGGTCGTCCACCAGTCGGGTCTTGACGGTCACGTACACGTTGCTCATGACGAGGTCGCCGATGGGCTCGATCGAGTCGGTGCCGTCGTAAAACTTGATACCCCACTGGTCCACTTGGACAGCAACGTCCTTGCCTCGGAAAGACGCGGCGTCGGTTGCCAGGTTCTGGTGGAGCACGTCGAAGTCCACAGCGTCTTGGCCCGCGGCCCGCAGCGCCACGCCCCACTTCATCACGGTTTGACGCAGATGCAGTATCGCAGACAACGTCAGCGACTTTTCCAGCTCTGTGACGACGTCGCTTGGCGCGGGTGCATTCGCATTGGGGTCCCACTTGAAAGCTTCGTGGTAGCGGAGGGTGTCTTCGGTCGAGAGACTTGGCAGCGACGCGTCGGCTTGCTTGGCCTCCAATTCGTCCAGAAGCGAGCAATACTTCGAGTAGCAAATGTAGAAGCGCATCAACGACGTGTACAGGTCCGGGCTCAGCGTCATGAGCATCGATGGAGGGTCGAACTTGACGCCCAAAATCTTCTGCGGCAGGGGCCGAGACGAGTACATGACTTCGTACACGTCTGGCATGTTCAGGTCCAGCTTGAGGGTGGGGAAGCTGATCACGCGAGTGTCGCCGATCGCAATCCCGAGGTTCTGGAACACCATCATGCGGTCGGTCTTGAGCGTGTCTTCGTTGGGTGTGCACCGGACGGCCCAATGATCTGTCACAAGTTTGAATGTGGTCGCTGGTGTCGCAGGTTCGTTGCCGACAAACGAAAACGTCAGCTTGTTCACAGACAGTTCCATGGTTTCCACGATCGAACGCGTCAATTTCTGGGTCCAAGTCGGGGGAACGCGGGGATCTGTCGGTTGGAAACGACTGATGTACTCGAGGACGAGCTTCGTGGCGTTGTTGGCCTCAGACAGCTTGTTCTCGATCGCGCGTTTGAAATACTCCTCGCGGTCTTTCTCAAATGAATCGTCGATCTTGCCTTCAACGTGAAAGTCCGTGATTTGGATAGGCATGCGGTACGAATAGACACCGTTGGCTCCCAGCAGGGCAGGCATTTGCAGCCGCAACTTGGCGATCGTCACCTTTGTCACCTCAACGGGACCAGGGAGGGAGAAGCGCATGGAGTAGAGGTAGCTCGGTTGCACTGAGATGTTCTCCACCGTGATTGTTCCCTCGAGCACGTTGTAAAAGACTTTGATGAACGCTTCGACGTAGGTCTTTGCACCGCTCGCGACCGCAGAGCTGAGCAGTGGGGCGATGACGGCCTTGGCCAGAGGAGGCACCACACACACGGATGCAATCAGTGCTGTGATGCCAAGGAATATGAACCCCATATCGTACGACATGCGGCCGGAAGCAAGGGTTCTACTCGACAGTCCGTTGACAAATGAATGGGACGACGATTTCCGATTTGGATGGATTTTCTTCGCCTCCTTCCGGATAATGTTCGGGTGAGATTTAACCAGTGTTGGGAGATTGGCAAAATATACGTTAAACTCGAACCGCAGGTTTTATACAGCAATAACGTCGATATAAAACGTCTCTCATCCTGAACTGTATTGTCCCATGTCCTGATAAACTTTTCCCTCACCTCAACTGTTTTGTCCCATGTACTTTATAAATGAAGCAATATAAATGACGCAATATAAATGAAGGGATATAAATGAAGCAATATAAATGAAGGGATATAAATGAGTACCGTAATTGAACCCTAATCCCATGCCGCCAATCGGATCGCTCCATTTATGATGTCAACATTTGCTGGAAAATCAATAGTTTGGAGCGGCGTCCACGAGTTCATGCGAAGATGACTGTGTTGGACGACATTCGGTTGCTTTTGCGCTCGATATGTGACTCACCATTGCAAAAATCGCTGGAAGAGCATATGGAGTACATCAGCATCCTTCAAATGCAAGCCGCAGCGATCTTGTCCGTGCTGGACGCGGCGCCTTCCAGCAGTGACAGGTCGGACCTCTTGAGCGACACCATGAGTCTACTCTCCGTGGATCCAAGTGCTCCTCATGAACATTCGCTGCACACAGACCTGGACGTCGCAGTTTTGCATGCGTCGCCGTTCCTCCTCCAATTGCCCGACAAGCGGTATGTTCCATTACCTGAACTCAACATCAAGCAAGAGCAGCATCGTCTTCACCGCATTTTCGCCGACTCGAACCGTGCGTTGCGTACGATCCATGGCGTGATGTCGGTCGATACGTTGCGGAAGGTGCTGGACCGGAATGCGACCGTTCTTCATTTCAGTGGCCACGGCGGCGGCGACGGTCAGCAGGACTTTCTCGTGTTTGAAGACTGCAACGCCACTGGTCTGGGCCATCTCATTGATTCCCCGACGTTGCAATCCATCCTGTGTAGCGGACTGCCATCCCCGTCCCTCAAGCTTGTGTTTGTGTCGTCCTGCCATTCTCGTCAAGTGGGCGAAGTGTTCCTTCGCGCCGGGGTCCAGCACGTGGTCTGCGTCAAGCAGAACGAAAAGATCCTCGACGAAGTCAGCATCATGTTTGCCCAGGCATTTTACCACGCGATTCTTCATGGAAGAACTGTACCCCAAGCGTTTGCGATTGCCCAATCCCGCGTTCGAGCCGAAACCAACAGCCAGCTCAAGTTCGAGAGCGGCAAGTTCGTGCTGCTCCAACGATGCAGTTGTGCTGCCTTGGAACGCCCGAACGACTGCAAATGCGTGTTTGAACCTCTCTTTTTCGACGTGCCCCAAGGCAAGTTCTTCAATTTGCAGCTGCACGACGCCCAGAAACGCCATTTGCTGCCAGCCTTGCCTCCCATAGTACTCGGTCGAGAAATGGAACTGCACACGCTGGCCACATTGCTCCACGCCCCAGGTGGCCTCGTGACCATCCGTGGAGCTCCTGGTACCTGCTCAAATGTGTTACATTGCTAAGGATGGATGGAATAGGCATTGGGAAAAGCACCGTAGCGCTCAAGCTGGCCCACTTCATGCAGGAGCGGCAAGTGTTTGAAGACGGCGTCGTGTACTGCAACGTCCGGGGCCTCACAACCGTGGAATCCCTCGAAGCGTCCATCCGGTCCACGCTCTTGGTCGAGGACTCCATGCCTGTTAACGCCCCGCTGCACACGCTGCTGCACCACACGCTGGTGATCGTAGACCACGTCCAAGACAACCTGTCGTTCCAGCACTTTGTCGTCAAGTTACTGTCGCAGTGCCCCAGACTCAAGCTCGTCGTGACCTCCACTCAAGTCTGTCCATCCATTCATGTATTCACGTTATGTATGTACTACCCCTCGTTGTAGGCGTTCGACATGACCGACGAAAAGGTCGTGGAGCTGCATCGCCTGTCGTCGTCCCAAGCCGCGCGTCTCTTCCTAAAGAAGTCTCCTCGGGCATGCCATCACCTCGACTTTCCAGAAGTGATCACACGGCCGTTGGACGTCGAGCTCATGCACCACCCGCTCCTGGCGTACTTGGACGGCCACCCCCAAGCCATCGCCCTCTGCGCGTCGCTCCTCCAGGACAAGACGCTGCCGGAACTCACCCACGCCATCTGCTCCCAAACGGCGTATCTTCCGCCCCTCATGACGTCGCTCCAAGTGGCGATTGGGTCGCTCACTGACCCAGACACGCTGCGGTTCTTTGCGCTGCAGGGGTACCTCCCGGCAGGGGCCCTCGCGTCGGACTTCCGCGCCATGTTTGGCCGCGACTGGGAGCGCCACGCCAGCGTCCTTTGCCGGTACTCTCTCTTGCAGAAGCAACACCACTTTCCCATCAAGTGCAAACCAAGGCAAAAGGACATCCACCACGAAGCCCTGCTTTCGGCCTTGCAACACTATGGGGAATTCGTCAGCGGATCCACCCGCAAGAGTGCGCGGTCGCCGCTCGAGCGCAGCCGCACGTCCATCGAGGAGGCGCTGCAGAAGACGCTGTCCCACGCCCACCTGCAGAGCCTGTCGCTGCTGTTTTCGACGTTTCCGTTCATCACGAGCTACGCCCGGCGGTGGGTGCGCCCCCCCGACGCCATCCGGTGGACAGCGCACTTCGCTAAGTCCATGCGATGGACCCACCAGTACATCGGCACGTTTTCTCCGTTTTCGAACGCCGCGTACTTGATTTTGGACATCCACGAAGCGAACGCGTGGAACTGCCTCGAACGATTCGACCAAGCCAGCTGCGACGTACCCAACAACAACCAACCCACTGAAACGTCAGACCACGAGAGCTCGGACAGTCCGAACCAGGTCACGCCCGACGAAACGTCCGCCGGACAGTCGGGGGAGAAGCCCCCCCTTCGACGAAGGAAGCGGCAGCCCAAGTGGGCGTCGGCCACGGCGTCCCTCGCGTGCTACTTTGCCCACACTTTGTTTCTGGCGGGTCGACACGAAGGCGCGGTTCGAGCTCTAAAGAGTGGGCTCGACATCGCCAAAGAGCACGGACTCAAGGTCGCCCAAGCCAATCTGACCAAACTCTGGGCCACCATCTTGGTCCAGGACAAGAAGTTCGAAGAAGCCAAGGTCCAGTTCGGGTTGGCGCTTCTACTCTACCGGGCCGGGGACAGCAAAGTCGGCCAAGCGTCGACGTTGACTGGCATTGGCATGGTGCACTCCCGCCTCGGCAATCTGAGGGCGGCACACTCGGGCTTTTCCAAGGCCCTCGCGCTGTACGAGTGGAGCAACCACATCCTCGGACAGTTGAACTGCCACCAACGACTCGGCCACCTCGAGAAAAAACTGAAAATGGGCGATGAGCTGGAGCTGACTCAGCATTACGCCGCCAGTCGTCGGTTGCAGGGCGACTTGAACAACAGAAAGGAGGACGAATTCGTTCGATGGGTTGGCCACGAAATGAGTTTGCTGCTGGAAATCCCCGCGGACATGGCAAAGAGGACCCCAAGTAAAGTCAAGATTGAGGACGACAAGCAAGGCGACGACGAAGAAGTGAGCAGTTTTGCACGGCGGAAGAGCTACGACAGCACCCGCCGACGCCCCAGCGGTGGGACCAAGATCGTCGTTTAAATCGACGAGTGATCATAACGTTATGTTTACAGTACGTATTGTAACGTTAATAGTGCTTTCGTTACTAGTACTGGTAATTGGGGCACACCTGCGCACAAGTGATTCCTCAGGAGGAAGATGTTTCGCTGTCAGTGATTGATTCCTCCTTTCACGCCGATGCTTCTGGTGTACATTAGGCCTCTGAAACAGATACTCAGCTAGTATAGTACATGTCAGACAGTCCAGTTAGTTTTCGTAGTTTAGTTAGGGCTAGGTTCCCCGTTGGCCAGGGGAATACTAGTACAGTACTACCGGTAGGCAGTTCAGAATTTGCTTCCTCAAGATCAATACTAGTACACGGCGCCAAGTGTTCCTGGGAGTTGCCGCTCCCCCAACATTGTGATTTGATTTCGTGGATACGCCACACCGAGTCCTAAATATCACATCGCATGATCTTGCTCTTATACACATCCTACATAATTATCTGAAAGATCCTTGCATCAACAGCCAGCGAGTTTCGTGATTTCACGGGATCTGATTGGACAAATTAGACGACAATTCGCAAGGTGGCCTGTTATGAATTCCAAAAAGAGACAGACACATGAAAAATAAAAATCATCAATACTACGTAGTACATAATAAGAATTTAAAAACAAAATATATAAAAATATTACTACGTAGTATTTATTTAAACTTGAAGATAATTTAATTGAAACTACACAATCTTGCGCTGCATACAAAAATTTCACCTTGCTCTTTCTGGTTAATGACAGAAAATACAATTGATTGCGAGGTGCTGGACAATTTAAATTATTGATTGTTGGGGGTCTCGATAAAATTACTCTTGTAGTGGTGATTGTGTGATTTTGACCACCCAACTGCATCTACATTCACCACCATGCAATCAACATTTGTGGTCACGCCCAACGTGAGGTCTTTCACGTCCAAGCTTTACCAAGCTCGGCGAGACGACCTCGACCGATCCAAAGTTGAAAAAGTTAAGACTAATGTTCAGTACGAATGCCTTGGATGCACCCCGAGGTTTGTCATCAAGCTGACGAAGGCCAGCGGGTACCAAAACTTTGCGCAGCACGTCTACAGGTATCACAAGGACGTACATGTGCGCATGTCTGGCACTCGATAAATCAACCCCACCGTCGCGGTAGGTCGCGGCGTCTCGACAAGGCAGCTTCGATCTTCGGTGGCATCGACAGGGTCGTCTCCGGCAACCTCCCCTTCGCCTTTCTCAGATCCGAAAACTACAAAACGCACTCCTCTCTCGGCTCAATGGACCCCAAAACCGTGTGAAAGTGTCTGCGGCTTATCACATGTCGCGTCGAGGTAGGAATCGAAAACAAACTCCCAGAGCGTTTCGGCATTGCTTTAGACGGATGAGCGTGCAACAACGAACACTACCTTGCCATGTTTGCCATCTATGCTGATGGCGAAATCATGAAGTCACCCTATCATTCTATGGCACCGCTGCACTAGTTTGACCCAGCTGAGCTTTAAGACCCCAACGACAATGCCCACGGCGCGCGCGAACACATTTTGTTCTTGGACAACATTCTTCGCGTCTACAAACGTAATATCTCCAACGTAAGGTTCATGGTCTACGACAATTGCAGTGCCAACAAGCGCATGGCCAAAGATATCAACGTACCCATGGTGGATGAGCTAGTCACCGCTTGAACCTTGCTGTCGAGAAGTTCGTGTTTGAACAGTACCGTCCGGTCATTCACAAGTTCCAAAAGCTAATGGTCGGCCTCAAGAGTCTGAACAATCGTGTTCACCTGCGCAAGTTGACCTCGCTATCCCTGGTGCTCCACAACTCCACGTGCTGGTCGTCCTATCACGCAAAGGTCAGTCGCTACATAACATTCAGGCCGCTGCTCTCTGACTTCGTCAGACGAGATCGTGGCAAGCCTTCTCCAAACACCTTCGGACGACCGCGCAATCACCGAGCTTGTAAGCCACCTCAACAAGTTCGAGTCCGTGACCGTGTACCTACAGCGTGAGAGCCTGCATATGGTGCATGTCCGAACGCTTTTCGACGAGCTCATCAAGGATTGCCCCAGTATGCGCACTCACCTACAGTGAACCGGGGAGAAACTCGCCCGGGTTTGCAACCAAATTTGCATGCAAAACTCAACGCTCAATAATATAATTTACCCAACCCTAGGCACATTTGATTGGCTATAAATATTTGTAACGTGACAAGCACAACATGTCGCAATACTTCTCAAACTCCGATTTGGCCTTTGAAAATATCTCCATTCGATTCAGGAGGGGGTTTACCCCGAGGACCACGAGAACCCTCCTACCGAGCACAAGAAGATCAACGAAGTAGTTCAACATATCTTGCAATCCTGTGATATTTATAGTTATACTACTACTGATTTCCCTCGCTCTTTGAAACGCCTGATTATGAACAAGTTTTGGAGAGTACCAAAATATAAAGTGAAAACAATATTAGTTTATGGAGCATCCTGGCTATTCAATTGCATGGCTGACACGTGCTCGCTAAACGACGACAGGCCAGTGTCGAGAATGCCAGTACGGTTCCAGCAGTTCACAACAGTTGACCGTGACACAGAGCGCCATGCATCCTTGGCCCACGCCATGGCGTCCACCAGAGGTACCTCATACAATCTGTCCTGACGGCCATCCAT